TACTGTACTATAATACATTTTACACTTTTTTCTCAATATAGAACAAAGTAAAATAAAACCATTTTTACATGCTGCCTTTCTTCAATTTACATTCCAGCCTACCGTCATACAAGTCTGTCCTTTCACTATGTTGAATTAGATGGGAGTACCCAACTAGCACCAACCAAGTAAGGCTGCTTTTTGCCATCTGGAAGTAGAAAACTTGGCGACCACACAGCTTCACTTCCAAAGCATACGCAGCAGTCAGCACTACTAATCTACAAAGGAACAGACTGCTAAGGAGAGGCAGAGATCAAAGAACATGATGGCCGCAAAGACAGGTATTTAGTTCATGATAGCTTCTCTGAGCGAAGTTTCAGACCTCTATCTAGCAAGTTTACCAGCAATAATCCTGCCCTTGACTCCAAGAGATACCCCTGCATCCCCTTATAAAGGTCTCCCTTTTTTCTTAACCTAGTTTGAGTAGGATTCTGTGGAAGACAGAATAATACCCCACCAAAGATGTCTACAACGTAATCCCTGGAGCCTGGGGATATGTTATCTTACATAGCAAAAAGAACTTGGTAGGCATGAATAAAACAGGGATATTGCCATGGAGAGATTACCCAAAGCTTCTCAAAGTGGGCTTAATATAACTTCAAAGTTCTTGAAAATTAAATGTGGTGCTAATAGTAAAAACATCAATGAAACAATGGGCAAGGGCCCAGCATGGTAGCCTAGGAGCTAAAGTCCTCGCCTTACATGTGCCAGGATCCCTTAGGGCGCCGGTTCTAATCCCGGCAGCTCTGCTTCCATCTAGCTCCCTGCTTGTGTCCTGGGAAAGCAGTTGAGAACAGCCCAAAGCCTTGGGACCCTGCACCGGTGTGGGAAACCTGGAAGAGGCTCCTGGCTCCTGGCTTGAGATGGGCGCAGCTCCGGCTGTTGTGGCCATCTGGGGAGTGCATCATTAGACGGAAGATCTTCCTGTCTCTTTCCTCCTCTCTGCATATCTGACTTTCCAATAAAAATAAAAATAAATCTTTTAAGAAATGGGTTGGTAAGATAAAGGGGAAAAATAAGAACAAGTTGTTTTTTCATTGCAGATTTGCCCAGGTCATGGTTTTATGCAATAGCATGTGTCAATTTCTTACACACACTTAGGAAAAATAATACATGTTATAATAAGTGCCACAGCTGAACCGTCAAGACCCTACTTCGGACACCCTCATCCCATGTCGAAAGCCTGGATTTCAGTCCTTATTCTGCTTTTGATCTAACTTGTGCTAATGCATAACTCACGACACGGGATGACGGGCCAAGCATTTAGGTCTCTGTTACGTAGGAAGGAGCCAAAGGTGGAATTCTGGGCTCTTGGATTCTGCCTGGCCCAGCCCCAGCCACTGCAGGCATTCAGAGAAGGAGCCAGCAGATGGGAAATTTAACTTTTAAAACTAAATCTTAGAGGAGAATCAAGATGGCGGAATAGGGTAAGGACACATTTAAATGGACGGAAAAACATTTAATCAGGATGAAGCAGAGAGGACATGTTTCAGGAAATAGGAAAGGACAGAACAACAGCAAAGGGGTACCTGGAGACTGACAGACACAGGAAAGCAGAGAACACAACCGTGTGGTGTTGCAGTGACTGATACTCCAGCAGCATTCAACTAATGGTGATCTCAACTCCACCAGCAACCAGGTGGGAAGGGAGTTTCACTGGGAGCTTGGGAGGTTAGCCCAGACAAAGAACTGTCCATTCTGCTGGTCCATTTGATTTGAACAGGAGCAGAGACAGAGCAGATGGGCAGTGCGAGAACAGGGTGGATTTCATTGCGCAGTCAGCCCCCTAGAGCTGAATTGGGTGCCATGTTGTGTAAAGAGGCAAAGGCAAGGGAAAGGAGTATACGCTGAGCTGGGAGTGAAATAATTTCTGACTCAGTGAACTGCAACAACGTGGCATTCTACAGGTTCCATCCAAGACAGGTCTGGGTAGCTCTATGACCTGACGGTCAGCAGATATAAAACTGTGGTAGTAGTTCATCAGGCGCCATTTTTTGCACACTGTGGCAATAGCTTTAGGACTGCAGGGGACAACAGTGAATTGCGAATGTGCTTAGCTCGCAAGAACTCGCTGAGTTCTGTGGATTGTACTGGTCCCACAGGAAAATAATACCGACTGTGGCATCACCAGGGTCAAAATAGGTTCGTGTGGCACCCAGACCTAACGTCCAACAGGTTCCAGCAAGATCAGCACCACCAACAACCTAATTATATAGGACACCTGGTGTCTCTCTAATCTGGGACCAGCTCCAACTGGAAGTGGGAGAAAGGTTGCAGAGCCAATGGTGCAGCCTCAGCACGGTATCACAGGAGGTGGAGAGTGGTGAGCCAAGAGCCGGGGCTGTGGAGACCACGGTGGATATCTGACATAAGCATCCAGATCTGGAACTTGCTAGAGATTGTGGCACAAGTGGCTGCAAGCAAAGAGTTGTGTACCAACTGAAATAAGTAAAATTGCATTGTAGACCTGTGGGTGACAGAGCTTAGAAACCTGTCCCAAGGAGAAAACTTTGCTAACCAGAAATACAATGACAAAGAGCAAAAGAAGAGACAAAGGCCCAATGAATATTACTGAAAACTCCCCTGCAAAGGAGCAAAACCCTATGCCAACCTCAGAGTTAACTGAGGAAGACATTGAGACATTGACACAGAATCCATAAGACTCTTTTTAAAGCTTCTGATCAAAAATGAGAAGCTCATGTAAGAGTTCAAAGAACTTAAGAAAGCAGTAAAGTAAATTAGGGTTGGTATATCAGAAATTAAGAACACAGTAGAGCAAATTAAAAGTACAGTGGAGAGTCTCCAAAATAGAATGAAGCAAGCAGAAAAAGAATCTCAGAATTGGAAGATATTTCCTGTCATCTGGGAGAAGCAAATAAAAAGCTGGAAGCAGAGCTAGATCAGGCCAAAAAAACTATTCAAGAATTGAAAGACACTATTAAAAAGCCATATAAGAGTTATGGGAGTCCCAGTTATGTGCCAGCCCCAGATCTTGCACATGCTGGTGGATGCTTAAACGCAGCTTGGCATGGTCCATTCACAGTCTCAGCTCTTGCTGGGGGATGTTGCATCCTAGCCCAGTCAGGCATGGCTCACAGTCCGTTCTGGCTCTTGTGTGTGCCAGTAAGTGCTGCAGCCTATCCCAGCCTGGCCTGCTCCCAGACTCAGTCCACACAAATACTGATGAGTGATACAGCATTGCCTGGCCTGGTCTGCTCCCAGCCCTGGCTATCGCTCCCCAGCAGGAGCTGCAGCCGAGCAGAGCAATCCCCAAAGTTCTGCTACCAGGCCCACTCCCACTCTTGGATTTCATGCATGTTGGTGTTTGCCACGGCCCTGCTTGGCATGGGATGACTTTAGTCCTGGTCTTGTATATGCTGGTGGGTGCTACTACCTCTTCCTCCCACCTCCCCACCCCACTGCAACATATCTCTCAGATCCCATGAATGTCAGGTGATTTCTGTGGTCCAGCCGGGCTTGGGCTGATCCCCCAGCTATCTGCATAAACTGGTGGGTGCTCAAGTTCCAAAGAGGTGAACCTACAATTCCTCTACACAATTTGCCCAGATCTGGTTCTCTCACATTCTGGGCCTAGTCTGATGTGGGCCACCCAACTATTCTGTCACTTGTGGGTACGTACTGCAGCCTAGCCCAGTCTAGTATTCCCTCTAGCCCCAGCTTTTGTATATGATGGCAGCTATTTAGTCCAGGCCAGGTCTCCCAAGTGGGTGGGGTGACTTGGCCTGAACCACACATGCCCACCAGTTTCCCCCTCTAAACTACTCCATCTCTGCTCCCTTGCCTGCCTACAAGTGCAGAGGCCCGGTCTGTCAAAGGCCCCAGAAGTCATTCCTTCCTGTCAAATATGCCCTTAGCTGCTCCCACTCCAATACATCCTCAGATCCCTTCCCTGGATAATCTGTAGCCCCACCACTTGGGTGCAAGATCATGTGTTCCAGCAAAACTTTCCCCACCTTCCCCACATATCTTACCAAAAAAAGCAGACTGCTATGCTACCATACTCGTATAGTGAACACAAAGTTGGCATTAAGCAGGCCTCGGATGCCCTTCAGCTATCGGTTCCTTTCTCCCAGCAGTGTAACACTTGCCTGGGTACAAGGCAACCTAGGGATTTGCCTACACTTGGGATGACTCTTCTCTTACACCCCATTCTTAACTGTTTTGGATATTTGAACTGTAAATATTAAATAGACTTGAAAAAGGGGTTGGTCTAAGGACAAGTAACCAGGTATCATAAATTCCCTCAGTTAATAACCACATCTGTATTGAAAAAATTGAATTCGGCTCATTAGATAAGGTTTATTTATTAAAGCATCTTATATTAACATTGAAAGGGAAAAAGGAACCTATACATAAAACAGAAAACATTAACAGAGACAGCACAGAAAAGTATGTACATGTTACCAGTTACATGAGTGTCACATGATGACAAAAACAAGTGGCAAGAACACCATGAGAAAGGAGGAAGGGCTGGAAGTGTTGCACAACTGCAAGCCAAGTTATGCCAAAGACCACCAAGAAACCATCCTAAGTTCAAGAGAAGGGATCCTCCCTCAGAGGCTTCACAAACATCACAGGCCTGATTACACCTTGACTTCAGACTTCTGCCCTTAAAACTACGGCTGTAACTCTGCTGTCTGAAGTTTGCAGTTGTTTTGGTACAGCAGCCCTATGAAACTAACAGAGCTCTAGTGCTAGACCATCTAACGATCAATGACTTAAACTACTTACAAAAGACTTTCCTAAACGGATATACCTGTTGAAGTTAGCAGTCAACTTGCAAAGAAACGTTATATATTTCATTGTGGGAGAATTTATTTCAGTATTCTTTTCATTTTATTAAAATAATACAAAACAAGGCATCACTACAGCCTATGTGTGTTTTTAAAGAAAAAATAGAAGATATATGTGGAAACTTAAAAATATTTATCTAATACAAGTTCACACAAAACTGAATAAAATTTTATTTTAAAACATTACAAGTAATACAAAAATGTCCCAACTATACAAACATTTGATGCATGTGTATACATAGCCATATACATATATACATACAGGCATTTAAACTGGTTCCATTTTTCATCTTTTTATTTGAGTAAAAAGAAGAACACTTTCCTCATTCAGGAGATTTTTGATGTTGTAATAATTACCTGAAAGTAAAGAGATTAACAGAATTATTTTTGTAAGAAGCATTTCCTTTGAATTAAGTATTTGGTCATCACTTGAAAGTGCCAGCATATAATACAAAACAAAAGTAAAGCACCCAACCAAAAGGAATACACATTTAATCTCATGAACTCAAAAATCCAAGACTTTGCTATCACCTATGGTGCAAAAAAGGTTTGAAAGTATGTAAATTTCACATCCATCTGGTAACAATACAGGTATATTACTCAATGGTATAAAAAGAGAAAAATCTCTTTCTGAAACTAATTTTTCTTAGATTAGTTTTACAGGAACTTCTATCTATTCCCCTAAACCAAATACATGCAGATACAGTTACATAAGTTACTAATAAAGGTATAATTTGCAGTTAAATATAATCAACTCCACAAATTAAAAAAAAAGAAAGACATACTCTTAACAATAAATTCAACCATCCCTGCTTTCCACTGACTTATAATTGTCAATGTTGGATAAAACACATCGCTCTTTGTTTAAAATAACCCATGAAAAACTATGAACACACAGTTTCTTCAGGACAAGGCGGCAAAAAATTTTGATGCTTTCCTGAAATACAACGTGTCAATCAACCATTTTTATATTAAGCAAAACAACTTCTGTTAAATTTTCATGTATGAAAACACTAACATGTTTCAATAAAGATAAAATGAAAAAAAATTTATCACACTACTTTTGCGTCAGTCACATCACTTTATCTTGACCGTCATGGCTTTCATTTTCATGGTGCCTATAAGCAGTTTCACAGATATCATGTGAAATATAAAATATTTTTAATAATTCCTACCTGAAGGAACAAAGAACGAATCCCCTGTAGATAACAGATAAGGTGTTTCATGTAAAGTACACAAAAGGTCACCATAGTTAACATAAAATACCTGTAAAGATAAAAAGTAAGTTTCACATTAAACTGCCATATTTATGCTCTAAATAGCCTTTTAAAAAATGTAACAGGCAAAAAGATTGCACAACGTCCAGGCTGCGAGCTCCGGAACTGGTACTATGATACCACAGACATCAGGATCCAGAGATGGGAGGATTATCCACGACAAGCAAAACAGGACTACGTAATCACATGAACCTTTAAAAAGAAGTGATTTCTTCTGCTGTAAGCAAAAGGTGAGGCAAATACTGTTAGTAACAATAATTAAATAAGATGAGAGCTCTGCGCTGTTCCCGACACTACAAGACAAGAATCAAAGGAACATGCACTTTCTAAAAGCCAGCCTCCAAACCAGCAGCTCCATGCAGGTCTCCCCTGTCTGCAGCAGGACCCAGCACCTGTGCCATCCTCAGATGCTTTCCCACGGCATCAGCAGGGCCTGGACTGCAAGAGGAGCAGCCAGGACTTGAAACAGCACTCGTATGAAAGGCTAGTACCACACGGGGTGCTTGAACGCGTGCTGCCATGCCATCGGGTCCTGCTGTTCTTTCTCACAGGTGCTCAGCGCTATGCTGGAAGGAAAGCTATTGGAATATAACAATTTATGCATAAGTGGGCTTTACATTTTTAAAACATAAAACTACACTCTTGCCTTTCTAATAAATGTATGAAATCTCAAGACAAAAGTCCTTCTAATGCCAAATTTCATTACATACACACCATAGCACGTTATTCTACTTATATTGTCATAATTTAAAAATTTTAATCAGAAAAGTATTTTCATCAATATTTGCTTAAATTGTATATGGCTATTTTTCAAAATAATATGTTTAAATTAATTTTAAGATGTTTAGTACACTGCAGAAATATATAAGTGTTATTATTTATTACATCATATAATGGTTAATGGTTAATCATATAATGGTTATTACATCATATAATGGTTAATGGTTAATCATATAATGATTATTACATCATATAATGGTTAATGGTTAATCATATAATGGTTAAGAGAAAAATCCAACAATTTTCCTTCCACGTCAGTGTTTTCAATTTTTGCAATTACTATCAACATTACCAAAAAATACGTAAGATCAATTTTATCTTTCAAATTATTTTCCTGAGAAAATTTGTTAGAAATGATACTCGTTAGTCACAGTCTAAATTATTTTAATTGTTATTTTAATTGTTTAATAGAAATTCTAAAATGATCAGTACCTCAGTAATTATAAAGAGTCAATTGTTTCAGAATGTGCATCTCTTTGATTACTATCCCCGGTTAAACAGTTTCGCTTACTGTTCAGATTTCCTTTTGTATAACAAAACATTACAACTTACTTGGTAACTGGTATCAGTTCTATGATGACATGTCCTAATTTTTGTCTTCATTACTGTTCATTAGCATCCTATATGGACCATCCACTGCTTTAAAGAGGTGTAGTTCTCTTTCTATAATACCTGGACAGGGGCATTATGAAACAGCAGACAAAGCTGCACGTGCAGATGACACCAGCATCCCACACAGGCGGTGGCTCCAATTCCAGCTGCTCCACTTCCTGCCCATTTACCTACTAGGGTGTCTGGGAAAGATGCAGACGGCTCTGGTGCTTGCACACCTGCCACCCACAGGAGACCCAGCAGCTCCTGGCTGCAGTAAGATCTAGCTGCTGCACCATCTAGGCAGGGAACCAACAAATAAAGGATCTCTCCCTGACCTTCCGACAACAACAGCTTAAAATAAACAAATAAACAACTGAAAAAAACAGTGTGTGGAGCTCCTCACAAACAGGCCACTGAGCCATACAAGCAGTGAACCCAGGAGATGGAAGATCTTTCTCTGTGTTCACATTCCTCTTTCTCTGTCACTGTCTCTACATCTTTAGGGAGGCATTTTAAAGAAGAATGAACTAATGAATAATTTAAAAAATTATTTCAAAACAGGGTTTTAGCTATAAACACCATAAATTAATCTTGGACCATTGTATGTATCCTTTTTTAAAAAACATTTTTTTTTGGTGGGGGAGTCAGATTTACAGAGAGGAAAGACAGAGAGGAAGATCTTCATCCATTGGTTCACAGCCCACGGCCGCAGCAGTCAAAACTGAGCCAATCCAAAGCCATGAGCTTTTTCTGGGTCTCCCAGATGGGTGCAGGGTCCCAAGGCTTTGGGCCATCTTTGACTGCTTTCCCAGGCTACAAGCAGGGAGCTGGATAAAAAGCAGCTGGGATTAGAACCAGCATTCAAACGGGATCCCAGCGCAGGCAAGGAAAGGACTCCAGCCACTAAGTTACCCTGCCAGGCCATAATTTTGCAATTTAAAAGAATTAAAGAAAAAATGAAAAATCTTTCCATTTGGAAGGGCAGAGAGACAGAGATTTCCCACCCACAAGTTCACTTCCTAAATGCCCCTTATGGCTGTAGTTGAGCCAAGATGAAGCACAATCATCCTCAATCTAGGCTGCCCACGTGAGTGGTAACAGCCAATCACTTGGTCAGTGTGCTGCCCCCAAGGCATACACTCACAGGAAGCTGGAACTGGGAACAGAACCAGAGCTGGAACCCAAGCGCAGCAAAATGCCACATACTGGAAATATTCTGCTTAGTGTTTCTTTCTTTTTTTTTTACAGATTCATTTTATTTTTATTTGAAAGGCAGAATTACAGAAGGAAAGAGAGTGAGTGAGATCTTACATCTGCTGGTTCACTCTCCAAACGGCCAGTGAAAGAGCCAGAGCTGAAAGGATAAAGCCAGGAGCCAGGATCCTCTCAGGGTCAATCACGTGGCTGCGGGGGCCTAAGCACGTGAGCTGCTTTTCCTGGCCTTTAGCAAGGCGCTGCATCAACTGGAGAAGTGGGGACACGAACTAGCAACCGTATGGGATGTTGGCACCACAAGCACAGGATTGGGCTCCCATGGCACCAGCCCCAAATTTAATGTTTTTAAATAGCTGATATGTTAAATTCAATGCTTTCAAAGTCCCAATTTTCAAATTCAGAATAAAAAATGTATACACATGTATAAAACAGAGCAATGTTGCAAATATGCTTTCAACAGGCAGTGAGGAGACTGAGCCGCCCTGAATCTGCTGACTTAAGCCTTAACACATTGCTGCACTTTACTTAATACTTAAAGAAGCACTGACCTCGTCCTGAGTCTACTGCTACTGTGTTCCGTGGGGTCCCCCCCCCCCCCCCAGTTTGAATGGTATAGAGAGAAAGAGAAACAGAGTACTCCCCCAGCTACTGATTTACTTCCCAGACAACCTCGAGGGCCAGGGCTAACCAAGGCCACAGTAGAGGCCAGGAGTTCTGTCCAGCTCTCCTAGATAGATGACAGGCACTGAAATATCTGGGCCGCTACTCTGGGATCCCAGGTGCATCAGCAGAGCTCATGTCAGAGCTGAGCTGGTGTGACTCCAGACAATCTGATATGCAAGAGTAAGTCACAGTCGATGGGTTAACCTCTACGTCCAGTGCTCTCCCCTAAGTAACTTCTGAAGTCTACTGACCTTTCCATTTCTTTTTTTTTTTTTAAGATTTATTTATTTTTATTGGAAAGTCAGATATACAGAGAGGAAGAGAGACAGAGAGGAAGATCTTCTGTCTGCTGCATTTACTCCCCAAATGGCTACAACAGCCAGAGCTGAGCTGATCCGAACCCATGAGCTTGGAGCCTCTTCCAGGTCTCCCATGCAGGTGCAGGGTCCCAAAGCTTTGGGTCGTCCTCTACTGCTTTCCCAGAACACAAGCAGGGAGCTGGATGGGAAGTGGGCACCAGGATAAGAACCGGCGCTCATAAGGAATCCTTGCATGTTCATGGTGAGGAGTTTAGCCCCCAGGTTACTGTGCCAGGCCCAACCTTTCCATTTCTTAAATGCAGCATCAGAGAAATGTGAAATTAGACTAACTGTCCATAAATTCTGTTTTAAAATTCTAGTGATTTGTTTAAAAGCTTACATTCTACGGTTGAGTAGACCATTCCTTAAGCTTCTGAACCTTAAGGCTATATAGTTCCACTTACAGAACAGATCGTTTAATGACCATCAGCTGACTAACTCCAGATTTAACAAATTTAAAAACAAATTGTCTGTGAAGTACAGTAATGAAATTTCACTTCTGAGAAAATGGAATTTTAATGACTGATCAAATTCAAAAAAACCAGAATTGTACCTACAGCAAAACATACATAAATGGAGAAATAGACTTACCAATATATCTGGGCCAACATGCTGCTTTCCTTTTTCTTCTTGTGGTCCTAGTATCAACTTCCCAGTAGAAAAATATGGTGTATCCAACGTTTTATAAACTTTCAACTCACCATGCTTTACAAAAAATTGGTAGGTATCTTGTGGCCTAACAAGATCTATGGCGAAAACAGCAACAGCAATGTTAAGCAACAGCCATGCTACTGCTCAGCGATAATGAAGGTATTTCCAGACTCAAGCCTGCCTAACAGACAAGAGATTAGGATCACTGACTCGGGAGCTACACTGTCAAGGCCAAACCTCACCTCTTACAGCTAGTTCTGTGTCCTTAGGCAAGTTATATATGTTTCTCCCTACATCTCACTGTTTGTCTTAATTTCCTTTTCTATAAAATGAAATAATAATATCTTATCTGCATTTTTAGGTTGTTATGAATAGCAAAGAGCTAAAGTATGCAACCTAAAACACTGCCTTGGCAATATCAAATAATAAAATTTATCCTTACAAAAAGGGTGTGAGTTCCAAATACTATTTACTGAAATTCTGTTAGTATCTCATTTTCAAACCATTTCCTTTTACTAATAAATCTTTCCAGATCTATAAACATATCCGCTTATCATCAGTGGTTGGCTCTATTCCCCTGGATATTTGGGAATCTTAGGGATGCCAAGAACTACAGAATATATACTTGTAGATTTATAAAAAAGGAAAAAGTGAACTCTGAAAAAATACAACTCTTCTAAAGTGATAAACTATAGCAATGGTTTTACACTAAACAGAATCTCTTTATTTCCACATCTGTTGCCAAATAAACAATCTAAATATAGAAATGACTTTGCTAAGATGTTTAGATGTCTCTCAAAACCCATTGCACAGCCAAAATCTTAAGTACGAAAAACATTACTGACTACTTGGTTTGACCTGTTTGATGTGATGTAGAACAATGTTTCCTGTATGTAAATATTGCATACTTGGTAAATAGCTGAACCCTTTCTAGACTTCCATTCCACGTATAACTCATCCCTTTGGACCTCCCAGGGCCTCTCAGTCTCAATGCTTGGTGTCTATCTAATAGGGTGGGAGGCCTCAAGGACCTTGTGCCAGTATTAAAGGTTAAATCTGGCATTTGTGTGGCTGATTCCCTGTCATTCATCCATAGAAAGTTTTACATCCCAGGCACTGTTATCAGCATCCACAGGCCCCGAAGGGCATCAGTGAGCACCCACAATCCACGCCTAGTCCATGAACACGAGTATGTAATGTCTGACTTTTAACTTGCCATAACTCCCCATCCACAAGGAGTCAAAGAGGGTCTAGCCTCATTCCTGGAACCAACATTTACGGTGGTAGCAATTTTACCCCAGAAGATAAATGCACGGTTTTACATGCCTCCCAGAGGTGGTGTGCTATTGATACGCCCTTAGTTCCCCCCCATAAGCTATTTACTAGAATCAGACCTTTCTCTAGACTGCAGGGTTCAAAGTGCTTGACAGTATCGAAAGGGAAAGTGGTCAGGTCCATAACCAACCATTACTCAGCATCCCTTATCTTACCCATGAGAATAATTTCTCTTGTTTCTGGATCCTTTACCCTGGTTGGCTCAAAAGGGTTTCCAAGAGAAACATCTAGATTTACCATTAATCTGTTCTCTGCAAAACAAACAGAATCAAAACATAAAACTACTCAAAATTCTTTTCAATTATCAAAACCCAGTACAAAATATAGCTACAGATCAGGTGTAAAAGAACCCTGACCTAGCACATGGCAGGCTGGATGAGGCTGCCACCTGAGGTGCATACAGCCCATACTGGAGTACTTGTTTCTAGTTCTGGTTCCTCCACTCCTAACACAGCTTCCTGCTAATATGCCTGGGCCAAGTACTTAGGTCTCTGCTATCCATAGAGGAGACCCAGATGGGGTTCCTGGTTCGTGGAGACCTGGCCCAGACCTGGCTCTTGTAGGATTTTCGGATGTGAATCAGCAAATGCTAAGTTAATTTCTCTATTTCTTTCAGATAAATATATTTTTAAAAGGTGAAAAAAGAAAACAAAAATAAAGCTGACCTGGGATAGAATAATCTCTTCTTTGTTAATGACTGCTTCAGCAAATACACATTCAAATTCAAAACCCCACTGACACTTAAAGCTTCCTAATTTTTAAGCCTATTATAACATGTGAACTCATATATAATCAAATCAAATGATTCTGTGTATATTCTCTTTCATCTTTTCTAAACAGTTTCTTGTGATTAAATTCTTCATTGACTCATAGATCATACAGTAGCATCATTTTTTTCAAGAAGGTTCTTGATTTTCTTTTTCATTTCTTCAGTGACACATTAATCATTCAGTAGCATGTTATTTAACTTCATGGTGTTGTTAACTTCTTTTTTCTCCCTGATGTTGATTTTGTTTTGTGGCTTTTCATTTAAGGGGATGTATAATAGCTGTGCAATGGAGACTATCATATCTAGTATCATGTTATTTAACTTCATGGCATTGCAAATTTCTATTTTTCTTCCTATTGTTGATTCTGTATTACTGATTTTTTAAAGAAATTTGTGGAAATATCTATTAAGAAGTAAAATTTACAGTATCACATCTAAAGTCCTTAGAAGTAACTTTTAAATTCTACAAAGAGTCTCTTCCCAAAGCACTATGCTATTGGAAAATAAAATCTAGGGCAAGCGCTGGGCACAGTGGTTAAAACATTAGCCTAAGAACCCATACCGCACACCAGAATGCATGGGCGTAACACCCAGCTCTGGCTCCTAATCCACCTGCCTGACAATGCAGACACTGGGAGGGGGCAGATGACTGGGGTACACAGCTCTGTCACCCACATGGGAAACATGAGCTGAATTTCAGACCGCTGGTTTCACCTCCACCTGGTTCCAGCTTCTGCAGGCTTTTTCGGAGTGAATAGTAAATAGTAATGTTCTCTGTCTGATAATAAATAAATAAAACTTGAAAAAAAAAGCAATGAAATCTAAGAGTTACTTTCAGGAATAAGTTCATACTTCTTTTAGCACTATCAAGACAGATTCTTTTTCCATTAGCCATTTGGTTGACTTTTTCCATGTTTGCTCTTGCCTTCCGTTTAGGTAGTACAACATCTGGGGATAGCACTCCACCAATCACAAATCCTCCTGAAATTTAACAATGACACAGGTAAAAGAAAAGGCTCAGGAATGTAAAAAGCTCTAAACAAAACTTTTATAAGAAAAGTAGTATTCTTCCTTTCAAAGTACCAGAGAAAACAGTACTAGTAGTTAATTCTATAGCTAGTAGTTCAAAAAACACAAAACACTAACCAATTTCACTCACGCCTCTACCACCCTAAATCCAGAAGCATTAGTGCATGTTTGAATTACCTCCGGTGTTACTGGAAATTAACAGTCACATCATCACTAGAAATTTAAAAAGCTAATAATGAACTATTTCTTGCAATCTGCACATGAGTTTAGACTTACATAAAACAGAGGGAAGAAATGACTTTAAGAATACACAATACTTTACTTACCTCTACAAATTTGTAGAAAAATGAGAAAATAGATAATTGGAAGAACTTTACCAGTTATACTTTCCTCATGTTCCAATCTAACACTTTATGCAATGATAAAGCTTATCACAAAATGTGAGAAAAAGTAAAATAAAAATTAAAAATCTAAAAAGTCAAATACTTACCAGAAAGAAGAATCTTCATCTCCAGTAATCATAAATTCAGGTTTGAACCCTATTCTTACCAGATTATGGGTAGATGATGATTAACAAGGTTATGCATGTAAGTGTCAAGGACAGGACTGATACATAGCAAACACAAATAAATTACAGCAAACCTCATTGTTGTTTATTAGTAGGCTTTATAGCATAAATTATATTTTACCTGACGGTGTTCCTTGATAATCTATTCGTTCACCTCGCCAATATTCCAAAGGTTTCAAACGTACTCTCTTGGTCCTGCGAACATTTGGCGTGTTTGAAGGCAATACTGTAAAAAAAAAGAATATAAATCCTTGTAGACAAAACTCTAGAAAAACAATTTTAAGATACACTTATGGTACTAAAAAAGAAATGCTAATGAAAAATCAGGTTAACATACTGGCAGAGATGCCAAAATTTCACAGTACCCATGGTTGACAATGACAAGAATACATTCATCTTGGGACAATGTAAAATTCTTACTCCAAATTGAGTACAGTAGGTATCAAATTCCTATGGCCTTATTTATTTTTATTTGCTAAGCTAATTCTGAAAGAGGTACAATTAAAATTTCCCATTGTAGCTGTACAGTGTAAGTGAAAATCACCTCGCTTTCCTTTTATTTTTAGTTGTTAGGTTGTCTGCCACGAACCTATCTTCTTCACAAATGGTTCGTTTTACAATTACATGTCATTCCTTATCCTGCTCAGTATTCTTTTTAAAAAAAGATTTAGTTATTTTTTCACCGGAAAGGCAGATAACAGAAAGGAAGATCTTCCATCCACTGGTTCACTCAACAAGTAGTCGCAATGGCTGGAGGCTAGCTGATCTAAAGGCCAAGAACTTCTTCCAGGTCTCCCATGTGACTGCAGGGTCTCAAGGCTTTGGCTCATTCTCTACTACCTTCCCAAGCCACAAGCAGGGAGCTGGATGGGAAGTGGAGCTGCCGGGATTCGAACCAGTGCCCATATAGGATCCTGGCGCGTTCAGGGCGAGGACTTTAGCTACTTGGCCGCCATGCTGAGTCCCAACAATTTTTTATTTACACTTTTCTTGCAAACGTGCCAATTAGTTTATATTTTTAAGTCAAACCTGATAGTCTGCCTTATTTAACAGCCTATTTATGTTTATTCAGTGTTAGAATATGCTTCTTTTTATAGCTTCCATCTCACATATACTAGGTATTTCACATAAATGATTTTCTTTTCCCTCATTCCTATTGGTTCAAATGAATGATCACTTCTCTGTCATTTTAAGACTGGCTATGCTTTTTTGCTCTAATACTGGTTGTCTTCCCATTCCTTACAATTAAATCCTCATTTCTCCATGATTATATCAAAAATAATCTTTAGAGAGCTGATCCCCTCCTTTTTCCCATTTGATAAAATGAATTTTATGAACTCCCTAATTTTCTTCCCAGCATACCAAGTTTCATTAGGTAGTCCAGATTTCAAAGTTTTATCACAAAATTCTTACTTAGGCATTTATAAATCTCCATTCATATTATTAGTGTTAGGAGGGAGAAGTACCCCAACATGAAGGACAACAAGTCACACCTTTGTATTCAAATCAGTCTAGTCTATGTGAATGTAACTTGGATTTGGGACTTTCTTCTAACTCGAAAATACAGAGTATCACCAGTGGCAAAGTATATTTCCTGTGAATACATCAAGATTTATAGACACCACTCATGTTTACTATGTTTTACTTCACAGTATGCAAAAGTGAGACACAGAGACACGTTCATTTTAAACTGTTCTTTCAATGTTGATGCTTTCTCAGGGCAGCCATATGCAGCACAATACTTTCTAGAGATTCCAGGTAACTAGCTGGTCACAGCTCCAAGGTCACAAGCATAAACAACCAACACTCTATAGGGTGTTACATTGCTAAAGGATAATGCCAGTAGTTTAAGTGTTCTAACTTCATTTCCAACATAAGATTCTTTGTTTATAATGTGTTTAAAATTACATAACACCATCTTAGGTTAAACATCAATATTTGGCACTACATTATTATACATGTAAGACAATATCTACCAGCAGTAGAAAAAGATTAGCCCTTGCTGACTCTAAAGAAAGTTAACATGCTGTGAAAGAGATTCCAAGGAGGGCAAGAAACTGAAGAGGGATGCTGGTACCATGCATGGCCTAACAGTTACTCTTAAGTCCTTCAACACCAAGCAACGGAATTCTGCCAACAACCACGAGTGTGGGGGAAGACATGAGCTTCAGAAGCAGTAACAACTCAGACCGACCTGAACTGCACAGCATATGACCCTTGAGCTAAGTCACACCTCAGCTCCTTATCCAAGGAAACCAGAAAGCAATAATTATATATTGTCAGTCATTAGGTTTGCAGCAATTTGCTACACAGCAACAGGAAAAACAATGCACGTTTATATTTAATAAAATATTTTTGCAAAAATCATTCCTCCTCATTCTTTCCTCTTTGAACTTACAACTGACTTACCTGATACTTAAGAGTATCACATATTGATATCTTACTTGGCGTATACTAAATTTAGTTTTAGATTGCCTGCAAAATAAATTCAGTTATCAAAAAGAAAGATGGGCCCAGCGCCATGGCTCAGTGGCTAAATTCTCACCTTGCACAAGCTGGGATCCCAAATGGGTATCAATTTGTGTCCTGGATGTTCTACTTTCAAAGTTTTATCAGCTCCCTGCTTGTGGCCTGGGAAAATGGCAGAGGATGGCCTAAAGCCTTGGGACCCGGCACCCTTGTGGGAGACCTGAGAAAAGCTCCTGTTTCTTGGCTACAGATTGGCTTACTTCCAGCCATTGTGGCCACTTGGGGAATGAACCAACAGACAGCTCTTTCTCTGTCTCTGCTTCTCTCTGTAAATCTGCCATTCCAATAAAAAAGAATTTTTTTTTAAAGGAAAGATATCTTGGCTAATTGTAGAATTATTGGATTCTAATAAATTTCTGACAGAGAGCAATACACAGTACTTTGCAATGCTATGTAGAGAAGCAATGCCATTTTCCTTCTTCAAATACAATGTTTTTTTGTTTGTAAATTTTTCTCATACTCATATGTACATATCTTTTTTTTAATAACCCTGATTTATACTTGATAAACTACAGACTCAAGCCTGTCTTAAATCCAATGAAGTTTCCTTTCTTTTCTAAACTGTTTTTTAAACTTTTTTCCCCCCAAAGATTCATTTATCTTTACTGGAGAGGCAGTTTCTCAGAGAAGGAGAGATAAAGACCTTCCACCCACCTGTTCACTTCCCAAGCAGCTTCAATGGCTGGAGCTTGGCCCATCTGAAGCCAGCAGCCAGGAGCTTCTTCCAGGTCTCCCGTGTGGGTTTGGGGTCCCAAAGTCTTGGGCCATCTTGTGCTGCTTTCTCAGACCATAAGCAGGGAAGCTGGTTGGGAAGTGGAGCAGCCAGGACATAAAACGGTGCCCATACAGGATCCCAGCACTTGCAAGGGGAGGATTAGCCAGTTGAGCCATCATACCGGGCCCGGATTTTTTAAAACTGTTTTTTTCTCTAATTTCTCTCCAAATTCTATTCTTTTTGTATTTGCTCTGATGTTTCTGTGGTATTCCTAGACTATGTCTTTAACCCTCATGGTTTTCACCTGTATTTCTGTTGTTTAGAGGAATACTGAACACCAGTTATTAGTTCATCTCTCAGCAGTGACTATCGTTTCTTTAAGCTTATCTATTGACTTTAACTGAAAAAAATAACCATGCTTTCTATCACCACAGTTTTCTATGCAATAATTCAGCCTCTGAAAGTACACATACTTCTTTTTTGTTAAAGGGTTCCTTCTCACTAGAAGTAGGTGTTGCTGTACCATGCTGGATTTTCTTCTCTGGATACTTGTGGCTATGCTCAGGGACATTTCACTTCTTTTGGTTCACACCTGACAGCACTCACCATTTCATTCCCAAATTAGCATTAAGCACTGACGTATGGCAGGCTCTCTCACAGGCTGAGGCAATGAGAGAAAGCTTCATTCCTAGTGGTTCTCTTCAAATGCAAGTACAGTATACAGTAGTACTCAACCTCCAATGTAGGTAAAACACACAGAGGCTAGCAAACATCACAAGGATGGGAGGTCCCACGGCTCCTGACTGGCAATTCTCTTATTAGGAGCCAGGAGTTTTCGATGCTCACATGAATCTCTCCACAGATTCCGTAGCTCCCATCTTTCCCTCCTAATCATGCTAGCTACCACGACATTTAGGAAGGAAATGGATCAAAGTGGAAGAACCTGGCAGGAGCACCAGTTACCTAGCAGTTACACTTTCCTTAACACGATTCTAGCTTCTTAGAACATACAGCATCACGTCCCTGCTATGAAGCAAATTGTGAAATTGTTCTTGGAATTGTAATGATTTATTATGAAATTCATGAAAAATTAATAGAAATTTTGGTTTATTTACTAATTAATACAAGCAGGACTTTTTTTCCTTGAAGAAAAGTATTCTGTTTGGAAACAGAATTTTAATACTAGCATTTTAATCTGTGGAAATAGTAAAAGAGAAAAATAATCCTACCTAATTTGTGATGTATTTTCTTCTCCGACGTCCTTCGTTCGTCATCTGCAAAAAAATACCATGAGCAACAGCTGCTAATCCCATGTTCACTTAAAGTGAGTTACTTAATCAACTTTATATAAGTATTTTAAATAAAATTTATGTGACCATAACTTAACTATTCCTTTAGTTTTTCATTTCTAAGGAAAAACGGTGTATCATTTAACTATAGCTAGCTACAAGGAATGTTTCTTAAAAAGCCTAACAGGGCCAATGCCATGGCAGAGCAAGCTTAGCTTGCACCTGCTGCATCAACAGACATCTCATACAGATAGCACTGAGTCCTGGTTACCTATTTCAGATCTAGCTCCCTGATTACGGCTTAGAAAAGCAGTGGGGTATGGCTCAAGTCCTTGGGCACCTACATCCATGTGGGAGATCTAGAAGAAGCTCTTGGCTCCTGGCTTCATATGTGCTCAGCTCCAACTATTGTGGACATTTGGGGAGCGAATCAGCAGGTGAAAGATCTCTGTCTCTCTTCTCTGAAACTCTGGATTTCAAATAAAAATCAAATAAATCTTTTAAAAAATCATAACTACTTAAACAATAACAAAAAGGTTTTCCATTGCTTTTGAACAAGTGAAATATGTGATAAAAATGCAGAACAGGAAAATGAATAAGCAACGTGCTAAGAGTATAATTTATGATCTTTTAATTTAAAGCTTTAAAATTATGTAAGTGTAATGAATTTAGCAATTGGCCAGTGAGAACTGTTGTCAACTTTAGGCCTGGACTTAATGATGTATTTGACTAATAGAACGCAGCAGAAATGACTTTCCGAGAGTTTGAAGGCTAAGCTTTATTTATGTAGGTTATATCGGGGATTTCACCTAGGGTAAGGCGTTAGTGATATATGAAGCCTGACAACTCTGAGACTTCCATGCTGGGAGGAAACCCAAGAATAGCGTGTGGATGAAAAGAGATGCTTGGCTAGGCCTCAACATTCCAGCTGCCCTAGCTGGGTGCCAAGTAGAGAAATCATGAAGTCACCTTGGATTTTCATATGACTTCATTCCATTCAGTAGCTTGAACATAACAACAAATTCAAGAGTGACAATTAAAATCTGCATAGCTAAATCAACCCACAAAGCCTTGAAACATATAAAAAACATAATAAGTAAAATTCAATTGTTATGTTGTTAAAGAGTTATTAAATTATTAAGAATGACTGAATTAAATATAAACTTTCCGGTTTGGAAGAAACTCCAGGGATCAAAAATTTAATGTCCTTGTCCAAACTAGGCACATTCATGCAGATCAAATCAGATTAGTGTGTTTGCTTTAGCTACTAAATTTAAATGACACAAAGACTGGTATAGACCTTGTACAATGATGACACACAAATTTGTTCTACGTTTTTAGAAGAAGGCAGACATTTGTCTTAAGTTCAAAGTCAATAAAGAATGGGCCATTCAAATGCAGCCTTGATACTATCTATATTACATATGGGATTCTTGAGAGTGCTAAGACAGGAGCATAAACGACTGAGTCACTTTAGTCTTAGGACTACTCCCAGACTGCTCTTGCTGATGTGAAGGTAAACATGTATACCAATAATTCTGGTAAGCTACCATGAGTTCTGTGTTGTCTTCCTCTTTCAATGGTTTAACAGGCTTCCACCTTTAAGAGCTGACATCCCTGGACATCAGTTCATGTCCCAGCTCCCTGCTTGTGGCCTGGGAAAGCAGTTGGGAATGTTGCAAGGCCTTCGGACCCTGCACCCGTGTGGGAGACCCACAAGAAGCTCCTGGCTCCTGACTGCATCACCTCTCACTGCTGCGGCCATTTGGGGAGTGAACCAGTGGATGGAAGATCTTTCTCTCTGTCTCCCCTAAATCTACCTTTCCTACAAAAATCTTTAAAATATAAGAACTAAACATATACTAAAACACAAGAAAATAATTAAAAATTTCAAGTATTAAATATAAGCCATGTTCTCCCCAAATGGTTAAATAAAGTCAGAAAATATTAACAACAACATAAAGCAATTTTGCAAAAAAGCCCACACCAGGTGCTTATTTCCTACTCCAGGTAACATAGCTAGTCCAAGACAGAGTTTGATTCCATTCCAGGCCATTGGTCCTGAAGAACAGTCTTTTGACTAATGCAGTCTTTCAATAACTTCTGGGGTCAATGAAAAATTCTACCTAGAAGTTAGAATGTATTACAATACTAGTACATATCAAAACCTGTAAAATAAAGCCAAAACTATGTTCAGGAAAATTTGCTGCTTTTCTTTTACCAAATAAAAAGTGGAAAGCATTCAAGTTATAAGGGAAAATAAAGGCAGAGAAAACAGAAGAAAATATTTTTAAAGGAAAAAGAATTAATAAATTATGAAGGCAAAAAACCCACAAAAATCTACAGAATTCAGGGTTTGGTGAATAGTGTATCACAGTAATCTGCTGTGACACAGGAATCCCTCAAGGATACAGTTCAAATCCCAGCTACCTCCAACCCAGCTCCCCGCTAATGGCTTGGGAAAGTGACAGAAGGAGGTCCAAAGCTTTGAGTCCCTCCACCCACGTGGAAGAACCAGAGGAAGCTCCTAGATCCTGGCTTCAGACTGGCTCAGTTCTGGCCGTTGTGTCCATTGGAGGGAGTGCGCCAATTGAAGTCAGATTCTCTTTCTCTCATTGCAACTCTTTTAAGCAAAAGTAAATCATTTAAAAAGCTGAATATATCCTTTAAGTGCATGAAAAACAATATAAAACGACTGAAAGACAAGCTTCAGTATGAATAGGATAAACTTCAAATCTATCCAATACATAAAATCTACAGAGACAGGGAAGACCAAAGAGAGACATCTCACCTACTAGTTCACTCCCCAAATGAGCTGATCTGATGCCTGGAGCCAGGAGCTTCATACAGGTCTCCCAAGGACCTGAGCCATCCTCTGCTGCTTTCTCAGGCCATAAGCAGGGAGCTTGATGGGAATACGACAGCTAGGACTAGAACAAGTACCATATGGAATGCTGGCATCTGCAGGTGGAGGATTAGTCTGTTGAGCCAAGATACTAGCCCCTGTAGTAGATTCTTTTCATTGACTCACTAAAAGAAAAACCATTGCTCATTCCTCCCCCCTTTTTTTTCTTAAAAAAAAAAGATTTATATATTTTATGTAGAAAACAGCATTATGGGGGTTAGAGAGGAGGGAAAAGAGGGAGACAGAGTGACATCTTCCATCCCACTGGTCTACTCCATAAATGGCTGCAATGGCCAGAGCTGGGCAGGTCTGAAGCTGGGAACCAGGAGCTTCTTCCAGGTTTCCCACATGGATGCAGGAATCCAAGGACTCGGGCTACCATCCACTGCTTTCCTAGGTCATAAACAAGGAGCTGGGTGAGAAATGTAACAGACAGAGCATGAACCAGTGCCCACCTGGGAATCCAGCACCAGCAGGCAGAGGGTCAGCATGCTATGACAACTGCCAGCCCTTTATTTCTCTTTCTATTTACAGGGTCTTACAAATCTCTAACTGTAAAGATAAGAGACTAATGCTCATTTGCCACTAGGGACAATTTAGGCAGAACTTAGTATGCTTAGTTTCATCTTTATAATGCAAGAAAAAAAATCAAATCTATAGAAGATAAATAATAACTTACCTAAAATACCCCGAACTTCTTCTTCATCTACATCAGAATTACTCTCTTGAGAGATTAAATTACTCTTGTGCCTGGAAGGTCCACTAAAAACAAAAATAAATAAACACACAATTTGGACTTACATATATAATGTATGTGAGATTGGTAATTAAGCACATATATAATGTGTGTAAGACTGGACATTAAGGATTTCTTATAAAATCAACTGTGTTATTACAGGTCACCAAGAATGTACTGCCTTGAAGCATAAAACACTACATTTAATCGATGACTGTAATGAAGCTATAAACTTTGATTATTTTAACCTTTAAACTCACAGATCAGTTAATTAACTCAAATAATAGCATCCTTTGATAAAAATCAGATTACAAGAAAAAAGCTAGAAACAATTCAGTGTAGCTTTAAGGAAGAAGAATATATCCAAAATCAAGCAGGATTTAAAATGTGTTCTAGATGTCATCAGAAATGATCCCAGTTTTTTTTCCATTTTTAAAAAATTAATTACATTACATTATGTGACACAGTTTCATTGGCTCTGATCCCAGCTTTCAAGTCCTGTATCTTTTGGCTTTTTTCCTGAGCCCAGGACTGGCATAGACACATCCATATAACTAGTAATCTCAGCCATTTTATGAAAGTATTCACTATAAGTTAGCATGTATTCATTTTTGTGAAAGACTATGTGGCCTCAAATATAACATAAAAAACATCCTTCCTCCCATACCCCTCTTTTCAAGAGGTGGGCCTCACTGCCCTCTTCTTGAATGTGGTAATCAGTGGTCTGTTTCCAACGATCAGAATCAAGCAGGAGTGACGATGTACAACTTCCAAGACTAAATCACGACAGGAATGTGACAGTCACTCTTAGATCACTTGCTTTGTGAAGTCAGGTAACACACCAAGCAGTGGGCTATGAGAGCACCACCCAGTCAGAATCCCTGAGCTAGAACTAAATAGCTCAGTTATTCCCAGATCTCCCACAAAAAGAAACTAAGAAACAACAAATGTTTTCAAACTCCTAACAAAAGTTAGGTTTTGAGTAATTTATTACAAAATAAAGGATGAATAATAAACATTATTATCCTTAGAATATATGCATACCTTTCTTCCAAAACCAAACGTTTAGGTTCTACAGAATTCAACGTAAGCTCTGTGGAAGCTTTGCATTCATTATTCTGAGATTTTAGACAAGTATCTTGTGCTGTCATAACACTGTCTTGATCCTTTGAACTCTTTGTAGATCTACAAAAATTAGAAGTTTAAAAACGTTTTTACGTCTTTGAAAAATATTTTAAAAGTAATAGGTGATAATATGGACAATATGTATCGACTATAAAAAAATCAGAATACCCTGTTATGGTCCTGGAATTTACAACAATCTTAGGATGGAACTTGGAGCTAATGAGAGTTCTGATTTTAAGAATTTTGATAAGAGAAAATGTTTAGTCATAGTCTAAGACAGAGGTGCTTTTAGATAGACTCTGAGAGATGTCCCTAAAAGCAACATTTTACCATTCAATACAGTACAATGTACTGGAAAATCTATAGAAAACTGCAACTGTTTTCTCTGATACAAGAAGAGAAACTAGAGAGGTGCAGAGGTGTTGGAGGAGGGACCTAGCTCACTCTTTGGTAATCAGCTAATCAGTTTTCCTCAAATGCATGCACACATGACACACTTCTTAGAAACAATGCATTTCTGAAATGCACTATTACATCCCAGGGACTTTCAACAGAATCAAAAGAAGTAAGAGACTATGCAGTGAAAAAACACACATTCTTCACACATTTTTCATCAAAGGGAAAGCAGAAGTGATGGTGATGGTGATCAGGGCAAGTGCTTAGTAACGGTAGTCAAGATGCTGCCATTTTCTACATCAGAGCCTGGGTCTGGGTCCAGCTGCAGCTGTAGCTAACACACACCCTGGGAAGCAGTGGTGAAGGCTCAAACACTTAGGTCCCTGCCATCACATGGAGACCTGGAATGAGTCTGGGCTCTTGCATTCAGTTTAGCCCAGACCAGGCTGCTACTGGCATCTGGGGAGTGAGCCTGTGAACAAGATTCAAAAGGCCTCTCTTTTCATCTGTACCTCCCCTACACAGAAATAAAAATTTAAAAAACATGAAAATGATCTTAAAACCTAAGCTGACTGTGTACTGGGTTTCTTTGTTATCTTTGTATCCTATAATGATATACACTAATATATTTCAAGTAATTCAGCTATTTATTTCAATTCTCAGGACCTTGCTGTTTGCATACAAAGAATTTATAAAATGTTTATTCAATGCATTCTATGGCAAAAAGCAAGAATGCATAAAAACTATTTGCTTTCCTCAGTAGGCTGTTGGGACTGATGAGATCTCATGAATGTCACTAGTGATAATCAGCACACAGGGAACATTAAGAATCATAAAGTATTAAAGGATATGTGACAGCCTAATTACTAAAATCACAATATTAATTAAAAGCAACTCAACAACTATTACTGAAAGATAACTAAGAATGAGTTTTATGTTAAAGAATTCTCATCACAATGTCTTCAAAAAGCAAGGAACTTTTCAGTAACAATACTTCACTTAGTAAATTTCATACTCAAAATCCCAGGTGCTATGATTATTCCCCATTGTGTGAGGACACACGTTCAGAGCACTGCTCTGTATCTGGGTATCATGGGCTAATGGCAAAGTCTGGATTTGCTACCAGATATATCAGAGACCAGAGCCCTTTATGCTAACTAACATTGCTTCTCTAAATGATTAAATAATACTGATATACTATCAAATACTAAACTACAAAAGTAACTGTACTGTACATGCAACAGACATTACCCTGAGCAACCGGAGTTTCTCTTCTTAGCCAAGTGTGACTCATCATTTTCCATTGGCTCATCACTCTGAGAACAATCGGGAACTTCATTATGGACCGAAAGAACTTTAGAATCTTCATCATTTACAGTCTTCTGTGCCCTTGAGCTGCCTTGCACACGTGTCTTCTGTCTTTTAGGCGGGGCAGTTTTCTTCCCAGTATTCTTAGACGACTGATTCGCTCTCTTAGCAGGTTTTTGTCTACTGCTGCGATGCACTGGTAATTCATTTCTTATTGGAGAACAATTGCTGTGAACAGGACCTGAACATCCAATGAAAACCTAAAATTACTGCAACATTTGCCTAGATGACTGGGTCCCAGATAACCAGTAACAGTTATATTTACACACACACACAAATCTCACAAGCTAAATCCATTTTAAAATTAAAATCTACCTACCACTCTTTCTCATATCTGCCTCTTGTTTTATTCCTAGCATAATAAAAAGGGTAGCTATCTAGATATGCGAATCAAAAAACTGAGTCATTCAAATAATGGAGTCATTGTGCCTATGGCCAGAATCAATCCCTAAGTCCCGCTTAGTTGTACTTCCTTCGTACTTTTTAAATCTGCTCTTTCAAACTCTACTGCTTGACATGACCAGAAGTCCTCATCATGATGTGGGTCACTAAAACAGCTTTTTAACATTGTTAAGACTTGAAAGTTAGACAACACTTCCAGAGCAAGAATCAAAAGTTAGCTATGTGCATGCAATGAGGAAAATGGAATGTTTCAAGCAGAAGTGCCGCCTATGCAGATCTAGAACCTCATGTTCTGCTTAAGGAGAGAGCCTTCTCTAGCCTTGCTCCACAATCCATTCTTTAAAGAATCTTCAGGGAAAACATTGGATCACCTCAACCCTGTTTCAATCTTTTAAGTCCAAATACCTTCAAAATTAATTTATTTCAACATCTAAAGGTGCTATTCATTAACCATATTTCTGAACACATCCAGGAGGCAGTATTATTTGCAGCTTCTCTGAAGCATGGATTCTCCAGGCAGTCTAATCCAGCAGTGTCAGAATCACCTGGCAGTCTGTTCTCCACTCTCCCTTCCAGACCACGACACAGGCTACTTGTGCCTGAAACGCTCCTTCCTTCCTCCTTACCCAACCAATCACCTTGCTAATTCCTCATTCACTCTTCTGGAAGCTCTCCCCAGCTTTCATGTTGCAGGGTAACTCTCTCACTACTTTCATAATTTTATTACACAGTTGTTTGTTGAGCTCTATCTCTTCTCTTCCAGTTTAAGAAAGTGACTGACATTTTATTTGTCTTTATATTCCTAATGCTTTACGACACAGGCATGACTATATTGAAGCAAAAATAGTCTCTGGTGGACTACCCAGCAAAGTACTCACTTTCTAGGTGATACAACTAAGTACAGGGCCTGAATTCACACAACCCTGCGACAGAATGTTCCTTCTGTTTTCAATTGCTGTGCCTTATCTGTATTGCTTAGCATTAGTTCTGGTGCTCCTTTCATCATGCCTAAGAACAAGTTCTCAAAAGCTTTTCCATGTAGATGAAAGGGCACGCTTGGCAAATGTGCACTACAAGCATCTGGGGGGGCAATGCAGGTGTTCAAAAACATAACGATCTTGGGGCAGGTCCTGTTATTACTATTATTATAATTATTATTATTTTTACTTGACTTCAATTTCTTCTATTAAATGAAGGACTTTTCGTATTATATGATAGTCTTCTTTGACACCTAGCTTGATCAGAAACATCCATCTCAGGACTACTATATATTCCTCTTAATAAATTTTAAACTTTTTGCATTTATGAAAGATTTGTATGATTTTTCTTTGGTGTATGTTCACAGTCATAATATAGCATCTGGGCAATGTAGAACAGAAAAAGTGATTTCCCAAATGCAGTAACAGTAATAGCTAACATTTCAGTATTAACTATAACCCACCTACTACATTGATTAAATTTGTAAAAAAAAACTAAATGAAGTAGATATTAATCACAAGCAAGAGTGAGCAAATGAAAAAAGTGTTTTGTACAACGCTGAAAGAGTCACAATTTGAACCCAGATTTGATTCCAAAATCCCAGAAGGACTTACCTGCTGCTATTAGTCAAGAATCCCAGTGACTCAATAATTGTAATAATTCAGTAACTCACAGCAGATGGCTTCATGGTAGTGCCATATTTGTACTAATATTTTAGTTGATCTAAACTGTCCTCAATCAACAGTGTTTACATTTATAGATATTACTTGTCTACCAATCTTAAACCTTAATAAGGATTTTTCTAAAACAACACATGTTACACATTACATAATAGTTAGCTTACCAGCCTTAGAATACTATTCTTGGAAAGAACTATTAATAAAAGGAACTCTTGGGTTATGTCTGGAAATTTGAATTCTGTATCATTTTCTACTGAGTATGGTTTACTATGCCTTAATAAACCATTCAAAAAATACGGTCTGTGCTGAATACTTTCTTTCAAGGAGTCTACAATTTCAGTGTTTACCACTCAAAGAGTACCTATACAAACCAAGCAATCAAAAGTCATGGGCCTGGGCCTGGAACAATGGCTCAGTGGCTAAATCCTTGCTTTGCAAGCACCAGGACCCCAATATGGGCACTGGTTCACGTCCTGGTTATTCCACTTACTATCCAGTTTCCTGTTTGTTATCAGGGAAAGCAGTAGAGGTGGGCTCAAAGCCCTGGGATCCTGCACCCACATGGAACACCTGTAAGGTGCAACTGTATCCACTAGTGCATGAGACAGATTAAGTGCAGACTGGTTGGGCTTTGCTGCAACATCCGTTGACAGGTGCTGGAACCGGGGGCAAGTCCTGTCAGGCTAGAACATAGAACCACCTGGAAAGTGTAAGATCCAGAGTTTGGAGTGGGCCTCATGGGGAAGTTGTGGGAACCTCTCTGATGGCTGCAGCTCCCACTGGTGTGCATGGGAACCAGGAGTGGGGCAGAGCGTGGTTGGACAGACTGTGGTAGCTGTCCATATTAGTGTGAGCTGGAAAGTGGGATTGGTTAGGCTGAGTTAGGTTCCAATGCCCATTGATATGTATGAGAGCCGAATGGGATGCAGGACAGACTAGACCAGTCTGTTGCACTACTGCATGTGCAGGAACCGGGGCTGGGTGTGGGCCTGGTAGTGGTTATTTGGGGTCACTTTGACTAGGCTGCAGTTCCCACTAGTGTGTGTGAGAGCTGAGTGTATGGGGGGAGAGTTAGGCTCGGTCACAGCATCCACTGGTTTGCATATGAGATGGGCCCAGGGAAAGAACTGACCAGGTGATTTCAGTCATCACTGTGTATGTAGGCTGATGCGGGTTGGGTAATGGATTGAGCCAGATCCCATACTGAGTGGCAAACACAGAAGTCAAACTGAGGTCACCTCTAGTGAGGTTTCTTTGGGTTCCCCTCCAAGTGGATCACTGGACTCAGAACTCCAACCACTGTGAAAATCGTAGGATTATGGAGTGCATGTGTCAGAACTGGGTCTCCACAGTTGCTGAGGCCTGTACAGTGAATGGCATGCCCAGATGTTCATGGGGGACATGACAACCAGTTCACTGAGGCCTGCAGAGAATGTCTAGTACCACAGAGGAAAGAACAAGTTGGACAGCTCTCCAAGGCAAGCTTTGACAGCAAAGTATCTGGGTAAATCAACACTATAAGGCAGACTATGTTGGCAAAAAGCTCTTGCAAGGATTTCTTCAACCTTACAGCACCGAAATCAACAGCATCTCAGAACTATCTAAACCACTTAAGCAGTACCTTCAGAATATGCTCCATATCGGGCACCCTGGGATGACATTCAGCGGCCATCCCCCATTCCTGGGTGCGGATGTGGCTGGGTTGTTGGAAGCCGCCCTCTCCCCCTTCTCTCCTCGCTTTCCCCAGATACAGGAAAAAAAAGGAGATTGGAGGTAGTTGTCTCATCCACTTTCCTACATTCCTCGACCTTCCCCCACCCTAATAGATGGTCCATAATGGGCATGCATCCCTCTCAACTATGTAAACATTATCGCAAATAAAACAAATTATTATTAAAAAAAAGGGGGGAGGGGACCAGCATAGTGGCCTAGCAACTAAAGTCCTCACCTTGCACACACCAGGATTCCATATAGGTGCCGGTTCTAATCCCGGCAGTCCCACTTCCCATCCAGCTCCCTGCTTGTGGCCTGGGAAAGCAGTTGAGGACGGCCCAAAGCCTTGGGACACTACACCTGCATCAGATACTTTTGGTTTGGGATATGCTTTTCTGCATTTGTATCACAATACCTGGAATATTAGATGTGTTAGCATTTCAAGAATTTCTCTATAACCGATTTAATGTTGTTACTGATGATTCAATTTAGCTTTGTCCTGGTGAAATTTCTTTGGATAATGTGAATATAAGTCAAATACACAGGGACCGACACAGGGCTCAATAGGTTAATCCTGTGCCTGTAAGTGCTGGCATTCCACAGGGACTCTGGTTCATGCTCCACTTGCTCCATCTCCAATAAAGCTCCCTGTTTAGTGCTTGCGAAAGAAACGGAAGATTGCTCAAGTCCCTGGGTTCCTGAACACCCACATGGAAGACTCGGAAGAAGCTCCTGGCTCCTGACTTCAGACTGCCTCAGCTCTGGCCATTGTGACCATTTGAGGAGAGAAGGAGTGGGTAGATCTCTCTCTGTGTAAATTTGCCTTTCTAATAAAAAGAAATGAAAACTTTAAAAAAATATATATATGTCAAATATAAAGCTTTTCATACAGTGATTTCCTGAGAACTCTCAAAGAGTATCAGTTAAGTAAAAATACTTACTCTCCTGTGATTTTACCATCCACCAATCAGATGGACGCCTGGAAATTCTCTGACTTCTCATGACAGTCAAAGTCATTTCCTCAGCTACAACTTTGTTCTTGGACTCAATGAAAACTTGCTTCTTGTTAGAATCTTGTTTACCTTTTGGGGGCTTCTTTTTTTGTTTGCTTCCTAGAATAAAGAAAATCATAAACACCACAGTTTTTAGCAAAATGAAACAGATTTAAAGAGAGACAAAACATTGAAATTCTCAATCATAACTATTCTTATTCATCCTGCAAGATTCTTTACATCCCAATTTTTCAAAAAGTAAGGATATGCTCAATATCAGCTTTCTGTAAGTTAAATGCAAACTTTTCATTGATAACTTTCATATGCTCCCAAAGTATCATTTGAAAAGGAAAAAAAAAAAGATATGGCTTTGTCTATTAGCAACTAAGAAGCAAAAGCATTCAGAATTAATTCTTCTCTGCTTTGAAATTATTATTACCAATCTAATTTTGGAAAGATGAAATGTGATTAAGTTATGGATCCTGGAAAGGTGGGGGTGGTAAGCTCTTGAAGTTGTCCCAATCTAATTAGAAATATCCTTAAAAACTGAGGTCAAAGAATCAAGGAGTAATAGAAGAGGCGAGAGAAACCTGAACCACACGCCAGCTGGCAGTTCTGACGTTAGAGAACTGGAGCATGGAGAGGCAGAAACACTAAAGGCAGCAGATTCCACTCCAGAACCACTGCGAAGCAACGCAGACAGGAACGCTTCTCAACAATAAACTGTGAGGTAGTGGATGTGTGTTGCTTTAAGCCAGTGGGTGATGGGGATTTGTTAAAACAATAACAGAAAATCATTATATCTGGTGTTGCAAATAATTGGAGCAATGTGCTCACGAATCTAGATTTTAAGAGGAGTACTTCTGAAAATTAGGGTGTAGAAAACTGCAGAAATTCAATGTCAATACTTGCAATTATCTAGACTTCTTCAAACATACATCCCTCGTGCAGTGTCTTGAGAAATGCGGCTAAATCAGAATCCTACCTGCTTACAACAAAGCAGGGCTTTTCCCTCTACATTAAGCAGAACATTTTGAAATTACACGAAGGTACACGCAGACAAAGCTAAAATCTGTTAGACTATACCAAGAGTTAAAAATCAGTAATTTGAGGCTCATTTAAGGAATCTGTTTTTATAAAAAAAATTCAGATATTTTGCTTTAATACCTCTTTCTCCTCTTCATATTACCAATATGGTATCTCCAATAAGACCCTGTAGCTGGGCCTTCAAGTGTCCTGTTTGGACACTAAATTAGACACAAGACATGAATCACATGCAACTCCAAGAACTACCGAGATGCTAGTCAGGTAACTGCTTTCCATGCTTTTGTTTTCATCCTGCATGTGTATGTATAATTCTCTGTTGGTCTATAGACCTCACCAGAACGATTTATTAAAAGTGGAAATTGTGGCTTAGTAATCTTTCCGATTCTGTGCCTAGTCCAGCGCTAATAACTATTAGAAAACTGAGTGATTAATAATAGGGTAAGCTTTTACCTCTTTTAGAAACAGCCTCCGCTATCCTGGATTTTTCTTCCCTTGATTTATATTTTAATAACCCTAAAAAATATATGATTCTGTATTATTTATTTGTGTTCTGATAACTGACTTGCTTGGTTGCCTTTCCCTTTCACTTCTCTATTGGCTGCCACCTTAGGAACTAGACAAAAACCAAGTGAGTTAGAATTAACCTACACTTAAAATAAGAGGTTCTGGGCCCAGTGCAGTAGCCTAGATGCTAAAGCCCTTGTCTTGCGCAAGTGGGGATCCCATATGAGCACCAGTTCTAATCCCGATAGCCCTGCTTCCCATCCAGCTCCCTGCCTGCAGCCTAGGAAAGCAGTTGAGGATGGCCCAGAGGCTTTGCGACCCTGCATCAGTGTGGGAGACCCAGAAGAGGCTCCTGGTTTCAGATTGGCTCAGCTCCAGACATTGTGGCCGCTTGGGAAGTGATTCAATGGACGGAAGACCTTCCTCTCAGCCTCTCCTCCTTGCTGTATATCTGACTTTATAATAAAATAAAATAAAATAAAATAAAATAAAATAAAATAAAATAAAATAAAATAAATCTTTAAAAAAAAGAGATTCTGGAAAGGAGTCTATTAAGTATCTGAGGCTCTTTGTAGATTTAGGTTTACTTTGGCCACTTGCCTAAGCTAAATAAGGATACATCAAAACAGTAGAATATTGTTCAGTTGCATTTAATATAAACAGTTACCTGTAGGTGATATCTTTTTGGAAATATCATTTTTCTTTGCTTTTTGATCATTATTTCTGCCCAGATTTCTCTGTAACTTGTCGTGTGCAGTATGTGACATATTTATTTTTTTCTTTTTAGCATGTCCCACATCAAGCTGTTCTTCAACTATGTTGCCCTTAAATTTTCTTTTTTGTTTTGCAGTTCTTTTATTTCTAGATGACTTTTCTTTGTTCTTGGAATATATTTCACATTTTGTAGATGTACAATTATTTTCCACTTCATCTGTCAAAGTACAACTTATACCTTGTCTTTTTTCATCATCAGACAGAGATTTCTGTGCTGGCCGAGTTTCATGTGCCTGGTTGTCACCTGCTGAGGTCTTAGGGAGTCCATCGCCATCTTTCTCTCTTGATGCCTTGGCAGCAAGGCTCTCAGCAAGGGACACTGGCCATTGTTTCTGAGGCCCAGCCTTTCTTGGTATGGTAACCCACGAATGACTGGCAAAACTTGTATCTGACTCATCAATTATAAATTCATCTTCTAGTAATTTCATATTTCTTGGAGATGGCGGATGAGGTGGAGCAGTTTCTGTATGCCTAACGAGACTAAAACAGGATGTTATTTCAATAGCTCAAGTAAAAAAAAGTTTTACCCATGGTAAAGAAAAGCAAGTAATCTATATAGGATATAAAAGTCTGTTTGATTACTGAAGAACAGCTCACGTGTTTAGTCAATTTTCTCATTACTATAAATATTCCTACTTTTTCATATGTATAGCATCAGATCACCTCATTTACAATCCAACAGAAGTACAGCAATACCAACAGAAGAAAAGCAATCTAGATGTCAACTAATTTGATGTCATCTCCCACTAACATATATACGAAAAAACTGAAACTCAGTTATGTACAAGATTCATTGATTCACAATCCAAAATGAATGTCACTAAATACAGACACTGAATTAAATTATGCGTTATAGACAGATACCTTTGTGCCTTAATTACTTTATATAAAAATAAGTATAGAAAAGATTATTTCTAAGAAATCTCCAAATCCAATATTTTAAGAAAACACTATTAAATTAAGTTATAAGATATGGAGGATAGCTTCTTTCTAATATATTTTTAAAACTGATTACCTTGCATTATGTGACACAGTTTTATAGGCACTGGGATTCCCCCCTCCCCTCCCCAAAACCCACTCTATCCCCCATGGTGGATTCTTCCACCTTGTTGCATTACCACAGTTCAAATTTCTTTCTAATATTTTTAAAAAATATCTTACAGCGCTTCACAGATACTGTCAAATATATATAAGGTGAATGAAAGCTAAAAATGTAAATATTATTAGACTGTATTATATAAAATATTGATTCCAAGTGTGAACCACTTTCATTTATATTTTAATGTTATATTGAGAAAAGGAGTATGAAGATAAGACACCTAAAACCCACAGAAAACAGGTAAAATACAAAACAATTCTCAATAAAAGGAGACAATGCTACAGAATCTGTTATAATGAAGTGAAACTATATTTCCATATTTTTCTTCCTCCACATTAATTTAAAATTTATTTTTACTAAAATAAATCTCCAATCGTATTATATTTTCCACTTCCAGTGTTACCAAGAGGATAACATTATTATACAATTTTAACTATAATCCTATAGTTCATCACCTAATATTAACTCTAATGCTTGAATAAACATAAAAGTGCATGCACACACACTTAACACGATGCCTGCATTTAATAAAGTGGTAGAAAAATTAAAAACTAATGCATTGTGGCTACACAGCACCTCTTTCAATTATTTGGGAAAGTTTCTGAGAGAAGGAAGGAATTATTCAGATGGTAATCTGATGAACTCTTACATTTCCCTGCATTTTATAACAACAGCCTTGAGCAGACTACATATCACAGTGAGATATGAAAAAAAAAATCAAACCTCAGGATACACCAACAAACTTATAAGCTAGCAAGTGTACTCTAGTTTCTTTTTCATGTGGGTAAGGATGCTTAGCTATTTTTAGCTATAATAGAAACAAAGGCCTTACTGTTCTACTTCCCATCCAGATTCATGCTAATATGCCTAGGAAGCAGTGGCAGGGGGCCGTGCTTCAGCCCCTGCGCTCATGTGGGAGAGCCACTAGAGGCTCCTGGCTTTAGCCTGCCATAATCCTCTTTTTAGCCTGCCACAGCCCTGGCTGTTGCAGCCATTTGGAGAATGAAGTAGATGGCTCACTCTCTGTCTCTCTCTTTCTATAATGCTTTCAAATAAATATCTTACCAAAAAAAAAATCACCTTCTAGTAGCACTACAAATTCATATAATTAACAAACTAAACAAAAACAAAAGCTATATAAACTAAAGACTACAATAACATTAAACAGAAAATTTTTTTAACACTGTGATAGCCAAACTGTTAAAATAAGTCTAATCTACTTTATTGTATATTATTTTCATTATTTTTTAGTTCCCTAAGTAATGCTAAGAATTTTTAAATGATATCTCTGCAGCCCAGCCAACAATAACTTCTCAACTATGTTCCCCTTCTACTTCAAGGGATTTCCATCATATCAGCTACACAAATCAAAGATACTCTTAGGAAACAACATTAACATCACTAAAGTTCCGCAGAAGAAAATATGACTCTTGGGCAGGTGAGACATGAAGACTTGGCAGCATTTGAGCTACATCCTGAAGGATGGACAGAGGTTGTTCAGGATATGATCTAAGAACCATCAGAAGGAAGAGCATAAGCAAAAGCAATGATGCTGGAAGGTCCAGGGAAAAGGGATACATCTGGCCACATTCATTAGATAAAATTAACTTGAGTCATTGGCTTATCAAAAACAATCACAGGCTTTCATTGCCTTTCAATTAAATAAATATATTTATTTTTTAAAAAGGAAGAATTTATCCAAAATGTTATTTATCCAACGTGTTATAAAAACTTACTAATTATGCTCACCAATACACTGACAGACACCAAAATTCTAAACTACTGAAAAGGAATTTATTTCTTAATCTATGAGACACATAAAATTACAAAACTGTAGTATGAAACAAAAAAACTATGTAAACCACGTTAAAGTCAAGCCTGGAAGCCTACAATGTATTTAAAACAAAAATGGTGACTGGCAAGTGACAAGGTGAAAAGGTATGCAAAGCAAAGACAACTGCAAATGTGGGCAAGTGGACAGAAGCTGGAGTCTAGGGAAACCGAAGTGGCTGAATGCCAGCAAATGAAATCTCCAGTCCATCCTACCATTACTGACTCTCAGCCCTTGTTGTCATCACTTCTATGTAACTCTAACACGCAAACGGGGTTAAGAATCACTGTACAGACACTGCAGAGCCAATGGAGGTTTTCAAGTACATAAGAACCCATCAAAATTTTAGAGCTATGGCTGCCGTTGCTTAAAAAAACAAACAAACAAAAAAAACTTTTATTGTAAAGGCACATCAGATTTATGCAGAGGAGAGACAAAGATCTTCCATCCACTGGTTCACTCCCCAAATGGCCACAATGGCTTGAGCTAAGCAAATCCAAAGCCAAGAACAAAGAGTTTCTTCTGGGTCTCCAACATGGGTGCAGGGTCCCAGGGCTTTGGGCTACCCTCAACTGCTTTTCCAGGCCATAAGCAGGAAGTTGAATGGGAAATCGAGAGATGGGACATGAACCAGTGCCCATATGGGATCCTGGCACTTGCAAGGTAAGGATTTAACCACTGAAGCTTTGTGCCAGGCCCTAGGGTAGTATTGCTGCATAGCTAGTAAAGACACCATCTGCAACACCAGCACCCTATATGGGGGGCAACTGGTGTCCCAGATGTTTCATTTGAGAATCAGCTTCCTGATAATCGCCTGGTCCCAGCACAGAAAGACGGCCCAAAGCTTTGGGCCTCTAGCACCCACATAAAGGGTTGAATGAAGCTCCTGGCTTCAGTTTGGCTAGCCCTGGCTGTTGAAGCCTTTTGGGAGTGAAGAGATAGAAAATCTTTATTGGTCTCTCTCTCTCTCTTCCTATAATTCTAAATTTAGGACTGTCCTTTTACTAGTACAATCATAAGTAAGCAGAAATTTAAAGCCTATAATAGTGAAATTCAGGTACCCTTAAATAATTCTGTTTGTACATCTGCCATGATTGTTCAATATCACATAAACGAGACAAAACTGATCAGCAGGAGCAGTACAAACTGCATACACTCAACTTCTTTCATATTTAACTTACTATCTATGAAAAGCTGGGTGGGAGTTTTATTAGTAAGAGATTAAAATTTGTGTCAATTAAAATATTTATATTTAAATTAAAGTTCAGTTGGATATGGCCTACAGAAGCTAAAAGAAATGAATGTCTCAAAATAGCTTCTTAATAACTTACCTCAATTCACTTCTTCTTGTTACAGTTTCTAAAAACAAAGTTGAAAAGCTCTTTTTAGTTTGTGGTTGAATTTCAAACTCCGAATCTTGTATTTTCTTCTGAGATGTTTCTGATCGTTTCCTTTCTTGTTGTCCTTCTGATATTTTATCCTCTACTTCCGATTCTTCATTTTCTGTTTCAGTGTTTTCCAAAATGTCTTTGTTTTCAAAGTTTAATCTAAAGAGTTAAGAAAAAGTCAGTCGACATGCCCCCCTGAGGTTTGCTGAGGACTGAATCTCCCTGTGAAGTGTTACAGCGAGCCTGCAGACTACTCACTGAATTCTATACCAGGTCGTTTTTAAAATTTGTGTTGATTTATAAGTTATTGTAAAATACAACAGGTAAACTGCTCAAGAAGAGTCATTACGTATTTGTCAACAAAAACAAAGGAAAAAGTTACCCTTTACACTAAAGAAAAGGGCAGTTTAGAGCACTGGTTGTCAACATACTCTGGAAAAATTATGGAAGATCACACAATTCTACACAGAACCTTACTCACTGCAGAGATTCCTTAATGACACAGAAATTGAACAAGTTACCCTGCTTCTAAAGGCTGAAAAGAAAGTCCCAAGACTTGGAACTGGGTTTAGTGCAAATTACCCTCAGTAATAGCAACCTGACACATACTTTCCTTGCAATGCAATAGTAAAGAGGTATACATCTGGGCTGATGCTGTGGTTCAGTAGGTTAAGCCTGCACTTGTAATGCTGGGTCCTACATCAGACCCTTATCATAACACCAGTTCAATTCTAGCTGCTCCACTTCCAGTCCTACTCCCTGCTAATGTGCCTTGGAGGGCAACAGAAGACAGCCCGAGTCCTTGGTTCCCTCCACGTATTCATGTGCAAGACCCCGTGGTGTTCTTGACTTCAGGCTTTAGCCTGGCCAAGTCCTAATGCTTACAGTCATTTGGGAAGTAACCAATGCATAGAAGATCTCTGTATCCCTGCTCTCTGTAACTCCCCTTTTAAATAAAAATAATTTTAAAAAGGATATCCAAGTATTTCTTACAGAAACTCATACAACACATTTTCCAATGGACTGTAGAAAAGAAAATCCTCAAATTCAGACTAAATTACCATATTTTAATAGGAAAGATAAAATCAACATAGAAGCAGCATTTTAAAAATATTTATTTATTCAAAAGAGAGCTAGAGAGAAATAGAAATCTTCCATCTATTGGTTCATTTCTCCAAATGGCTGCAACAGCCAAAGTTACATCTGTCCAAAGCCAGCAGCCAGGACCTTTTTCTTGCCTCCCAGGTGGGTACAGGGACCGAAGTCCTCTGCTGCTTTCCTAGGCATATAAGCAGGAAGATGGATTCGAAGTGAAGCAGAGGGGGCCAAGCAGGGTAGCCCAGCAGCTGAAGTCCTCGCCTTGCACACGCCGGGGATCCCATATAAGCACCAGTTCTAATCCTGGCAGCCCTGTTTCCCATCCAGTTTCCTGCTTGTGGCCTGGGAAAGTAGTCGAGGATGGCACATAGTCTTGGGACCCTGCACCTGCATGGGAGACCTGGAAGAGGCTCTGGGGTCTGAACTTCAGATAGGTGCAGCACTGGCCATTGCGGCCACTTGGGGAGTGGATTAGTGGACAGAAGATCTTCCTGTCTCTCCTTCTCTCTGTATATCTGACTTTCCAATAAAAATAAAATAAATCTTTAAAAGGAAAAAAAAGAAGTGAGGCAGAGTGAACTTGAACTGGCACCTATGTGGGATGCTGGTATTACAAACAGCAACTCTGTTCACTTTACCACAGTGCCAGCCCCAAGTGGCATTGACAAGGAAAAAAAAGTATATATGTATGTATATATGTATTAATCTATATATTTGTTTATTATTGGTTCACTTTTGAGATGGCCTCAATCTAGATTGCCCTTGTAAGTGGCAAGGGCCCAACACTTGGGCCATCTTCTGTTGCTTTTATCAGCCCATCAGCAGGGAGCAGGAGGGAACAGGGCTGCCAGAGTCTCAGACTCCGGCTTTACCTGCTATGCCACAATGCCAGCCCCTACAAGCAATATTTATTTTAAAAATTACCTTTTTTTTGTTTTCAAAGAAATCTCTGTACTTGAAGACAGCACATTTTCTGAATTTTCAAAAATGTAGGTCTCCCTGGCAACAGATGGAGCAGCATTTTGTGACGCAGGTGATTTTGCATTCAAAGGAACAGAAGGTGAGCCAACAGATAAGTAAAACTCTTCATCAGATCCACTGTTTTGATCATCTGGCTTTCTGCTGGATACATTTTTCAAGTGTGGTGTATTTCTAGAACCAACATCAGTTTCCAGAATATTCTGATCAACTTCATTGGCGTGAACTAGAAGAAAATTATATAAAAATTCTTGTAATTAAAAAATAGCATTACAGTCAAACACTAGATTAATTCATTATAAATACTTTATAGTAATTGTGTAAAAAATCTGAATTATAAATACTTTACAGGAGATTCACACAGGTGACTAGGTTTAGAATTAAGGATCTGTGCTTTAAGAACATAAAACACTTTTTAAAAAGAGATTTATTTCTTTGAAAGGTAGAGTTAGAGATAGAGGAGGAGAGATAAGACAAAGAGACAGAGCTTCCATCTTCTGGTTCACTCCCCAGATGGCTGCAATGCCAGAGCTAAGCTGATCTGAAGCCAGGCGTCAGGAGCTTCTTCTGGGTCTCTCACGGGTTCAGGGGCTCAAGGACTCAGTTCATCCTCCGCTGCTTTCTAAAGTGTTTAGCAGGAAGCCAGATTGGAAGTAAAGTATCCAGGACTCGAACTGATGCCCAATGTGATGCTGGCACTGCAGTCAGCAGTTTTATCTGCTACAGCACAATACCGGTCTCAATAAAATACTTCTGAAGTGGTGATTTATGACATGTATGAACTGAGTCTGTCTCTGTTGCGTGCGATGGGCCCCCTACCATGTCAGGACCGGAATCTGCTGTGGAGAATGCTTCGTTCTGGGAAACCGGCTGCGGCTGGAAAGGGGACCTCCCTCTCGCCCAGCACACAACACATTCATGGGAAACCTGGCACTAAACCATTTGTAAACGACCTGCTTCTGCGTCAGGGTTTCCTATGTAGCAAAGCAATCCCTCATTGCGATCTACTGAAAGTCAGCCCTCAACACATGGGATTGTAAAAACAAAAGAAAAAAAATTTTTTAAAAATTATGAACTGAACCCTGTATTTGGTCCATGTTATCTAATGTTTTGAAATAGCAGAAATCTCCAATCATGGTACATAGTGTATAGATACTCTTGAGATGTAAATAAATCTACATATAGCTAAGAAAATGAAATAACTTAAATAGATCATGATGTCCTTTTTTCTTTAAAGCTATGAATTGTTAGGGTAGGGCCCATGCCGTGGCCTGGTAGGTTAAGTGCCAGCATCCCTAGTTGTTCCACTTTCAATCCAGTTCCCTGCTAATGGCCTGGGAAAGCCAAAGAATGGCCCAAGGGTTTGAGTCCCTGACCCATGTGGGAGACTGGAAAGAAGCTCCTGGTTCCTGGCTTCAGCCTAGTCCAGCCCTGGCTGTTGTGACCATTTGGAAAGTGAAAAAGCAGATGAAGACCTCTCAATATGTAATTCTGCCTTTCAAGTTAAAACAACAACAAAAAAAAGTTTTAAGGTAGACAGCTAGATGAGCATACACTTACACATACACACAGATATAATAAAGATATATACACATATTTCCAAATGTTTATATTAATATATATTCTCAAGCCCTCAACTTTCAAAAATTAAGGAAAAGATAATAGTTGGATAATATTTCTACTAAGTCACATGCTTAAAAAGCAATGCTATTGTGCTGTCACAGTAATGTGGCGGGCTAAGTCCACCTGTAGCTCTGCTAGCCTATATGGGTGCCAGCTTGTATCCTAGGGTGGTCCAGTGCCCTGTTAATGGCCTGGGAAAGCAACAAAGAATGACCACACCTGGAAAAATGCCCTTGCTCCCAGCTTCACATCAGGCCAGCTCTGGAGGTAGCAGCCATCTGGGGAACGAAACAGCAGAGACGATCTCTTGACCTCTCTTCCTTCCTCGCACTCTCTGTAATTCTGACTTTCAAGTAAAAAAGCAAAACTTAAATAATACTAAACATTTTAAAATACAATCAAAAAGCCTTATGGTTCCAGAATGCAATCCATTTTTCAGCTTTTCTCTCCAAATTCAACAGAATTCCATAAAATGATCCAAGAAAATGACCCCAAGAAGTTTCTGAAACTGACAGAAGCAAGTGATCCAATTAGAAACCTCAAGACCAACAGCCAATATGGTGAGTGTCTGGAAGATACCCCCTACTGGGCACTGGCTAGGCTACAGTTTGCACCCACAAACAGGTAAAAGCAAGCAAGAGAAACCCATTAAAAACCCAGTGTAAAAACTTAATTCCCACTCCAAAACTGGGGTACGAAGCATCGCACTGACACAGCAGCACAACCCTGGGCAGAGCTATGAGACAGCAATAGCAGAGAAAGCCACAGAGCACACCAGTGCCTGCTCCAACCAAAACAAGTGGCAGTAGCCATGAGTCAGAAGCAACCAAGGGCGTCCAAATACTTGGACCCCTGTTAGGCATGTGGGTGATCTGGATGGAGTTCCAGGCTCCGAGGTTCAATCTAGTCCAACCCGGCCCATTGCAGCCACTCTGTCCCTCCCTCTCTATCCTTCTGGTTTTCAAATAAATTAACCTTTTTCAAAAAGTAGTGCCTTCATAATAGAATATAATTATAAATTATAAATCACCATTTTAAGTGGATCTGACACACTGACCATCTAGAAGAAAACAAACTTGCAATACTCTATCATTATATAGCAAACTAAACACCAGATGGATTAATGACTTAAAAACACAGAAATGAAAAAAGCTAAGCCAATATAAACCATTAAGGTAAGACCTTCTGACTGAAACAGGATATGTATAGCTACAAAGTCACACATTTAATAAGCAAAACAAAAACTTTACTTATTGTATGGATAAAAATAATATAACTACACAACTGTAACAGTCAAGGACTGATTTGGAAGATATGTCACACAAATTATGCATAAATGGCTACAGATATTCAAATAGCTATTACAAAGAAGCAAATATAATAGGAAAAGGACATGAAGAGACAATCAGGTTTTTGTCAGACAAGTGCAAATTCCACCATTCAATGAACTAAGAAGATGCTCCAGCTCACCAAAGTAGCACTGAGATCACTGACCACGGGTCAAGGCAGTGAGGAAGGAGAACACTAGTTCATCCAATAACAGGCACTCACTCTGCTGATGTGTAAGTACGTTACTAACAGCTGCTTCTGAGAGGACACAGCCCCACACCCAGACATACACATATTTTTTATTTCTGAGCATGAAGGATTCAAGGAAAATGACAGCAGGAGGATGGAAGTAATGACTACTTTCCTTTTAAATCTTTCAAGCTGCTACTTAATATGTAATGGTATTATTTTAAATTGAAAAAAGGAAAACAAAGATACTTTTAAAAAATAGCAGCATATATTACTTTTTAAAAAAAGATTTATTTTTATTATTTTTTATTGGAAAGGCAGATATACAGAGAGGAGAGACAGAGAGGAAGATCCTCCGTCCGATGACCCACTCCCCAAGTGAGCGCAACGGCTGGTGCCATGCCGATCCGAAGCCAGGAGACTCTTCCGGGTCTCCCACATGGGTGCAGGGTCCCAAAGCTCTGGGCCGTCCTCGACTGCCTTCCCAGGCCACAGGCAGGGAGCTGGAAGGGAAGCGGGGCTGCCGGGAATAGAACCGGTGCCTATATGGGATCCCGGGCAGGCAAGGAGAGGACCTTAACCACTTGCGCCACAGCGCCGGGCCTATATTACCTTTTTATTTGAAAAGCACTGACCAGATTTGAAATCAAAAGCACCTATTCCACAATTTTACATATACTGACTGATGCTGTCAAATCAACACATGTACCACATTTGGCATTTCTCTAATCGATGACTTTGTCTATTTGCATGTTTGTTTGAAGGAAAAACAGACAAGGCAAAGATCTTCCATCTGCTCCTTTACTCCCCAAATGCCTGAAACTGCCTGCTATGGAACAAGGCAGGATCAGGAGTCTGAAACTCCATATAGGTCTCCCACGTGGGTGCAGGACGCAAGTAACTGAGCAGCACCTGCTGCCTCCCAGTGTGTACGTGAGCAGGAAGCTGCAATTGCACTTAGGACCTCGACTCAAACTCAGATACTTGCACACAGACATAGACTTCCCAAGCAGCGACCTGGCTGCTGTGGCAAATACATGCCCCCACCTTTGGCATTTCTGACTTCTGAAACACATCAGGCCAATAATACCCTTGGGGATGCCACCAACCTGATCTCCTGGCAGCTTTACTTGGTTTCTCAACGGACGGTAGGAAGTTGTCTTTCTTCTTTGAAGAAACTGGAACTGATTTTGGAAGCGATTTTTGCCTCTAAACATAGAAGAAATATAACATTAACTCTACTTTCATTAGGTTATCAATTCTGATTAGACACACTTGTTTTTTAAAAAGGAAAAGATACTATTTATTTCTTTTAAAGCTTTCTTTATAAGAGAGATCTTCCATCCGCTGGCTCACTCCCCAGATATCTGCAACAGCCAGTGCTGGGCCAGATCAGAGTCAGGAGCTAAGAGCTTCTTCCTGGTCTCCCATGACTGAGACTGTGGGAAGCAGCCGACCCCACGTGTATGACAGGCGCCGCAAGATGGCACCTGACCGAGGGCCAGGAGGCAGGATTTGTCTCGCCAGCAGGAAGTCACAGGGATAGGCTAACGATTCTACTGGCCTATCAGGAAGCGCCCAGTGGACCCACGGGGAGAAGTGATTGGTGGAGAAATATATATAAGCAGCCCACTTTCGGCAATAAATATATATAAGCAGCCCACTTTTCGTTTGCCCTTCTTTTTTGTTCGGCTTTTCATTCGTCTCTCCTTTCTTGTTTGCCTGTTCGTTTGTGTGTGTGTTCGTGTGGTGTGTGTGTGCCGGATGCGGTGGCGGTTCCAGGCCCTCGAGATTCCTTGTCATTTTAGTGTTGCCGCAGGACGGCGACACCAGACCATCTTCTGCTTTTCCTGGGCCACTAGCAGGGAGCTGGATGGGATGGAATGAGCGCCCACAGGCAGACAGGGGTTTTACACACAAATCACAGAATCAGCCCAAAAACAGTATTTAAAAACAAATCAGCTGACAGAGGTTTAAATGTAAGAAACTACTAGTAGAATACTGAATACGTAATGGCATAGTCAGATAACACATCTAACATAATAAACTACAGTCCCATGAATAAATCATTATATTAACTAAAAACTAGCAAGTCATAGAATTATATAATAATTTCACTTATGTAAAGTTCAAAATAGATATTGGAATAGGTAAAATAATACACGAAATTCCCTGAATGCAAGGGAGTAATATAGCAAATTTACTCATGTAAAGGACCAGCTTGCAAAACCAGACCTGGCTGGCATCTGGAAACGCGGCTTTCTGGAAGGTGCAGAAAGGAGATGAAAAATGGGTGCAGGGAAGGACACACACAGATCCTCAAAGGTATTTGTATTTCTCCCACTGAGTGATGGGTATGTGTGTAAAGTTACTATTTTTTTAAATTTTATGTGTAATGTATTGTTATGTAAATTTGAAATATTTTAAGTCACAAATGTAATACTTAATGTAATTTCAAATGTGTACATTCTAGGGAACATGCACACAGAAGAACATGAACAAGCATGTTCACTGCATCACTACTAAAAGAAAAATGGATACTGGAACCAATTCCCTTCTTAAAAAAGCAGGTTTTTGTTTACTCTGTGTTTCCTCCTGAAACCTCATTTAGGATTCTTAATAACATACAAATCCTGAAAGAAGAAAAAGAGAAGGAGGTAGATGAGCTCAGGACTAGAAGCATGCGGCAATGGAGAAAGCCCAGAAGCACAGGCTCATGCTTTTACAGAGCTCAGCAAGATGAGTAACTTTATAGATACAAGGCACCTCCAAAAGGAGGAGCACCTCGGGCCAGCCACAGCGCGTTTATTAAAAGCAAGGGTAGCAAGTAGCGAGCACAAGGAGCTCCCTACCTCACAGTATCAGGTTAGATAGAACTGTCTTTAGTTTAAGCATCAAAGAAGAATGGGAATTTAGTGACGTGCAGAGTTGAAGCTAAGGGTTTTACAGACACATTAAGTTCCAGCATTCAAACAGCACCTTCCCTTCTGCCCCATCAGACTAAGAATACTTAGTGAGAATCAGGACACCTCTGCTCACTCCAAGTAAGAAAGACGTTTTGTTACAAGATCCAAGCCAATAGAGGAAAAACAAACAAACAAACAAAAACCATTACAGATACTAACACCTAGACATACATAAAAATGGCCCACATTTACTACATCATAGGAAATCCATCAAACTACATATTTTACCATTCATATAGAATTCCTACTCTTTAATAAGTCACATCTAAAAATTAATAAACACTTAACAAAAGGCAACAATGCAAATTAAACATAAATAGTACTTATGGGCCCAGCATGGTAGCTTAGTAGCTAAAGTCCTCGCCTTGAACACACTGGGATCCCATATGGGCACCGGTTCTAATCCCAGCAGCCCTGGGAAAGCAGTTGAGAACAGCCCAGAGGCCTTGGGACCCTGCACATGCGTAGGAGCCCCAGAAGGGGTTCCTGGCTCCTGTTCGAATAGGCACAGCACCGGCCATTGTGGCCACTTGGGGAGTGAATCATAGGATGGAAAATCTTTCCAACAAAAATAATAAAAAGTAAATCTAAAACAAAAACAAAAATCAAAAAACCAAAAACCAAGGTTTGACATTGTGACAAAGCAAATAAATCCAGCGCTACATATGGGAGCCAGTTCGATTCCTGGGAGCTCCGCTTCTGATACAGCTCCTGCTATTGCACCCACAAAGGCAGCGGAGGATGTGCTTGGGCTCCCATGTAAAGCAGCTCCTAGCTCCTGGCTTCACACTGGGGAATGAACAGTGGACGGCAGATCTTTCTGTGTAATCCTGCCTTCAGACAAAATAAAACTAAAAAACAAACAAAACCCAAGGCATTAACATGGCATTTTCAACAAAGAAGGTCAAACAAAACAAGGCAGCATTTGAAGCAACCCCTGAAGAGTGGGTGTCTGGCTGAGCAGTAAAGACACTAGATGAAATGTCCACGTCCCACGTCAAGTGCTGGGTTCAAGTCCTGCTCCCCTCCTGATTCCAGCTTCCTGGCATGGAGTAGTTTAACTAGTTCAACTAGTTGGGTCTCTGTCAGTCATATGGAAGATGTGAACTGGGTTCCAGGATGCTGGCTTACGGGTTCCTGTGAGTGAATCGGGGGGATGAAGCTTCCTATCTCTAATTATCTTTCCACCTCTCAGTTTTTAAAAATTTCATGAGAAAATCATTTCTAACTTAGACTTTATATCCACCAAAATTTATTATCAACAGAGTAAAAACATCTTATTTTTAAACATGTAAGCTCCTGGCTTTGGATCTGTTCAGCTCTGATCGTTGTGGCAGTTTGGGGAGTGAAACAGCAAAAGGAAGATCTTTATCTCTCCTTCTCTCTGTAAATCTGTCTTTCAAATAAAAATAATCTTTAATAAAAATATATAGGCTACATATACACCTATATTAAATTTATATACTTATTGTATATTACAGATAATATATAATCATAATATATATTATATAATATTACATAGAAAAGGGCCAATTCACCAAAAAAAAAAAAAAAAAAAATTTTGTAGAGCACACAGTACCACCTCTGTGACAAGCCTAGGAACAGCTAAAGGAGGAAAAAAAGAAAGAAAAAATTTTTTAAAAAATCTAAGAAAGATTCCTAAAGAAAAGAATTGGAAATGATAGATTATCTAATGTGTCTACGTATACAAGAAGACATATACACTTCTGTCACAGACACCAGAGGTGAATCAGTCACGGCAGCACAGAAAGTCAAGAATGAAAAATCCAAGCAAATTCATCAATAAAAAAGCCAACAGCTGGGGACAGTGCTGCGGTGTAGTGGATACACGTGCTGACTACCGTGATGGCATCCCATGTGGGCACAGGTTCAAGCACCTGCTGCTCCACTTCCAGTTCATCTCCCTGCTGATACGCCTGGGAGAGCAGTAAAACAGATGCCCTTTGGCCCTTGCAACCCTTGGGAGACCCGGAAGCAGCTCCTGGCTTTGGAATGGCCTTGTTCAGGCCACTGCAGACATTCAGGAAGTGAACCAGTAGAAGGAACATCTCTGTCTCTGCCCTTCTCTCTTTCTCTGTAACTCTGTCTTTAAAATCAAAACAAAATAAAAACAAGCCCCTAGCAGTCATAAATAAATAGGGGGAAAGAGAATGGTTTTACTGCTGTCATCAAAGTATGTCTTGTGGAACTATTTAAACTTTTACAGTCAGACAATGCCACTGATCTTGGAACCTAAAAAATAAAAAAACAGAAAATATCAAAAACGACAGGAAACAGTAAAATAGAGACCCAGCATACTGAATTTTTAAAAAATGCTTATGAACTATGACTTACAGCAAGACAAAAAAAAAAGTGAAGGATCCAAATACGGAGGGCGGGTAGAGACACTATGGACTTGAAAACAATCATAAAAGAACGCTAACACAGGAGCCTGCACTGTGATACAACATCAGTGTCCCATATGAGCACCAGTTCAAGACCTGGTTGCTTCACTTCCAGTCCATCTCCCCTGTTAATGTGCCTGGGAAAGTACAAAATGGTCCAAGTACTTGGACTTCTGCACCCTCATGGGAGATGTGGGACAAACCCTAGAGGGCAGGTTTCAGCCTGGCGCAGTGGCCCCTGTAGCCATTTGGGCAGTGAAACAGCAGATGGAAGATTCCTGTCACTGCCTCTCCTCTCTTCCTTTCTCTCTTCCTCTTTCAGTGTGACTCTGAGTTTCAAATTAAGAAATCCTTAGAAAAAAAGTAACGCTACACAAAACTGAGAATAAAATACATGGTCTAGAGTTCAAGAACAACATAAAATGTGAAAATTAGCAAAAGAACTGGGGTAGACATGACACAGCCAGTTAAGTTTCCACTTGAACTGGTACATCCCACATCGGTGTGGCTGGATGGAGGGCCAGCTTTTGCTCCTCGTCCAGCTCCCTGCTAACAAAGACCCTGTGCGACAGCAGATGGCATCTCAAGTATTTGGGCTCCTGCCTCCTGGTAGAGGGATGAGATTCCTGGTTTCAGCCTGGGTCAGTCTGATTTTGGAGTGAGCCAGCAGATGGAAGGGCTCCCTCTCTATTTTTGTTTCTGTTTCAAAACAAATAAACTAAAAAAAAAGTAGGAAAAATTTAAAAATCTTTAAGTGGCAACAACAAATATCTCTACCCAAATAGCCCTAGCCATATTTTTCAGAAGGGATCCAAATTTGAAGGAACAGATCTTTTGCTTGCTCAAATTTTCCAAATAAATAAATAAATAAAACAGGAAAGAAATCTAACTTATTAAGTTGAGTTGTGGTTGATCATTAAAACCTAAGGGATGTTGTGGTAAGGGGCATATCCGGCATGGTGGTAGGGGTGCCACTTGGGACATAACATCTGTACTGGGATGCCTGGATCTACACCCAGGCTCTGCTTCAGATTCCAGTTTCCTGTCAGTGCATTCATTGAAAGATGGTGAGTGACGGCTCAAGTATGCTGGGCCCCTCCTGAGGAAGACCTAGACTGAATTCCAGGCTCCCCAGGAGGACGCTGCACAGAAGTGAAAGTCAGCTTAGCTACACACTGTATGATGTTGTTTCCATAGCCCCCTAAAAATGTAATTTGTTTTTTTCGTTCCTCTACTTTTAGCTTTGCTGTTACAATGCAATCGATGGCCTACTATGATCTGTTATGTCCTATGCAGAAGAAGAACCTCAGCATTATGTTGATCATAAAGCCCTACAAGAACATTTTAAAAAAAAGAGACATTATTCATGAGTCCATATGAAAATATATAAAGCATTAGCTCAGAGAAAATTAACAAATAAGTCTGTTCATATCAAGAAACAAAGTTGACTCTCAAAATTAAATTTTATCACATTACCTTTTAATTATAAAAATCAACTATGTCTTCATTCCTTGGAATCAAGAAACTCTATATAGTTAATACGTTGATAGAAGTTTTAACAAACGTTATTTCTAGGACTACACAACTTTTCTGAGTTTTTGAATCATCAGCTTTAAAAACTACAGGTGCTTTTTGTGTTTAGTTAAGTCATTTTATCTTCATAAGACATATAATCAACACAAGATTAGTTTCCCAGTATGGTAACAGAGTGCCTCCAACATGCAGAAAATAATCAGATCAGGACTTGGTTTTGGTACTTCACTAACTGCTCACTTTTCTAAAAAAACAAAGCTAAACATTATTTTAGGAGAAATAATCAAATGAATTTTATAGTTTCATAATTCTTAGAATCTCAATTTCAAATACAGAAGTATCAGATCAATTATTTCTAGATACTATTTCCAAATTATGTAGAAAATAAATGGAATTATAGAATTTCCTTTCAGATTTACAAATAGCTAAAATGTTTATAGTAAATTAATAGTTTCTTTCATTAAAATATTATGAGTTCTCCTTTTGAACTTACCTCCTGGTTTGGTGTCTGGCTACAATTGTCTCTTTCTTTGGGTGTTGAACAAAGCATTGATTTCATAGAATTTGTGCTAAAGTCATTGGCAAGACCTAGAAGAAATGTATGAAATTCAGTATAGCATCTGCTGGTTTTAATTACAAGTAGTTCTAAATGACATGTGAAGAACCGGCTATCAACTATTTAAAAATAATCAGCCTAAATAAAGTATAATACTCAACTATTCCAATGTTCCTGAATGGTATTGAAAACTGAGGAAGGCAAGTGAGACTCCACAAAAAGTCTGTCAGGTCAGTGGAACTTTCCATTGTTTGGGTTGGCTTCATGCTGTTCTAACAAAACACCTAAAACTCAGTAGTTCATACAGAATATAGATTTGCATTTTACAGCTGTGAAGGCTTGGAGTGTGAAATCCAGGACATCACATCTGGTGAGGGCAATAGATCAAGGCACATCTCCCAACCTCAAGCCTTTTAGAATCCGCATTAGCTCACTGCTGAAGGTGCTCTCTCACAGTAACCACCTGTCAAAGTTCTCGCCTCCTAACACACTTTCAGTAGAAACTAAGTTTTCAACAAGGTTTAAAGGAGACAAATTCAAACCACAGAATCTAGCATCTATCCTGATTTCTTGCAGTCTGCCAGTTCTCGTGTCCTAGTATTTTCAGATACTAATCAATACTTCCAAAAGTTTATGCCATAGTTCACAACTTTTTTAGAGAGATATATCACTAACGAGTACCTCAAACTTTTTGTACAGATCTCAAGAATTGTGCAAATGTATCTTCATTGCAGTTTGATTACTGCTTAACTAAACTTCTAGGGACCAAAAATGCTTCATATTTGAAAATATTTGAGCATACAAAAGGGGATGCCTGAGTATGGCATCCAAGTCTACATCCAAAATTTGTTTCAAATATCTTTTACATATATCTTAAAGATAATTTTATATAGTGTATTAAATAATTTTTTGCACAAAATAAAGTTTGATGGTATGGAGCCTCCTACTTACAGAATCATGCAGCACCCAACAAAGTTTCAGATTTGACAGCATTTTCATATCAGATTCTCAGATTAGGTATACTCATGTGTATATGAAATATTTCTCTTGCATATGGTAACTATACATGGACTTCCAGATTACAGGAATTCAATGGGAACTAATGGAGATGGCAAATTATTGTCATTTAGTCAGTATTATTCTAAGTGTACCAGGAATGAATGAGGGTTCACATACATAACTAAAATTCCAGAGAAAATAATTTACATATATTTAAATGCTGGAAACATATTGGCTACATTTAATAAGACAAATTTTTATCTTCATCCATGACAGCCTTTAAAAGTTCATCTACAGGCCTGGCAGAGTAGCCTAGTAGCCTAGTAGCCTAGTCCTCGCCTTGCATGTACTGGAATCGCATATGGGTGCCGGTTTGTATCCTGACTGCTCCACATTCCTTCTAGCTCTCTGCTTGTGGCCTGGGAAAGCAGTAGAGGATGGCCCAAAGCCTTAGGACCCTACACAATGGTGAGAAACCCAGAAGAAGCTCCTGGCTCCTGGCTCCTGGCTCCTGGCTTTTGGATCAGCTCAGCTCTGGCTGTTGCGGCCACTTAGGGAATAAACCAGCAGATGGAAGATTTTTCTCTGTAAATCTGACTTTCCAACAAAACAAACAAACAAACAAAAAAGTTCACTTAGAAATGAAACCTTACAGGCCTGGCGTGGTGGTGCAAGTGGTTAAGGTCCTTGCCTTGCACGCCCGGGATTCCATATGGGCGCTGGTTCTATCCCAGCAGCCCCACTTCCCTTCCAGCTCCCTGCCTGTGGCCTGTGAAAGCAGTCGAGGACGGCCCAAGGCTTTGGGACCCTGCACCCGCATGGGAGACCCGGAAGAGTCCTGGCTTCGGATCGGCATAGCACCGGCCGTTGTGCTCACTTAGGGAGTGAATAATCAGATGGAAGATCTTCCTCTCTGTCTCTCCTCTCTGTATATCCGCCTTTCCAATAAAAAAAATAATAAAAATAAATCTTAAGAAAAAAAAAAGAAATGAAATCTTACTTCAGACTGGAAGCCACCACTGGAATTCCAGCAGGGATCTGTAGATTGTCTGGGGAAGAGGATTTGGGGATGTGCGGGAACAGGGCCAATGAAGGAGTGTTTGACAGGTGTGGAATGATACCTAGGGGATGTCCAGAATGCCTTCTGGGTCACTGCACTTGCAAGTGAGGAATGACTGTAGAGGGCTTCCAGGTACCAGGACACTACACTTGCAGGCAAAATAGGGAGCTGAGATGGAATGATTTAGAAAGGTGAAATTGGAGGGCACGCCTGGGTCAGACCAAGCACCCACTCATGCAGGAGACCTGGGCTGGGCTAAGTAGCATCACAGACCACCTGCTGGCATGAAGGAAAACTAGCACCCTTTGGGGCCTGCCTGACAGGGTTAGGCTGCAGTACCTGCCAGTGAGCAACAGGGCAAGGGGTAGGCCATGTGGGGCTGTACTGCTTACATGAAAACTGGGTTTAGGGAAAGATTTTGTAGAGGATTTGGGGACTCATCCGTGGGGGACTACATTACCGACTGGTTTGCATGAGAGCTGGGGGCAGTGATGGACCAAACCAGGCACCAATGCAACTATCCAGGGTTCACAGGAACTGGGTTTGGGAGCAGGCCAGGGTGGCCCAAGCTGCAGCACCTGCAGGCACACCTTAGGACCAAATCCAGGGCTGCAGCACCTACCAGCATATGCAAAGGCTGGAACTAGAAGTAAACTATGTAGGGGAAGGGGTCTACCACCCACCAACACGTTAGATCTGGGACTGGAAATAGGCCTGGCAGGGGATCTAAGGGAAATCCACCAATAGGTCATAGTTCCCACTGGTGTGAGGCTACAGCACTAGTCAGTACATGTGTGGACTGGGTCTAGGGGCAGGCCGGGCTGGGCTGGGCTGGGCTGGGCTGGGCCTTAGCACCTACTGGCTCACCTGAGAGCTGGGATGGGGTGTAGGCCAACCTAGAATGGGCAGCTGTATTCACCAGTCCAGAAGAGAAATAGAGTTAGTGATAGGCTGGGGTTGGTGCAGCACCCACTGGCAAAAGTCAGGACTAGGGGTAGACCATGTCAGGCTAGGTCAAAGCACCTGCAGGCAAGTGCAAGATCCAAGGCTGAGAGTGGGCCTGGTAGGGGAACTAAGGGGCTGCAGCTCCCACTGGAGAGCAGGAGAGCCTAGGACTGAGGTGGGGGGAAAGGAAGGAGAGAAGGAATAGGGGACAGGTCCCAGACTAAACAGGACTGCACCCCTTGGCATACACATTGGACTGGGTCCAGGAACAGGACAGACTGGGCTGGGGCCCAGCACCCACCAGTGCTCATGAGAGCCACAGTGGTGCAGGAAAAGTTGAATTAGTCACAGTACCCAGAGATCTACATGAGAACCAGATCTGGGCTGTTATACCCACTGGCAAGAGCTGGAATGGGTACAGACTGGTCAGTGAAGGCTGCAGTATCTGGCAGTGAGTGACAAGACAGGGGCAGGCCAGGTCAGGCTAGGATGAGCTTCCTCAATATGCACCCCAAATCCTTGGCTGCAAGCGTGTCTGACAGGGGAATTTGGAGAACTACTCTTAGGACACAGCCCCTGCTCGTGAGTGCAAGAGCTAGGGTTGGGGCCAGGCCAGACTAGACCAGGTCAGGCCAAGCTGGGCTAAAGTACCCATCAGCATATGTGAGGGCCAGGTCTAAGGAGAGGCCAGGTTGAGCAAGTCTGCAGAACCTGCTGTCACATGCAAGAGCTAGGATGGTGTGCAGGCTGGGCTGGTTTGGATCACAAGACCCACCAGTTTACATGAAGGCAGAAGCTAGAAGCTGGCTAGGCTGGGCTAGGCTACAGTACCTTCCAGCAAGTGGTGAAGTGGGGTAGGCCATGCCAGACTGGGTCACAGCACCCACCAGCTCACACAAGCCCCCAGGAATGGAGTGGATCTGAGAGGGGAGCTTCAGAGACTCCCTTAGTAGGCTGTTTTCACTGGTGAGTGTGAAAGCTTGGACTGGGACAGACTGGGCTGGGCAAGACAGGACTGCAACAGCCAACAGTGGCATGTAGGCTGAACCTCAGGGAAGGCTGTGTTGTGCTGGGTTGCGACAACAGTTGACAAAAACAAGAGCCAGAAGAGATGCGGGTCAGTCGGGCTTTACCAGAGTATGTGCTAAGAAGAACCAGGACTGGTATGAGTCATGTCAGGCTGGACCAGAGTGGCCCCTGACAGGTGCAAATTCCAAGGCTGGGAGTGATCCTGATAGGGGAACTATAGGCACTCTGCTGCTAGGCTGCAGCTTCTACTAGTAAGCATGAGAGCCAGGGCTGGTAGTGAATCAGGCTAGACAAGACAGCAGCACCCACCAGCATACGTATAAGCTAGGTCTGGAGCCAGGGCAAATGATCTAAGACACAATACCCATGGATGTACAAGAGAGCCACGTGGGTCATAGGATAGATCAGGCTAAACTGCAGCACATGCCCAGGCCATGCAAAAAGATCAGGGCTAGAGGGTGGGGTCACTGGGCTCACCTTGACTAGGCTACGGCACCTGCTAGTGTACATGAAGACCGGGCCTGTAGCGGCCTGGGCTGGGTCACAGGAACAGTCGGTCATGAGATGGGGCTGAGGGCAAAACTGCCCAGGCAGCTGCATCCATCAGAAGGGGTGTTGGCTGGTGAGGGTAACAGACAGAACTTGATCCTGCACTGGCTGGCACATGTAAAAGTCAAGTCTGGGGTCATACTAGGTGAGGTTTCTTGGGGGAATCCCCAACTAGACCACTGTGCCCAAACCCTGGCCACAGGGAAATTCAGAGATATGTGGTCCAAACTTGGAGTGCACATATAGGCTCTGGGCCTCCTCAGCTCCTGATGTCCATGCAGTGTCAGAGCATATACAGATGCCTACAGAGGGAACGGCAGCCAGCTCATCTAGGCCATCAGCAGCTACTGGGCGCCTCAGTAGATGGAAAGCAAAGCAGGATGAATGGCCAAGCTTTGTAGCAAGCGTCTGGGTCTGCAGAGGCTCTAAGGCGGACATTGTCAACCAACAGACCCTGAAAAGATTTTCTCAGTTCTGGGGTGATGAAATCAACATCTCAGAACTATCAAATTCTCTCAAGTAACACCCTCAGGAAATGCTTCTTCACATTGGGGTCTTAAAGGCATCATCAAATGACCATCCGCATCCCCAGATTCTGACGTAGTTTAATAGCAAGACGCCCCGGCCACCCCCTCACCCTTGCAGATACAGGAGTGAAAAAAAAAACTGAAACATTTTATCCCACACACCTTCATCTATACCTGGGTCCTCTCCACCTTAACCAGAGGCTGACATGCACATACAACCCTCTGAACTATGTAAACAATATTAAAAAATAAAATCAAAATTAAAAAAAAAACTCACTTTTTTCTTCAAAACAGTCTTGTAAGAATTCCACCATGTTCTGACCTTGCTCTGTATGAATATCAGGTGCCCTGGTTAAAAATAAGGAGAAAATCTAATAGATCTTTTGCAGAACATATAGGTTATTTATTTGAAAAACCTTACCTCATTATTATAAAACTATGAACTTACTTAACAGGAAAATTATTTTTAGCATTTGAAGAATTTGAAGGTATGTCATTACCTAAATAAACAATTATATTCCTTAGTTGAATATCCATGTCTAAAGCTTTTTGTTAACAAGAACATAACTATTTTTGAAAGAATCCAATTAGTCCATCACCGCTTGTTTAATAAAGACTTCTCAGTCATGGTCCTACATATTCAGGTAACATAAAATTCCTTCTCACAAGTTCTCAAATCTTCTTTTGAATCAATATACATTACCAGCAGCTCACGAATCAGTATACATTTCTTAATTAAAAATTATATTGAGGAGTCAGTGTTGCATCTCACATTAGAGCAGGCCAAAGTCCTGGCTGCTCCACTTCTGAAGAAGACCTAAGTGCTTGGGCTCCTGCCACCCTTAAGGGAGACCCGGATGGCTCCTGGCTCCAATCTGTACCAACCCTGGTTGTTGTGGTCACTTGGGGAGTAAGCAAATGGATAGAAATCTCTTTCTCTATAACTTTGCCTTTCAAATAAATAAAGTATTTCTTAAGATTCATTTTATTTTTATTGCAAAGTCAGATATACAGAGAGGAGGAGAGACAGACAGGAAGATCTTCTGTCCAATGATTAACTCGCCAAGTGGCCGCAATGGCCGGAGCTGAGCTAATCCGAAGCCAGGAGCCAGGAGCCAGAAGCCAGGAGCCAGGAGCTTCTTCTGGATCTCCCACATAGGTGCAGGGTCCCAAGGCTTTGGACCATCTTCGACTGCTTTCCCAGGCCACAAGCAAGGAACTGGATAGAAGTGGGGCTGCTAGAATTAGAACCGGCGCCCATATGGGATCCCGGTGTGTGCAAGGCGAAGACTTTAGCCGCTAGACTATTACGCCAGGCTCAACAAAATAAAATCTTAAAAAACAACAAAAAACAGAGAGAGACCACTTGTTTACATTACCCCACTCCCAGAAACAATGCTTTGAAAACCAGCAGCAAGATATCAAACCAGGACACCACTGTGTCTATTCAGAATTCTATAGTTCCATATGTATTCATTTGTTTAGATACTGGTTCTGTACAAAGCATCCCAGCCACAGATTTAGACATCACACTCATTTCAAAATACTCAGCAGAACTCGGTGTTGCAGTGCAGTGAATTAACCTGCTACCTACAACAACATCTCATATAGGTGTCAGTTCAGGTGCAGCTCAGCCTCCCTGCTAAAGTGCCCGGGAAAGCAGTGGAGAGTGACCCACATTCCTGGGATCCTGCACCCATGTGGGAGAGCCAGATGAAGCTACAGGCTCCTGGCTTCAGCCTGGCCCAGCTCCAGCAACTGCCGGAGACCAGCTCCAGCCAAGTTCGGAGCTCAGGAAGGGTGCGTGGAGTTGATGATGAAGAAAGACACGGACACTGTCACTTGGTGCCCTCTTGTAGCAGCTCAAGAAGCTGGCCTTTTTTGTTTTCTCAGACACATCACAAGCTTCTGTACAAACAACTAATTGTTGTATTATTACTTCAAGACTAAGGGGGCATATACAGACATTTGGTCATTCTGTCTGCACTTGAGGGCTAAGCAGGTGCCCCTAAAGATAATTCTGCAAAATACTGTATTCATATTCTTCAAAGCAAGCCATTATTCATTCTTCAATAGTAGCGATGGAGCGACAGCCAGGACTCCAAGGCCAAGGCTCATGCGATTACCTGCTAATCAGTACTACATTACTACCACATTTCTATTTCCAAAACTTGACCATCATTTAATGGGAAAAATATACTACAAGGGAAAAAACGTAAAAATCCAAGACAAAAGCTTCAAATAGTAAATCCCCCCACAATTACAGGGTATATAACCTCATAAACAATACAACAATAATCAAAAGCACATCTCTATGATATTAATAACATCACCCTATAATTCCTTTAGTTAAAAAAATTATAAGAGTGGCTAAAACAGCTACGTTTTCTATGCTCTAAAGAGTTGCAAGGACAGGCTAACCTTTAGGGTCATAGTAGCTATATTTTTTTGCCACAGCAGTTTCAGTTCATACTCCCATCACTTTCATTAGTTTGTAAGATCCTTATCAAGTCATTTCCCAGAAGGTATGCTACATGTCTGGTCCAGATTACAGGGCAATGGGTAGGCACACAATGAGGTGTCCAGACACAGTGTGGGCTTAATCGTACTCCTGTGTGCAGTTAAAGGCCCACTCATCAGAACATTATCAATAATATTAACTCCCAAGTTCACATCAGTTACAAAACTCATCTCACAGGGGCAAACAACAATGCCTCAACAGATTACAGAATTCTTAGTGGGGTGCTTGAATGTCCATGCAAACAGGGGGTGAAACTGCATCAAGGCAGTCAGAGAGACATCCGCCAGGCCCTGTCAAACAGCTGCAAGCTCATCCGGGCCCTGCCAAACAGCTGGAAGTTCCCTAGGCCCTGCCAAACAGCTGGAAGCTCCCCAGGCCCTGCCAAACACAGGAGCTGTTCTCTTCACCCCTTTGTGTCATCCACACCTCCTGCACGGGCTCCAGCAAGCAACTGCTCCCACTTGGGTAGTGAGCCAGAAGATGAAAGCTCTCTCTCCCTCTCTCTTTTTCTGTTTCTCTCACTAACTCTGTGACTCTGCTATAGAAATAAAACACATCCTTTTTTAAAAAAACCAGAAATGGTTAAGTCTGTAAATCACCTGGAAGGCCGGCAAAATCTTCTTCTGTAGTCATTTTTGAGATGATCCTGAAAGAAAAGTCAGTCACCAGTTCAGTCTTTCTGTTTAAAACGTACCGAGGTACCACTTCTCTTCAAAGCAATTCCACCCCAATGAGGGCATGTCAGAAAAGTTCAATTCCTCATTTACTCATGGAAGAAGCATTTGTTAATTTTCTGCCACAAATAACACAAAATAGAACCATGTTTTTTACCTACTGATTTGAAAACCTTACATATATGATGGTAGATCAAAAAAGGTCATGGAAAACGAAGTTAAAACTTCAGTTAACTTTGGTGCAAGATACTTTCAAGTTCATGCAGTTTTTCATAATTCCCATTTCTCACAAACTTTATGAAGTACAACTGTCCTACTTCACGTCTCACCTCAGGTTCTTTCCATTGATTACTCCTCTCCTTCCATTCATTCCCATGCCTTTTCCACCATCAAAAGCCAAATTATCAGGTCTACCAACAGTTCAGGTTGGTTAACTAACAATACTTATTAATACATCTTTCCTAAGCGCACTAAAAATGTAATATAGGACTAAAACAGCACTAAGCAACGTGAAGAAAGAGAATGCAAGAGAGGGCCTTATGCAGACAAACATAACAAATTTGTAGAAATTCGCCATTGATAAAAATCAAATACATAAAATTAAAGCACAACGGAAACTACACTAACTGATGAAGGAAGCTGATCTGCCCAGTAGAAAGCCAAGACATGCAGGACCAGGAAACCTGAGGTCTGAAGATGTCAGGAGTGAGACAAAGGAACAAAAGCGGGGTGACTAAAGAATACAAGACACAGAACAGCAGACTTGTTCTTACTCTATCCTTGTAAACACAGAGCGTCACCAGAGTGGTCTGCTGAAATGGGGCCAGTCCTGTGGCCTAACACGTTAAGCCTCCTGCAACACTGGTGTTCTATATAGACTCCGTTTAATCTCTGGCTGTTTCACTTCTGATCCAGCTCCCTGTTATTGAGCCCAGCAAAGCAGCAGAAGCTAGCCCAGGTACATGTCCCCTGCACCCACTGGGAGGTTTGGAGGAAGCTAGGGACTTCTGGCTTTGGCCTGGACCAACCCAGGCCTTGTGGCCATTTGGGATATGGGCAAGTGGATGGATGGAAGATATATCTACTTCTGCCTTTCAAACAAATTTTTAAAAATTAATTTTTAAGTCTCAGATATGACCAGCATCTGACACTGTGCCTTACAATAAATAAATCTTTAAAAAGAAAAACTGTAATATAAAAACCATAATATTAAAACCATCACTTTTCAAAAGGGAGACAGGAGTAGATAGATGGTCTTTCAACTTATTCTTCAGTTGATTTAAATTTGACTTGCTTTTCATTGTCAGATTATGTTTCTCCCACATGGGAGACCTGGGCTGGTCTAAATAGCACTGCCAGCCGCCCACTGGTGCTCACAAATGCAGGGGTCCTGGGGCATGCTTGTCTGGGCTAGGCTGCAGTACCTGCCCACAAGTGTTGGAGCAGGGAGTAGGTTAAGTCAGACTGGACCACAGCACTCACCAGAAAATGAGAGAATCAGATCTAGGGGGAAAGATTCTATAGAGTTGTGGGCTCGCCTTTGTGGGATTGCAGCACCCACTGGTTTACGCAGAGAGCCAAGGCAGCGATGGGCTGAGCCAGGCTGGATCACAGTATTCACCTGACAGGAACCCAGCTGACACTCTTGGGAGCAGGAGCTTAGAGAAGGTAGGGTTGGGCCAGGCTGCAGCACCTACCAGTACGTGTAAGGGCAGGGACTAAAGGCAGAGCATGCCAAGCAGGGTCTCTACTTGCATGCGTGAGATCTGAGGCTGGAAGTAGGCCAGTAAGGGAACTTGGGGAACTCTTCTACTAGGCTGCAGCTCCTGCTGCAAAATCGTCAGGGCTGGGGGGGATGGGGCAAGCCTTGAGAGGATGCAAAACTCATCAGAATTTGCGTGGGTCAGTTCTGGGGATAAGCCAGGCCTCAGCACCCACTGGCACACACTAGAGCCAGGACAGGCTATGGCATACACAAGAGCCACGTTGGGCTAGGCTGTAACACCCCCCAGTGAGAGGCGATACTGCTGTTAGGCCAGGCCAGACTGGGTCAAGCACCTGTCAGTACACAAAAGACTTGGGGCTAGCAATGGGCCTGGTAGAGCAACTCTGGGACTCCTCTGTTGGACTGCAGTTCCCACAGGAGAATGCGAAAGCTGGGGCAGGGGGTAGGCTAAACTGGGATAGGCTCCAGAACCTGCTGAGTTACAAGAAAGCTAGGTCTTGGGGTAGGCCAGGCTGGACTAGGGCTGCTGCACCCGTCAGCAACAGCTGGAACTGGAGGCAGGTTGGCTGAGTCAGGCTACAGCACCTGTTGGCAAATGCTGAGACTAAGAATGAACCATCTCAGACTGGGCTGGCACAAGCTAGACCAGGGCTGGAAGCAGGCCTGGTAGGGGATGTGCAATAGCTCTCCTTTCCTGCGCTGCTGCTTCCACTGATGAACATGAGAGCTGGGACACGGAGCGGGGCTAGACTGCTGCACCAGTCGGTGCACAATGGGTGTACAATGAGTCAAAATGGGTGTGGGCCAGCTGAGCTAGGCCTCAGCACAAGCTGGCAAGTGTCAGGACTGGGTGCAAGTCATGTCAGGCCGCACTGCAGTCAATATATCCCCTGGCAGGCACAAGATCTGTAGCTGGGAACCTGCCTGGCAGGGTACCTGTGGGCATCCCCTGCTAGTCTGTGAGCACAAAAACCACGACTAGAGATAGGCCAAACTGGACAAGGCAGTGACACTTGTTGGCATACATGAGGCCAGGTCTGGGGACAGGTTGGGCTGAGCTAAGCCACACCCATGGGTATGCACAAGAGCCAGATGGGACATAGGGTGTGCGGCCAGGAAACAGTAGAGGCTGGCATATGTGAAAACCAGGGCCAGGGGCAGGCCTAGGGGGCTACTGGGGTCATCCCAGGTAGGTTGCAGCACCCCTGGTGTGCAAGAGGGCAGGACCAGTAGCTGTCTGGGTCACAGCAACCAGTGGTTGTCCTGAGAGATGTGCCTGGGTGCAGAACTGTTCAGCCAGCTGCATCCACTGGTACGTGCATCGGCCAGTGCAGGTGACAGACTGAACCTGATTCTAAACCAGCTGGTTGACACAAGAGTCAAGTCTGAGGTCACCCCAGTTGAGGCTTCCTGGGAAATCTGCAATTAGATTGCTGGACTCAAACTCTGGCCACCAGGAAAATCATAATACATGTGGTCTGACCTTGAAGCGGATGTATCAGGGCTGGGCCTCCTCAGTTGCTGATGCCTGAGCAGTGGACAGCACACCCAGGTGCACACAGGGGATATGACAGTCAGTTCATCTAGGCCAGAAGAGGACAGTAAGTGTATTTCTGAGGATTGAGAGCAGAACAGGTTGGATAACTCTCGTGGCCAAGCTCTGCAGCATGTTCCTGGGTCTATGCATGCACTAAGTTGGCCTTTGTCAACCAAGAGATCATGGAAGGATTCTCGTCTCTAGAACAATGAAATGAGCAACCTCTCAGGACTATCAAAACTATTCAAGTAAGATTCCTGGAACATTCTTCCCCCACACAGGGGTCTCTAAGGTGTCATCAAATGACTGTCCCCCATCCCTGGGTGCTGATGTAGTTTTGACAGCAAGAAGCAGGCTCCCTTCCCCTTCCTCCAATGAGGACACAGGAGGAAAAAGGCTGAAACATTTGTCCCACCCACCTTCCTCGGTACCCCAAGGGCGTGCATCCCTCTCAACTCTGTAAACAATATTAAAAAGAATATTTAAACTTTTTTAAAGATAGATTTAAGAAAGCAAATACTATAGAATGTAATAGGGGTGCTCAAGGCTTTGCCCCCTCACTTTTGGATAGAGAAGTCTTAGTCCTGAGGACTACAGGTGGTGTGCTCAGTGTTACAGGGGCCCTGCAGCACTGGCAGTCACCCCACCCTCGGCGCCCTGTCAACAGACACCTCCACGAGCGCCACACAATCCCGCACTGGGAACCCCTGAAGCGCCAGAAGGGGCTCAGGGCTCACCTCCCTCACCTCTGACCGTGCCGCAGTCAGACTTCAGAACAGAAAGGCGCAGAACTGTTCCCAGGTTAGGACATTCAACATTCAGGAACGCTCTCTCTTTTCTTCCCCTCACCAGTGAGAATGGTTTCACTGTTTTTGTCCTTCCTAATTACGTATAATGTAAACAAAGCATGTGGTCCTTGTCAGAGTACATCCAGTTCACAGACAGGGAGCCATCAGCAGGTGCAAGGTCTTCTAAAGGCGGAGAGAACATTAGGGAACACCAGTGTGGGGCAAAAGATGACACGGGCTTTAAATTTACAGTAACCATACGCCAAGTATTAAATATGAACCAGGGACAGCACCGAAGGAGCCCAGAGACACACAAAGCAGATGGTCTCCGTGCTAGGTGGGCAGTCGGGGCTTGCCCCTCTCAGAAGAGGAGCTTTCAGCAGACTTTAACAACTCCGCCCCCAAACGCCCAACAGATTCAGCATTCTGACCTCACTAAAAACAGAAAGTTAGAAAGTCTGATCATCTCAAGTCAATCTTGATCTGACTCCAGACCGGCAGGTCTGCAACAGGGGAACGGCTCGTTCTAGGATGTTGCGGCGCGTTCACTCTGCAGCCAAGCTGCAAACTACAAACAGGGTTTGGGAAACAAAACGACACACCGTTTGGCAACCGGAACCCGCGTCACGAAATCCTAAGGTAGCAACAGAAGTAGACTAACTGCGGATTTTCACAACTCCGTGCGCTTCGGCCGCTGACATCGGACCAGCCGCCGCCCGGACGCCCGCCGCCTCCCTACCAGCCAGGAGCCGCGGGGCCCACACTCACCAGACCCGAAGCGGCCATGTTGCAGCCCCGCTCCGCCCGCGCCGGGGATCCGAGCGGAAGTCCACGCGGGCCGCGGTTCGAGAAGACGGAGAACGGAGCACCGGATCGGCCCTGAGGTAACAGGCGGCCGGCCCGGGGGCTGCCACCCCAGAGACGCGCGCGCACGCCCGAATTTCAAACGGACGGCCGCATGCGCAGAACGCGCGGGGCCACCCAATAGGGAGAGAGCCGTTACTGGAGGCCCGGCCCTCCGCGCCGATGCGTCACTCGGCGGCGACGTCGCCGCGGCCACGGCGCGCGCTGCTTCGAGAAGGCGCGGCCCTAGAGCCTCCTGTGCCCGGAGTCCCCGTGTGCGCGGCTCCCGGTGTGCGCGGCTCGGCGGCGCGGAGCACGTCCGTGTTTTCCAAAGATTATGCGCATTGAATAAATTGACGAATCAGCAGTCGTCGATCTTTGCCATGCTTTCATAAACGGCGTCGTTTATGGGAAGAAAAAGAGGCGTTCTGAACTCCTTTGTGGAATCAAATACCTGCATTACCATCTTGCCATCACGGGCAAGTTAATGCTCCGTTGCTCGATTCCCTTGAATATTCCATGGGAGCAAAGCAGGACGCTGAGATTGCTGTAAATACTGGCAATGCCCGGAGCACGGGACGGTCTTGGGCTCCAGGCAGCAGACCTGGGAGGGCTGCTTGCAGCAAAGCGCCCGGGAAGCAGGGGAGAACGGCCCAAGTGCCCGGGTCCTTGCCACCCAAGTGCAAAACCCGCACGGAGGGCCTGCTCCGGGCACCGGCCGGGCGCTGACCTGGGTGCTGCGGCCGTTGGGATGGTGAACCAGCACATGATCACTGCTCCCCTGTTTTTTCAAACAAATAGTTTTAAAAAGAGAGCGACTGAGAGGAAGACACATGGGAAAATGTGAGCTATAGCTCCTAGAGAGCGCGTACGTCGGGGCTTTTTAACACTACTTTTCAGCATATCTGTATGTTTGAAATCTTTCACAATCAAACGGTGGGAGAAGATGCATGAATAAAATTGGTGCAGATCTGTGTAAAATGCTTACAAAAATGTATTCTGCAAAACTCAATAGTGAAAACTGTTTTCAGCAAAAATGACACGGTGCTAAAAATTATAGCATAGCTGCAACTACAGCTTAAAATTTGCTAGGATTAAGCAAATTTTCTTTTGTGACTTTGGTTTTATTTTTTTAAACGTTTATTTTAACTCTTTATTGCCAAGTATCGTTATTTGTTAGGCAGAATCACTTCGTAAGTTGTGTTTCCTGCAAATTAACCTCAGGCAGAAGTGCTAATTGGTGAGTAGTAGTGTCTGCAGTGTGCCACTAGGTGGCGGCAATGTTCACCAAAACACGGTCTACTAGGCAAGGAGGCATTAAAACCTGCACACTCCTTGATTACAAAGCACGTTGTGAATTAATGACCTTTGCTTTTACCAGATTACCTTTGCCAACCTTTACATTATTAGCTGTAATTGTATTCAGTTATTTATTTATTGTTTCTTTTAATCCACGTAACAAATAACACTACTTTAGGGGTCCCTGTTCTGTATTCTACAGTTTACTTAGTCGACTTTTAATTCTCACCCCACAGAAACATTAGTCATTGAAAATGCATTTTAATTTTTCAAAGCTTAACAGTTCCGTATTACAATTTTAGCCTTGGAAGGACTTACATTATTTTGCGTGGAAACTGGCACATATTGTAGAACATGGCAGCCACTTGCAAAGAAGTACAAGACAGTCAAAATGACCATGCACGCTGCCACCACCTTAATTAAAGTAAAAATTCTGACTGCCTCATGACCTAAAACATTTACAACTCTCTTAAAGTCTTATAAATGTAAAGGAAATTTTAAAAGAACAGTAAAACTGTTGAATTGATACCTTGTGACTTGAAGCGTTGAAGACATTAAAAGAAAAGCATTTTAGTTCTTTGCAAAGAAACAGAAAAGGACGATCAAGAGTAGCTTGAGCAGTGTCTGCCTTCCTCTCTGCCATGACATGCAAACAGGAAGCGTCTCTTGAGCTGTTCTTAACTCTAAAGACAGTGACATAGAAGATATTTTTATTATTTTAAAAAAGATTTATTTTTAGTGCAGACTCAGACATACAGAGAGGAGAAGAGACAGAGAGGAAGATCTTCCATCTGTTGATTCACTCTCCAAGCAGCCACAACAGCTGGAGCTGAGCCAATTCGAAGCCAGGAGCCAGGGGTTTCTTCCAGGTCTCCCACACGGGTGCAGGGTCCCAAAGCTTTGGGCTGTCCTCGACTGCTTTCCCAGGCCACAAGCAGGGAGCTGGATGGGAAGCAGGGCTGCCAGGATTAGAAGTGGGGCTCATATGGGAATCCAGTGCGTGCAAAGCAAGGATTTTCTATGGCGCCGGGCCCAGAAGATATTTGTGAATACCAAATATCTTTTTTTTTTTTTTGCCACTCACCAAAGACGAATTTTCAAAAGTGTAGTTTGCAACCAGTATCTGAAAATCTTTTTTTTTCTTTTCAGTTGTTTGGAAATAGGAAGATAAACCAGGCACAGACATGTGTCAAAAGCATGCAGTTTTAACACAGTGAGAATGTCTGATATCAAAAACTGTTCATGCTGACAAAATGGAATTGGAACATGGAAGCCCATCAGTGTTAGGATAGGTTATTCCAATAGATAACGGAAGGATTCTGTTGGTCAGAGGTCAGAATTCAAGTTAGCCAGTTTCGGTACAGGAATATACCACGAAGCACGTAGGAACACGCAGAGCTGTTGCAGGGATGAAGAGACAGTGCGTGTGGGGTCAGAGTGATTCCCAGAGACACTGCTGAATGAAACTGCTGTTTCCACAGCGGAGAGGCAAGAGGGACAATTGGGTAGCCGAGGCTAACGGTGCTGGCTCCGACACCATCCTGACAGTGTGCATTCAGGAAACCGCGACAGTTACAAAACCTCCACATCACAGAAGCCAGCCAAAACGAGAACCATCTAATGATCAAAAAGCCTGCATACGGCAGTTGGCCCCAGGACCACGATGTACGTAACAAGAAATACTCCAGCAAAACTGACAGCCCGTGGCTGGGCTATCTACATCAGCCTAACTAGCGATCGGGCAGTAGAACTCCTGATAACCCGGCCGCTGGAAAAGAAAAAGCCTGGTGGCTTACTTCTTCTTTAGCTAGAATAAAATAAACAGACAGCAGAAGAATGAATTCTGCCTTGCCATTCAGACTGAATGCTCTTGGATCCCAAGTGGAAAGAAGCCTTGGCAATGCAGTGTTCACCTTTTCAATCTCCAACACAGAATGGCACAATGGAAGTGACTGCAATGGATGCTGAGCACCAAACCCCCTCATTCTCTACAGAAGCATGAAGAGTCTAAAGTGAAGGATAACAAAATTGGAATTAACATTTGTGTACATTGAGTTTTAAATGGCTAAAGCGCAGTTAATATTCACTCTACTCCAAAACTTTCACTCTAGCTAAGGATGTTTCAATTAAAATTAAATTCATTTCAGTTTAATTTAGAGTTACTATTATTCTACCGGATTTCAAGCTTGGAAACCAATTTATAAATACATTTGGCATCCAAAATGTATATATGATGACTGTCTATGTTACAAAAATGGTTTGTGGGACCTGGTGTGGGGGCCTAGCGCCTAGAGTCCTTGTCTTGCACGCCCTGGGATCCCATATGGGAGCTGGTTCTGATCCCGACAATCCCTCTTCCCATCCAGCTCCATGCTTGTAGCCTTGGAAAGCAGCCAAGGATGGCCCAAAGCCTTGAGACCTTGCACCTGTGTGAGAGACACAGAAGCTCCTGGCTCCTGGCTTCGGATCAGCTCAGCTCCAGCATTGCAGCTGTTTGTGGCATGAATCACTGGATGGAACATCTATCTCTTTGTCTCTCCTTCTCTCTGTAAATCTAACTCTCCAACAAAAATAGATAGATCTTTTAAAAGTGGTTTGTACATATAATTTTAAAAAAGAAAGAAAGAAAACTTGTCATAGGAGTAAATCTTTTGCAACACTGAACATTAAGTTAGCAAAGTAAACCATACTTTTGAGAGCTACTATACTTCAATAGCATTTATTGCTCAACTTTTTTCTTGGTTCCAAAACATTTTGGGAGATATTTTCAGTAATTCTCAGGTAGAGAGGGGAGAAAACACCAGATTGGCTATCTTAGAAATTCTGAGGTTGTGGTGATACAACTTGAACTTCTTGACTATTTGACATAGCAGTAAGAGAACCAAGTGGTGTCAGAATACATCCAACAGGGTAGCTGGGACAGCAGAGGCTTGTAGACTGCTTTTGGGAAGAGGCTCGTGGAAAGAAGAGGCGGAGGACCCCTCACCCAGAGAGGACTCTTGCCCCCGGGTCCTTGGATGTGCTTTTGGGTTCTCCTTGAGGATGGGTGAACATCTGGGCTTAACCTGTTATCCTAGATCGGAGTAGTGCCCCTGACCAACGTCTCACCCAGTGGCGCTTTGATCCTGGTGCCTTGGTAGTTCTGCTGAGACTCCCTGCTTACACACATGATGTGAGTTGTATATCAAAGCTGATCACTGTAACCGAAGTCTGAGCTGAACTAATGTTTGAAGTATTGCTTTGCTGAATGTATATAAACAGGAACCCTGGAAATAGACTTTGTCAATTGCCCAAGAGAGCACTGTCCCCCATTTCTTTTTGGTCTCATCTCCTCCCCAGGAACCCAAAAGGTAAAATTGAAAATTGGTGTGTGTATATCCCGTATGGCAGTTCTGGGTTTAAGTGCTAGTTCTCTTCTGATGTCCAGCTTCTTGCTAATGTATGTTATGGGAAGCCACAGGTGTCAGGTGTCAGCTCAGGTACTCTGGGACCCCATCAGCCATGTCGGAGCGCCACACTGAGATGCAGCCTCCTGGATTCTGCCTGTCTGGGCTCTGGCAGCTGTGGGGATCTAGAAAGTGAAACAGCAGATGGAAGCTTTGTCAGTGTGTCTGTCTTTCCTTCTTCCTGCTTTCAAATGAATAAATATTAGGGAAAAAAGAAAGCCAAAAGCAATATAAAATTGACTCACAATAAAGGCTATATTAGAATCATAAGTATTTTTTAAATTAAAATGTGTTCTGCATAGTGGTCAAATTTGAAGCGGTGTTTTTCAGTTATGGACTGCAAACATAAATGTGTTCAATTTAAATATCTTTAAAATTGAGTGCAATGAATTATAGTGCCTGTGGCAATAAATCAGCAATAAATATTAAGTAACACAAAGGTTGGGAATGGCCTTCCTGACGTTTTTCTGTAGCTGTTCCTCTCTCTGTTCCATGAATGACTTTGGCTGTGAGATGTTCGTAAGACCAGCGGCTACTGTTCTCATGTTCCAGCCAGGAACAATGTCCGGCATCCCGTACCCTGCCCCTTCCTTTTCTCATTTTTCACTTCTCATCCTCCTTTCACTTCCTGCTTGTATTTCATCAGCTACGAACTGCTGAGACGGTGGATTAGGTAATTTGCCAAATCAGGGTTTTCTATGTCAACCAATTCAATTTCTTGGTACACCGAAACTGAACAATAAATGCTGATTTTGTCTCAGCCTTGAATTATTTGGCCAGTAGACACTGGTAATCTCCCGCCAGGGGTAATGAGATGCTCCCTGTTTGCAGCTCAAGATTCAGCGGACCCCAGGCTGGTTAGGAAAAACATGTGCTCTCTTCTTTAGGGAAAGAGGGGCAGGCTGAATATTCCTGCCTTGCTTTAGCAACTCAAAATAGTCTGTGGGCCCAGAGTTATGCTAAATCTAGAATGTTCAGAAATACTGAAATAAAACAGGCAATGGTAGGACCCCTGTAAGATCAGAATTCCTTCTCCTTTCCCTTCTCCCAATGTTCCCTGCACTGTGAGGGTCAAATCCATTCTTCAAAGGACCATTTCACAAATGCAACAATTGAGTGCATGCTGGCTACAGGGCAGCTCCGTGATTCTTACTGATAACGTGGACACCCCATCTCTTAGTACCAGTGATCCACTGCACAAGGCATAAAGTTGGAAATTTTGCAGCTTATTCTTTGGGTGCTTCTGCCCAAATAGTCACATGCACTTGAAATTTTTTTAAAAAGTTGATGAACGACGTTTAAAAACTCAGATTCCCATTAGTAGGTTTATATTTAGTGAACCATAAAGATGAGCGTGGGAGAAAGCATTTCTTCTTCTTTATTCTAGAATTTTAAAAAAGCCTTTAATATGCTAAATCTAGTACATAGTACTAGTAAGATTTTCTTATAAAGTTCTTTTTATATCAAATGGAATTTATTCAGGTGATGTCTTCTGGGAATAAAAACAGCAATAAATAAACAAAAAAGGGTAGAGAAAGCAAATATGCTTGATGTTTTTAATCCTACAATCTCTATACCTGTTTCTTTCATCCTTGGCTGATGCTAATCTTCTGTTTATTGTGTTATTGTAGATCTAAGTACGGGTCATTTACCCGGAGATTGTCTTCCAACAGGTGGTGTATGCCTGTTCTCTCACCTCACAAAAAGTAAAGGAGCAAAAACGTGTGTGTGTGTGTGTGTGTGTGTGTACACATGTGAGACTGTGTGTGTGTGTGTGTGTGTCCGTCCGTCCTCTTGGTGATAGTGCTGGTGGTTAAAAAGCAAGTTGGGACTTCCTCTTTGAACAGTTGCCTTTTCCTCTCACACCAGGGAGAGTTCGTCTTGTTTGAGACTGGATAATTAAAGCCGAATCACCTGCAAAAGACAGACTATGTTGGCTAAGAAGCCCCCAAAACCAGCCCCGCGCAAGATCTTCCAGGAAAGGTTAAAGATTACGGCTCTACCCTTGTACTTTGAGGGGTTTTTATTAGTCAAGCGTTCGGCAGACCAGGTAAGGTAGCAGATAACAAGACTACACTCGAAGCTTTGTCTTAAGCATTTTATGTTATGTTGACAGGATAGGACAAAACCTCCATTATTTTCAACGGTTTCATTTAAACATTACAGAGAACTTTATTTAAACAGCAAATATTTTTATGTTTTTTCCTATAACTTACTGCTATGCAGGTGTGGCAGAAAGATAAAATGTTGTGATCAAATTAAATCTTTGCTTTATTTGAAGTGTATGATGATTAAATCATAAAATGGTAGACTTTAAAAAGTGAAACTTTCAATGTTATGTAGGTGTATATATTCTAATGTCATGTATGTATCGTATTTACAGTGTTATACTACTGTGTGGGTACAAGGTATACTAAGCTACATAAATGCTCTCAGAAATCAATAAGAAAAGTTTAATTGTTACAATTTTTTGAGGATCCATAATACTGAGGGGAAATTTTGGTGTATGAATATATCTGTAATAGAACATTCATATTTATTTCTTATAAAACTAGATAATGTGCTACTTGAGAGGAAAGGAATAACATTTGATTTCTGTTATAAATAGTAGATGTGTATTAATATTTTTGTCAGCTATATTGTAACTTTTTTTTTGCTTTTTGCTATGTGTTTTAAGTAAATACAGGTTAGCTACCTTGTACTGTTTCCAGCAAAAAGAAATTTCTAATTTGGCTATTTTCATTGAATATTTCCTAAAGTATAACTGTTTCTGATAGCAATTTTCTTTAAAGAAGGTGTGCCAAGCATGTAATTAAAGAGCAACAATACTGAGTTCTCAGTAAAACTTGTCTGTACCTGATGTTTTTGCCACTAACAGCTTAGATCTCGTGCAAGCTATTCAATCCCTTTGGCATCCTCAACTTTATAAGATGCAGAAAATACATACTCCTTGCATCTGAGATACGATGTCTTAGATAAGTAAATGCTCCATTGATTCAGTCTAGTGACGTTTCTTGATTACATAGCAGCCCGTGCTTAGTGGTTACATCAATGAGCAAAATGGGGAGTCAGAAGACAAAAATCTTCACCCAGTTCTGGAATTTGGGTAATCCTTTCAAATATGTTAATTTATTTGCAAGATAGACCCTCTTGCCGAACTGATTGGGTTTCTCTGCTTGCCAAACGGACCTGTAATAAATGAGTGCATTCCCTCACGTGGCAGATGATGGACATCTATGATTAGCTTCTTATGTGCCATGATTCTAACTCTTCCATGAAGGGATGACTTTATTCACCACACAGATTACTGAACTGTGGCTCACCAAATTCAGGTTTCCTCATCTAAGAAGCCTGGCTTAGGTTTGAGGGTAGTGCACCTGACATCACGCTGCCTCCAACTCATTTGACTGGGCACTTCCAATGCTTAGAGATACCTGATCATTAGCTATTTCATTACACTGAGTCCAAGAGTAAGCGCAGTAGACTTTCAAAAGCATTCACTAACTGAATGAAATGTGGAGTGACCTTACGCTCTAAACACAAAGTCACTGGTGGTTATGAAGCTGACAATGAATACACAAGTCTGGTTTCAGTCTCCTTTCTTACATCAGTGATTTAATACACATAGCTGTTTTGTTTTTATTTTTTTCAAGAACCTTTTTGTTGGGGTTGGCTTTTGGTCTAGATGTTAAGATGCTGGTTAAGACTTTCGAGTTCCATAGTAGACTCTGTGAGCTGAAGTCCTGGCTCTGTGTCCTGATTCTGGTTTCCTGCTAATGTAGTCCCTGGGATGCAGCAGATGATGGTAGCAAGGGCTTAGTTCCTGGCACCCAGATGGGAGACCTGGTTGGGCTCCCCGCTCTCAGTATCAGCATGACCCAGGAAATCACAAGCATAGGGGGAGTAAGCCAATGCATGGGAGCTCTCTGTCTCTCAGCTTCTCAATCACAATAAACGAAACCTTTGAACAAATGTATTCCACCCAAAGATACATCTTTCAAAAAGTAATTATTACATGCATAAGTAACTGCAAATAGACATATAGAAATAGGTGTTGCTTATTGGGTCTGTTGTATTTATAAGTGACCCAGGTTATTCCGGTATTCGTGAAATCTTATCACAAAATCAATCAACACTGACTTGCAGGTTCCCGCCTGCTAAACACGAGCCTGATCTCCTTAGGTCTGTGGCTCTGGCTGCAGCTCACAGGGCCCACTGCTATTTGTAACCTTACTTTTTCTGCAAGGCTGCTTTGCTCTCAGCTCAGTGTCTTTCACCTTGCTTCTTCCCCGACTAAATAAATGTTCTTTAAGGCTTTTGGAGAATCTACAGATTTGCCACACTGTAAAACTTTCATTTTTCTCTGATCTATCTTATGCAATTCATATTCTGTGTAATTTTTCTCAAGAGCAGAAGTATTCTGCAAGTATACACAGAGAGGACTGTGTATACAATAAATTGCCAGTGACACTAGTTTATCTCTCTGAAGATGAGTCAATATTAATGAACAGAGAAACAAGCTCCAAGAATCAAACAGGTTTGGGATTGGACTAGATCTTACTAACTCCAATTTAGTAAAATTACACATCAATGTTTATGTCCCTTAAAGAAGGAATCTACAATCCCATCTCCTCCTGCCCTCTCCTTCACTGCATTCCAATTCCCAAACACAGAGTAAGCTTAATTTTCTTTTTTTATTTAAAAAAAGATCTATTTTAGTTTGAAAGGCAGAGTTTCACAGAGAGAAGGAGAGAGAGAGAGAAAGAGAGAGAGAGAGAGAGAGAGAGAGCGCACGAGGGAGAGACAGAAAGAGAGAATATCTTTCATCTACTGATTCACTCCCCAAGTGGCCTCCCCGTTTTGCTCCAGAACCAGAGCTGGGCCAGTTGGAAGCCAGGAGCCAGGAGCTTTTTTCAGATCTTCCAAATGGGAGCAGGAGCCCAAGGACTGGAGCCATCCTCCACTGCCATAAACAGGGAGCTGGATCGGAAGTGGGGCAGCTGGGACAAGAAGCATCGGGGATGCTGGCAGCACAGGTGGAGGATAAGCTCGCAAGGCCACAGCTCCGGCCCAAAATTATCAACCTCCACTGTAGCTTATGCTAGAGTAGGGCTCAAAAAGCTTAAAAATGATGATACTACAAATAAACAACAACTCTTAAAAAATTGAATTTTTAAAAATTTAATAACAGGTCGCAATGGAATAAGTTCAATAATTTTTAAACAGGATAAAAGATGAGTTAACGTGACTGATTGTGGTGCTAGATTACAGCAGCAATCTCTACAGCAAAATTTCTCAATGCAGTTTTTACAATTATCTTTGCTTAAAAATAGCATGAAGGCCTGGCCTGATGGCTCAGTGGCTGTTCAACTTGCAAGTGCTGGGATCCCATATGGGTTCAAGTTTATGTCCCAACTGCTCTACTTCCCTCCCGGTTCCCTGCTTGTAGCCTGGGAAAACAGACAGGGACAGCCCAAAGCCTCAGGACCCTGCATCCATGTGGGAGACCCAGAAGAAGCTCCTAGCTTCTGATTGACTTGGCTCTGGCCGTTGCAACCACTTAGGGAGTGAATCATCGATGGAAGATCTTTCTCTCTGTATTTCCTTCTCTCTGTAAATCTACTGTTTCCATTAAAATAAATAAATCTTTTTTAAAAAATTAGTAATATGAAAGGTGGTCTTATAGGGGAATGACGATAGGCTTGATAATTCTGGTCTACAAACTGTCTCTACCTTCTTATGGATAATGCCTCTCATGTGAAGTATTTTTGAAATTTATAGAGTTTACCATTACCTGATATGCATATCAAAAGCATCATTTTTAATATGTGGGGTCAGCATTATTCAGCAATGAATTAAATCACTATCTGTTATTTATTTATTTATTTAATCATTTAAAGTATTTAGGATCTATCTATTGCTCATCTCCAAGTCCGGGTTTGGTTCCCAGCTTCAATACAGTTTCCTGCTAATGCGACTGGGAAGGCAGCAGATGATAGTCAAGTGTCTGACCCCTTACCAACTTGGATGGAGTTCTTGGCTGTCTTCTGCCTGGCTCAGGCTTGGGTGTTGCAGCCATTTAGGCAGTGAACCAGCAGATGGAAGATCTCTCACTCTCTTGCCCTCTTTCCCGGCCTCTTCCTCTCTCTCTGTCACTCTACCTTTTAAATAGACAGATATTTTTAGAAAAAAAATCACATGAATAATGAAAAATGCAAAGTACCTGCCAAATAATGCAATGCTGTATTTTTAACTGATCTATATTTATCACATGTTTTCTATGATCTATGTCTTATATGCTTCACTGACATTATCAGTCCTTTACATTTTTCATTCAGCAACTCTGTGGCAAGAACAGGAAGCTGGCTTCCATAATTCTATCTTGGTACCTTAGCATTAGGCTCTCATGTAGTAAACAAAATTCTTTTGTTCAGCGTCCTTTTAAGAAATGTACAAACCTGTACCACCATCAGCACTGTCTGGATCCACTACATGTTTCATTTTCATTTTTCCAATAAGACATTCCATGAGAAGTCACCTGCATGTTTCTGTCTCCTCAGATATGGGAATCACACGATCAAGACACATTATTTTTGTAATTGATAGAACACATCAAAATATGGCTAGATTTAAGGCCAGAGCTGTGCTAATGTTTTATGACATACTGAGGTAGCCATGAACGACCCTGAGTTCCTGTCTTGGGTTGCCAGCTACAAGCTCACTTGAACCTTTTAAAGGTCCTTGTCATGGCAGGGCACAGAGCAGACTCATTCTCTCCTGTAGACAGTTGAGAGAGGACAGCAAATGGCTGGGTACATTGCCTTCCCAACGTCTCTGTAGAGACCTAGCCCTGCTGCCTGTGGAGGAAGTCATTTATCCCACAGTGCTAAGCAGGACTGATTGGAGAGTGCCTGAAGGATGACAGACAGGTCAGGCACACAGCATTGCTGAGTCTGTGTTTCTACCTTCTGAATCTGAAAAAGGTCATGCAACCTGCTTTGGTTAAATGTGACGAAAGCAGAGCTTAAAATATGCATGCAAGGGGTGGGTGTTGAGCTTAGTGGTTAAGATACCAATTAAGACAACCCAGTTCCATATTGAGGTGCTTCTACCTCCTGGCTCTAGCTTTCTGCATCAGTAACAGAACAGGTCATTGGGTCTCCACGATCCACGTGGAAGACCTGGACGGAATTTCTGGCTCCTAGCTTTAGGTGGAAGTGATGTGAACACAGCAGATGGAAGACTTCTATATCCCTTTCTGCTCCCTACCTCCACCTGTCTCTGTCTCCCCCTTTTCAAATCAAGAGAGGAAGGATTCTAAAAGCAGAAAAATAAATTAATGAAAAGGAAAAAGTACACATACACATTGGGGTTTGAGCCCTCTTGTTCCTGGCAGCCTCGGGCCAGCACAGACTGTAGGATAAGAGATTCCATTTTTCCCAGCCTTCTCAGCCTGCCTGAATTCTAAGCTTAGACCCCAAGGAAACGAGTGATTCCTCTTTTGATGTGAAGCCTCAGCTAAGTGTGTTCAGATGAGAAATGGCATCATCTAGTACAAAGGCACAAATTCAAACATTTTGCTGTTTCAGTCTCCACTGAGTGGTTTCTACAAGGAAAAAGTTAATTAATGAATAAAGCATTTTATTAGCTCTGAAAACGAAGTAAAAAAAATAATCATTCAATCAAGACCATGAGAAAAGATGGTGGTTGTATTTAGGCTTAAGCTTGCTGGAATACAGGGAAGTAAAAACAAGATTGAGTTACGGAGTTCTTGTTATTTGGAAATTAAGTACGTGAATTCTCAAGAAGTGACAATCATTTTCCCTGTTTGAAAGAAGAATGGGAGCATGCGTTCGGCCGAGTGGTTAAGAATGTACAGTCGGCCTTGGAGGTTGGTCTCCAGTCCCAGCTCATGCTTCTAGATTCCTGCTAACAAGTGTCATGGGTGTCACCAGTGATGCCTCCCACGACTGGCTTGCTGACACCCACTTGAGAGATGTGGAGTGAGTTCATAATTCCTGATTTTGGCCTAGTCTAGACAAGGCCTGGCCATTGTGGACATCTGGGGAGGGAACTAGTTAACAGAAGCTCTGTATATGACTCTCTGAAAAAGGGTAGTTAATATGTCTATAATGAAGAGACATAAAATATCCAATACAAAGCATTTCAGGGCATGGCTCCATGATGCAGTGAGTTAAGATGCTGGCTGTGACGCTGGCATCCCATACTGGAACAGTGGTTCAAATCCAGCTCTCTGCTAATGCTCCTGAGCAGCATTGTGGCTACTTAGGGAGTGAGCCAGAGTACGGAATCCTCTCTCTGTATGTCTCTGACATTCTGCTTATGAAAATGTATGTCCTTAAAAAAGAAAGTGGGGGCTGGAAGTTAATCTTCAACCTGCGGAATGGGAATCACATATGGGGCCAGTTTTGTGTCCCCGATGCTCCACTTCCAATCCAGTTCCTTGTTAAATGTTCTTGGAAAGCAGAGGATGGCCCAATGCCTTGGGCTTCTGCACCCATGTGGCAGACCTGGAAGCAGCTCCCTTCTCCCAGCTTCGGATCGACCCAGCTCTGATTGTGCTGCCCATGTTGGGAGTGAACCACTAGATGGAAGATCTCTCTCTATGTTTCTTTCTTTATCTGTAATCCTTTCAAGTAAAATAAATAAACCATGTTAAAATTTAAAAACTTTATTAAAAAGAGTCTATTGAAACACAAAAAATTAGACATTCTATGTGACTTTCTTATAATCAATAAATTATAATAATTCAATGTGTTGTTAGCATTCAGTTTTAAAATACCCAAAGGAAAAAAAAATCAGTGTATCTATAAATACTAGCACTCTTTAAACATGTCGAAGAACTGGAAAGACAGACATTAAGTCTTGGGGCTGGCTCAATGGCTCAACTCATTAATTCTCCACCTCTAAGCACTGGCATTTTATATGGGCTCCAGTTTGTGTTCGGCTGCTCCACTTCCATCTCTGCTTATAGCCTGGGAAAGCAGTGGAGGATGGTCGTGTCTTGGGACCTTGTACATACATGGGAGATCTGGAAGACGCTCCTAGCTCCTGGCTCCTGACTTCGGATCAGCTCAGCTCCTGCTGTTATGGCCATCTACGGACTAGGCCAATGGTGGAAGATCTTTCTGTCTCTCCTTCTCTTTGTAAATCTGCCTTTCCATCGAAAATAAGTAAATCTTCTTAAGAAAAAGAATTTAAGTGTTTAAACATGGAAATTTTTTGCTCTTTAAATCAAGATGCCATTTCTTCATAACACAGCTAAATCTTCACGTTTATTTAAACTTTCACTTGCGTGAAATAGGAGTCTAACTAGATTATTAAGATTTCTCAAATTTACAAGTTGTAGTTCTATAGAATCCATAGCAATGTGAATATTTTAATTCAATATTTACCATAAGAATGAAATTTGGACTTCAAAGTTCTGTTTTGAAAGTATTAAATTACTTTTTTATCATTGAAAGTTTCTCACACCTCCTTGTTCTATACCAATAATATATGCTATCTGTTGAATTCAAACGATGAGCCATGCACTCTACTAAAGGCTTCCTATGTAATAATTTATTAAATTCTTTCATATGTGCTAGGAAGTATATATAGAGAGAGACAGATACATGTAGACATAGACAGAGATATGCTTGCGCTATTCTGGGACCTTAAACTGCCCATTTTCTGTTTGTTAATCTTCCACTGAACTGTAAAACTGTCACTGGGGAAAGTTCTGGGAAATGATCTATTTTAACACAATTAAATTATGTGATCATTTCAGTGATTATACTAAAATCTGAGGACAGTTCAATCAAAAATTAAATGTGAAGGAAAATCATCAGAACCAGTTAATTTTCTGGGATAAAATACGAATCTTACATAAAAACTAACAAAACAAAACAGAGAACTTTTTTCACACAAGCAATTCAGAAAGTTACCAAGAGAAATCTCGATAAGAAAACAATTGAATATGTACTAACGAGGTGACCCTTTCCCACAGGAGTATAAACATTACTGGACAGAGCTGAGAGGAACTACGCTTTTCTTTTATAGAGACAAAAAAAGTACAACAGTAAGTGTTACACATTTTCAGTTGATTCAATATTTTCCCAAAATATCCTTGCTGCATAATTTATATTAATTTTGGAATTTCTGTCTTCCAATAATTAAAAAATGCTCTGGTAAAATTAACTCAAGTATGAGAATTAAATCTATGAGGGCTGTCAGTTATGATGACATGACTAAAGGTAAAATTTCCTAGACAATTTATAAAATGTTATTAACTCATGTTTTTCACTTAGTATTATTTTCTTTCTCATCCTAATAATTAAGTTTGTTAAAATATGAAAGTGTTATACACTTGGGTGTAAGTTGCTTCACAGAAATGGTTGCTGTGACATAACAAGGTTGTTGCTTGTGACACTGGCATGGCGTATTCAAAGCACAGGTGTGAGCCCCAGCTGCTCTGCTTCTGTTCCAGTGCCCTGCTAATGTGCCTTGGAAGCAGCCACGATGCTCCAAGTACTGTGTCCGCCTACCCATTTGAGAGGCCAGATGGAGTCCCTAGCTCCTGCCTGGTACAGACCTGACTCTTCGGGCTGCTTAGGGAGTGAACCTGTGGACGAGGACTCTGTGTCTTGCCTTGTCTCTCTGCTTTTGAAATATATAAATAAATATTTTTAAATGACAACTGTGATTTTCCCCGCTGTTAATCTTGTTGTAGTCTGAAGTTATAATCTCAAAAAAACAGGATGGTCTCCAGTTGTCATAATATGATGTCACATGGATGCTATATATGCAAGAGATTTTATAACCAGGAACTTGCACAAATATAAACATTCTGGACCATGAATATAGCCCCCCATGCTTCTTAGAATGTCATTATTGGATACTTACATCTAATGAAAGGAAAAATGTATCTGTGGTAAATGAGTATTCCACTCAGATATTCAGTAATTTTATTCAGAAATCATTTTAAAACAAACAGGCAAACAGTTAATGTAAAATGACTGCCATTTATCACAGTTCTGGATAGAAAATTATTGTACAAAAATATTTTAACGTATTACAATAAATGTTAAAGACCTCATTTCTGCTGTGCATTCTAAAAATACCAGAGAGTATCAAAGACACTGTTCTAATTAAACAAGAGAGCTAGCATTTGTTGCTTTCTTACTACCTGGCAAGAGACATTACAGATTAGTGACTGACACTGTAGGCTTAATGTCTTCTAACAGACGTCTGTTTTTATCCTAACCCTACCATTGTGAACTATGAAAGAGGGCTAGTTAGCCTTCTTTGTGTCTCTAAGGGGAACTGGTAGGATACAGTTGACAGCTCAAAGCAGGCAATTGAAAGACAATTCAGTAAAGATTTAAAAATATTCATGGTGAAGATAGGATGTAGCAGAATCATAAATGATATTCAGTGCCTTTTTACCATACCTAGGAGAGAGAATAGGGAACAGGAAGGTGGTTGGGAGAGTTTTGAGATGTATGAGTGAGCAACTGCACAGGATAATATTCAACCTTGATGTCCTCACTCTACTGATGTTAATTTTTCTGTGGTCCAACCCGACAAGAAGTCAAAGGACTAGGGCGTCCTTTGCTATGGTTCCTATAGATCGCCCTCTTGGTGCAGATGGCTAAATAGTAAGAAAATAAAAGTGAGTACGGAAAAAAAACACAAAAGACCTCCAACACACTCAGACTTCAGATCTGTGAAATGACCCATCCCACAGGGCTTTCAGAGAATTGGATGGGCTAACAGTGCAGGTAAGGATTTGGAGTAGTTTGCACATGGTAAGTATTCAAGCATTATCCATTTCAATTCTCACAACAATTCTATAATGGGTTCTATTTTAATTCCTACTTTGTCAATGAGAATAATTGCATTTAAAGATCAAGAAATTGCACAAGATTAGAAAGCTTATAAAAGGGGCATAATTCAGGCTTTGCTCCTGAGACATCCTTCTTAACCACTGTGTCATGGAAACTGTGTGGAAATACTTCATAATTTCACATGTACTGATTCTGTTGGAAGGGGATGTAGACCATTTCGAAAGTTTTTAAGGTGGTAGTCTCAAGAAAAAAAATTGGAATGGACCAGGTGAAAACTGTTGCCTACTACAGGGAAGACTTTGAAGCTGCCCATAAATACTTACAAGGCTGTCATGAACTCACGCAAACGGGTCAAAGAGAAAGGAGAAAAAGAATCAGGAGAAAAGGAACTAGGACCAATGGCTCCAAAATGCTTGGTGAAAAACTGGCTTAATACAAGAACAAAGCACGCTTTCAGGAAGAGCTTACTAGAGATGTTCATAGACTGGAGGACTTCGCATAGTGATTAGCAAGGAGGAGAGATGAGCAACCAGGCTAAACAGACCACCTTTAATGTTCTTTACACCTTACAATTAAAAGCAGAATGATGGTACTTCCTTTTCTGTAATCAATGGATCAGCTTACACCACTTGTATCTAACTCTGCCACCTCTTCCTCTGTGGCTTCCTCCTTTTGTCAGAGCAAAACCCACTGAGCCTGGCTAGACAATCTATCAGAAAAAGATTGTAAGTTTACATTCTCTTTCCTCACTGGCACATTTTCTTCCTCTTTGCTCATGAAAAAATATAAGGCCAACCCAAACTTACCTCTAGCCTCATTAACATGGATATGATATTGGGAAAGAAATTACTTATCTAATTTTTCAGCTCTACCTTTTTCAGAAAAATTAAAAAACAGATTCACAAGAATATAATAAAATAAGCATAGGCATAATCAAGAGAAAAAAGAAAGGCCAAAAATAAGGCTAACTTAGTAAAATACATATCAATCATATCAATTCTCTACTGTATTTTCAAAAGATGCTTTTTCCAAGTATTGTTGGATAAATCTGACTCATTGTATGCACACAAATTTCTTAGAAGAAATCTTTTTATTGTACTTGGCTAAGATAGAGATTTCTTAATAGGATTCTCACAAATAGTAGTATATACCAAATGCTAATTAATGACTGAAAAAAGTACAATTTTTTATTATAAAGTCAATTAGAAGTATGGCATAACAAAAATTTTTTAAAAATTTAAGAAAGAAGGCGGGGGAAAGATGACAAGCATCAAATTCTTAAAACCGTTTATACAAAGTACATGAAATCTGTCCCAAGCAGGTGCAGGGTCCCAAGGCTTTGGGCCGTCTTCCACTGCCTTCCCAGGCCAAAAGCAGGGAGCTGGATGGGAAGCAGGGATGCCAGGACTTGAACCAGTGCCCAATAGGAGATCTTGGTGCTTGCAAGGCGAGGACTTTAGTCACTAGGCTAACATACCAGGCCCTTTCCTTGATTTTTGTTATACTCTTGTCTCAGCAGCCAGTTATGATTGTAATTCAATCATGGTTTGACCAACTAAGATATATTCGGATCCACTGCATCTTTAATGAACACATTGTTATTAAATGTGATGTTTAGGGTAGGAGAAGGGGATCCCAGTCTCTGAAATGGTACCATAAAATACAAAAATTGAAAATAAAAATTTAACAAGCAAAAAACCCAAACAGCAAAAAATATGATGTTTGACATGAGTGTTGACTGACATTTTTCTTTCCATTAATAAATAAAAGTAAAGAGATGGCTATACATGTCAGAACTTCACATATTCATCAATGACATGGGCACCTATTTAGCTGAACGAGGCAGTGATTTTTGAATTGTGGAAAAAATTTTGTTCTGTGTAGAAGGAAACAGCTTTAGACACAACAACGAACCCAAGGTTCACCTCCATTAATGAACAAACACTTCATGCTTGGTTGAGTTTGGACTGGGGGCCAGCAATCTAGCTCTCAGCCAAATCTAGCCAGATGTGTTAGAGTCTTTGAACTGCTATGGAATTCCACGTTTTTAAGGAAAGGAAAAATAAAATGAGGAGAAGTATGTAACGAGGCAGAGTCTAACTCATAGTATTTGCTACTTGGCTTTTACAGAAAACAGGTGTTGCCTCTTCAACAGCTAATGAAACAATAAATCCTGATGTGTGAGAATTATCCATTTTTGTGATGTAAATAATCCCATCATGCCTGGTTTCAAACTATTCGTGAAATCTCCCTGAGTAACAAATTAGGGGGAAAAAAACACATAGTAGTTCAGCATTACATAGGACATTTTTTCAAACAGAAATTTAGCGTGGCTTTTGCAAACTTGTATGAGGGAGGTCCAGCATGCTACCATGTAATACATTTCCAATGCTCTCCGACAATGGGAAAACCAAGCTATCATGCAAAGCACAGATCAACTGCAAGGGTGTTATTATTTATTTTTCTTCCTGATAGAACTCATCTATGTTACCTGTGAAATAATGAGATTTTCTTTTATCTTTTCAGTATATTGACAAATTAGACTTACTAGAACTCACATGTCTTAGTAACCAGAATTCAACTGAAAAGAATTGTGCAAAATTCACTCTTGTTTTGCCAAAAGAGGAAGTACAGCTAAAGGTGAGTGATGTGCAGCAGTGGTCTATACAGAGTGGTAGTTGTAAAATGGTACCAGTGGCTGAAGTAAGGAGGTGATAATGAGGGGATAACCTTTATCGCTGCTTCATATTTCTTGTTAACAACCAGAATTTTTTGAATTCGGATTTAAAAGAGTATGTTCACTTGTTCAGTATACATGCAGAATGAAACCATATACCTTTGCCCTTTGGCAATGTCAGGGATCCCACCTGGTGTGTTTTCAAAGGTTGTTCTTGAATCAGTATTCAAGGTGAGCCAACGAAAGTCAACAGATACTACAGTTATAACATAAGGAGAGCGACCTGCAATTTAGTAAAAGGTAGTTGGAACTATTCACAGATGTCTGATTGCCCTTGAAAGCATGGTCTATAAACTTCAGTGTAATAGGAATCTCCCAAATGTAGAAAATCCAGACCCTATGTTGAACTTGGGGCCTTAGAATCTGTGCACTCCTGGTTGATTCACAGATTTGGTGGCTAAGAGAGCAGGACTGATGTTAGATGCCTAGATTTGATTTGGGACCATTTACTAGCCAAATGGCTTCAGACCAGTTGCCTAATTTCTTTATGCCTTCCTTTGTTTACCACCTACAAATTAGTCTTTGCCCATGTGTAGTTGACTTAGCAGACCTACTGGGACCGCTACGTTTAAATACAATCTTGTCCCTTGCTTTACCCCTCAGTAACACTACCTCTTAACTTGCTCTACATTGTTTTTCCCATTTATTAGCTTTAGATGCTACAACTTACTTACTATTATGCTTAACATTGTTTCTTGGTAAACCCTAAACTCCATGAAAACGAGGGTTTTTATTTTGTTCCCTGATCTAAGGCAGGACCCAAAAGAATGTCTAGCATTTCTAAGTACCTAACAGACATGTCAAATGAATGAATAGGCAAGATAAAAATGGTTAAAAAATATAGAGTTACTATCACTGAGTTACATGAAGGATGTGACTATAATTTAAATATCTTAATCAATTTTATATTCATTTTTAGAATATGACAGTACTCCATTCCTTGAAATAAAATGTTCTGCTGCAATGAGCAGAAGTTGGTTTTCACAGAGTTTAAAAAAAAAAAAAGCACGATTATAAAACCAAAAAGTATTATAGTCATGTCAACATGATTCTATCGTGTCAAATTAATTTCTTTGTCAGGCAATGTGTGTGCACGTGTGTCTGGTGGGTGGGAGGAGGAGGCTCACTATGGAAAATTATCTGGTTAACATTACTTAATCCTGTAAGCACTGAAACAGAAGGGATGTTGTTGTCATGTCCATTGAAATTACCCTCTTTGGAAAATTTGACTACTACCTGTCTACCTCAAATCGCACTTTCGTTTTGGTCTGGTGATGTGTAACTTGGGCAGGGATTACTCTGTTTCGAATTTTAGTTCAGTCTTTTGGATCCCAGTGAGAAGCTTAGTTTAAAGCAACAGATTCCAACAATGGCTTTGAGCAGTAGTCAACATTACAGGTGCTCAAAAGTTGCGGACAGGTACTGTTAGCTATAGTAGCATCAATATTTAGAGCTAAGAATGGTCAATTTCTTACTGAATATCTCAAAATTAAAGCCTTTGACCGGCTTTAAGCCAATTTACATTGCATTAATTTAAACCAAATAATGTAGTTAAATATGAACAGAAAAAGCAATAATTAACTAACATACTGCAGCAATAAGTCTGCTAAAACATAGATTTTTTAAAATTAACTAAATTTGTACATTTTTACTGGATTAGTAAGATACATTTCCGTTCTGTCATAAAAGAATATGGTATTGAAATATTTTGTAAATACATCTTAATAGTTACAAGAGAAATGAATTATTCCTTTTAGCTAATCTTAATGAGTTAAACATTATTGACTTATTTTTAAAAAGTACTTTAATAGAAGAATGTACATTTTACAAATCTTTGCAAGCTTTTGATGGATTACACATTTTGGATCATACACATAAGATAATCATATGACATTCTAAAGCTTTTTGAAGTTACTAAAAGTGTCTGTGTTCAGTCACCTTGTGTTTTACATTTTGTATCTGTGTTTTATCTTCAGACAGAGAACACTGAAAGTGGGGAAGAGTGGAGAGGCTTTATTCTTACAGTGACAGAGGTAGGAAGATCCTTGAGTCTAAGCTTCTTCTTCTTCTTTTTTAAGCATTTGTTTTATAATAAGAGAGATTCAGTCATGAGATGCCATCAGGCCTGGTCAGGGAGCTGTGAAATCAACCCAAGTCTGCCCCATAGGTGACAGGAACACGATTGTGTGAGTTGTTCTCACTGCTCTCTAGGACCTGCCTTAGTGGGAACTGGAGGCAGAAGCCAGAGGAGAGGATCCAGGAACTCTAGAGTGGGATGCACCAACCTACTCTTGGAGTTACCGATTCTGATCAAACCACTTGTTCAAAAATACCTGCTGAATATCTACAGGATCCATACGAAAGTATCTTAAGCTGTGTAAAGAGGCTTCAAAAAGTTCATGGAAATTGGATTACAGGTTTTGAAGCCTCTTTGTAAACGTACTAATGGAGATTATATTTTTATCAGGTGGGTTTAAGCGAGAGAATCAAAGTAAGTAAGTGATCAAACAATATCATTTCACATTTGATAATTGCTAGGAAGAACATAAACAGAGCAACAGGATGAGGATAACGGATGGTCAAGGAGATCAGCTTTTTGATCTCAGCCTTTCAGCGGTGGTTGGGGCTATCCTAATTTCTTCTGCTTACAGTTTCTAAAGATACTTTCCAATTCTTAGCCTTTATAATTTACTACATGCTGATATAGATTTTTACAAATAACAGAGACAACATGAGAAGGGACAAAAAAAATCAAAATTAGAATCACTTTGAAGCATTTGTTACATTTGAAACAAAAGAATGCCTGTGTAATCAACTCTGGCATCTTAGCAGGGGCACACTGTGAGATGTGCTGCTCAGAGGTGACTTACAGCAAGATCACTGTCACCACTTCCTAAGGCCACTGTATCAACTATCTTGGAAGTGTGAGGTGTTTTGATAAGTAATCCCCAGAAGTGCACTGAATTCTTCAGTAGCTTTAGAAGATACTGGAACGTGCCATGTTTATGTCAGTCAAATACAGATTCTTTCCAAAGCTAGTTTCCAAGTAAAGACTTGATGGTCTCACTGCGCTTTCCAAGCTGACAGATGTTAGTTCTTTATCTGAGTTCTAGCAGGTAAAAAAGTGGTGATTTTAAAAAAAGACAAGTTGTCTCAAATTCTGTGCTCTGTAAATGTTGTTTTGTGCCACAGTTCAGGTTACTGTACGTTGCTAGAACTTTTTTAAAGAGGTATTAGAAGGAGAGATTATATTTGAAAGGGCTGAACCACAGCTTTTCAACAAAATAAAACAAGCTTGAGTCTTACTTCTACTTACTAGCTTTGTGACCTTGAGCCTTTCCCCAAAAATCTGTCACGTGGGGAAAACAGCACCTGCAGTGTCCTCGTGAGCATCTGCAATACATGTAAGATGCTTGAGTTATAACAGGCGATTAACAAGGAAAAGATGTCCAATGCTTTGCCCGTCATTTGCTATTTGTGGTTTGGTACATAAGGGTATAGTTTCTTAGTTATTAGGCAGTTTATTTATCTAGGTAGAATTGTCTCAAGTTTTTTGTTGTTGCTGTTTACTAGTCATTCAGTCAGCCTTTCTTTAAATTTGATACGAACAAATATATATAACAAAACAAATAATTATGGGAATAAATGAAATAGTAACAGAAAGAAAGCAGAATTCTTATCTTCTCTTTCCATACTTCAGTGGACTTTCCTGTTAACTCCATGGAAAGCATGTATCCTTCTTTGAAGACAATGATAAGTAGATGTGGATACCCCCAAATATGGATTGACTCGTATCACACAGACAAGAATAATCTACCAGACTATATATTACATGAGTACAGAGTTGGTCCTAATGAAGTCTAAAGTGGGAGTGCAAATATAGTTCAGGCAGACATAGAGAGGTGGCTCATTCTAAATACATCTCTAGGAAAGGCAATGACAACAATGGTAAGATCAGCAGTAGAGAAGTATTGAAATCCTATTATGGATGTGAAGGAAAGCCAGAAACACACAGTTTTCATTGCTGACCCTCAGTCACCTGAGGAAGATGCCCATCTCGATTCCAGGCTGCCATTTGGCCAGTGGAGCCTGTTCTAGGTTACTTGTGAGAGTATTCTGGAGCTCTTCCTAATATTGACGAGCTGCTAAGTGTTCTGGAAATTTCATGGTGAGCTACTAAGCTCGCACTGAAAAATGAGAGGTCTGCTGTTGCTCTAACTTACAGTAAAACGTGGTTGATACCATATTTGCGGATCAGTCCAAAAGGAAACTTCCTTGGAAGAGGTGTGGGCACCCTCCTGTGGTTTGAAGGCAGTTTTAAGACACTCACCTTAGACCAAGATCATCTGGATGTGCTAGCCATCTCTGTGAGGTGCCTGCAGCTTCTTGGAACAGGCTCATTTCTGTAACATCAGTGAGTGGTCTGGCTGTCTTTCTTAGTTGCTTACTGTCTCAATTGGTTACAGCTATCAGTTCCTCAACATGTATCACTCCTGCCTGGGCAAGTAATTAGACTGCATGAAGTCCTGGAGAAAGAAAACAAGAGAAGGCTTGAGACAGAGCAGCTGCCGAGTATGTGTGTGCAGAAAGAGAAGGAACTAATTGATGATTATGACAACGTACTGAACACTATGCCAGCGTAAGTGCACAATGAAATTTATTTATTCAATTAGGGCTAATTTATAATTATAGATGAGAGTTAGCCACTTTTATTAAACTGGTAAACATTAGTTGGGAATGAACTGCGTGTCTCTCTGAGCATACTGCATTTCCTCTTTTATGTCTAGAACAAAATGCAGATTTGAACCAACCCTCTCACCACACAGGAAATCCCCTTCCACCCACACTTTCAAGCCAAATAGAGCTTTCCAGAGCTCAGACCTAAATAAAAACTCTCGTGAAGGAGGAAGGAACACTTTTTTTTTTCCCTTTCACCAAGCAACTCTGAGTTGATTAATTGTCTATCTAAAATTGTACCAAACAATTGTAAATATCTGGATATCCTATTCAATTGATCAGAGTAGTTAGAAAACTTGTACTTCCAGGAGGACCCTGTGTAAAGTGTGTGAGGTGCTGTAGGGATGTGAAGGGGCTGCAGAATATACTACATTCAGCAACAACTTACTTTCATTGGTGATATCATTAAAAATACTGTGAGCATCCCATTTCTCCTGGAAATTTGGTGCTGTTGTCAATGACATTTGTCTTAGTACCATCTCTGATGCATATTCTATTTTTGCTACAGTACTATGTATCACTAAAACATGCCAACCATCACCTTTAGCTTTAATGTGCTTATTATAGATACACAAAAATATTCAAATCATTTCCATTTCACTTCACATAGATATTTGTAGCTAATGTGTTGCTATGTTGCACATACTTCCAGGTATTTTTAAAAACTATTTTCACTTTATTTGAAAGGCAAAGAGACAGAGAGGCAGTGACAGAGAAGTATTGTCCATTCACTGGTTCATTGCCCCAAATACTAGCTAAAGGACTGGACCAGGCTCAAGTGAGGGGTCTGGAACCTCATTCCTGTCTTCCATGTGGGTGGTAGGGACAATCCTACCTGAGCCATCAGCCTCTGCCTCCTGCAGTGTGCATTAAAGGGAGATTAAACTTGGAAGTAGAGTGAGCACTTGAAGCCAGGCACCTGAAATGGGCTGCAGGCATCCCAAGCAGGTCATCACTGCTGCATCAGTTGTCCATCCATCTTTGTCTTAATGACTTACTGTGTTATTTTGTTAAGGAAATACTTTGGAAGATACAGAAAAGAGAAAATAGAGAGCAAGCGAGAGAGAGAGAGAGAGAGAGAGAGAGAGAGAGGATGAGAGAGGATGAGAGTGCCCGTCTTCTAGTTCACCCCCAATTCCTGCAGTGGCTTGGGTTGGGATAGGCTGCAGCTAGGAGTCTAGAACTCAACCCAGGTCTTTCCCACCTGCTGCCTGCTGGAGGGCACATCATCAGGAAGCTGGAATTTGGAGTACAGCCAGGACTCAGAAACAGGCACTCCTCCCTGGAATGTGCGGTAGCCCAACCGCTATCTTAACTGCTAGCCCAACGCATACCCTGCCATATGCCTGTGCATTTCACTGACTGCAATAAAAAAAATATAAAAATGGGAAGTATTTTACAAAATGTGTGTTAGAAACAAACATTATACCAAGCCAAGTGAGCTTCAGACATATATTTAAAATGAGGAGTTTATAAAAGATCATGCAGGAGAAGCAATTAAAGAGTTTTGTGTCCCTCAAGGAAACCACACATAGATGTTTATCCCAGATCCTACTTATAAACTGAGACCAGGGACACATTATTAATTCTTCAAGATTTTAAGTGGTGGAAGTGATTGCACACTAATTTGTATCATATTTTCTTTAAACCTTAGTTTAAAGGACAATATTACTATACTCATAGTGGCACTGACATAATAATTATAGGTGCAATAATTATAATGATTATAGGTATAATAATTATTGATATAATTATAGGGCCTGGTGCGGTAGCTTAGTGGTAAAGTTCTCACCTTGCATGCACTAGGATCCCATATGGGTGTTGGTTTGTATCTCGGCTGCTTTACTTCCCTTCTAGCTCCCTGCTTGTGGCCTGGGAAAGCAGTGGAGGACGGCCCAAAGCCTTGGGACCCTACACCTGTGTGGGAGACCTGGAAGAAACTTCTGGTTCAGCTTTGGCTGTTGTAACCACTTGGGGAGTAAACCAGTGGATGGAAGATCTTTCTCTCTGTCTCTCCTTCTCTCTGTAAATCTGACTTTTCAATCAACAAATCTTTAAATAATAATAATAATAATAAGCACATTTGTTTTAACAAAGCTAGAAGTTGTAAGAAAAGTTAATAACTGCAGCTCTCAATGTAATTTTGGGGAGCACTTCATTTTCAAGTAATAATCTTCATTGATCAAAAGAAAATTCTGATTCGTTTTTAATGGCATTTCTTCAGTTGTTTTTACATGGTTTCCCGGAAAGAGGCTACCGAGATGCTGGAGAAGAATCCTTCCTGGGGCAATATGATCCTGAGGCCTGGCAGTGACAGCAGAAACTACTCCATCACCATCCGGCAGGAGCTAGAGTACGTCTCATTTAAAATGTACGGGATGGGTAAAAGCATATCGCCAGAGAAGCAAGAACCCCAGTGCAGATCACTGCCGGCTACGTGCTTTGTTGGGGGCCAAAAGAGTGAACATACCAAAGTTATATAATGTCAGATTCCGTGCCTATAAACATTCCTTATTTTGTCAGCTGACAGTCATCACAATTTATTACATTTCAAGACAAATTGCCATACGTTCTCTCCCTTTTCATCTTTAGAAAGTAAGTGGGGTGTAGATTCCTTAAACTTAAGTCTTCTAACGCTATAGGAAAGAGTTTATACGCAGAAGTGGCAAATAATTTTTTTTACTGCTATTGTACAAATTGTTGTTAAAATCAGATACATCTATAATGTATGTGCTCTTTAATGCATCAAAAACCCTTTGAGAATGCCCAAATTCAATATCTTCTATTTAACAGGTCACTTAATTTTCAAGGATAGCAGTTGTAGAGAGGATTAGAATTTTACTTGTAACAATATAGAGCTTGATGAATTTGGTGGACACTTATGCTATTAGCAAGCACCTGTGTTATCCATAAAACCAGTTCATTCTTTTCCAGGTCTTAGGAGAAGTGTTCAGCCAAGCGAGGTAGATGGCTGTTTCTGGGAAAGCATGGGTTTTAAAGGGCAGATTGGTTTACACAGCAGTAGTTGAAAGTCAACTCATCTCCATCTGTTAATAGATCAGCTGTAGGCAGGAAGTCTCAGGAATAAACAAGCGTCACCCTTTGTGCAGTTGTCAGCTGACTTCTCACTTGGTGTAGAATATCACCTGCCTTTACCTAGCCCAGTGGAGTGTGAATTCGTAAGACACTAATGCTATTCTCACAACAAATATTATGGTTTGGTTTCGTGTTCTTGTAACTGTTATGACCTTGAGCTGAGCTGATATTGTAGGCACTTGGGGTAGCCATTAGGCTAAGAAAGCAGTAGGAAAAAACTCCCCCAAATTCACTCCTTTCTAAAAACTGGGGTCAGATGCTAAGAATAAGTACCTAGAATCATTAAATGCCTGATGTGCACCTCGTTTCTCCTTTTAAAAAAATATATATATATATATATTTTATTGCATTTCATTTTATAACAACGTTTCATAGGCTCTGATGTTTCCCCATCCCCTCCCTGTTCCCTCCCCCCATGGTGGATTGCTCCACCTTATTGCAGTATTACAGTTCAAACTCAGTCTTGTTTCTTTCATTGCAAGCATGTGCCATGCATAAAGTCCAGTATCTTATTGCCCAGATGAATTCAACAGTTTCTTGGGGAGACCAAGGCATAGCTGGCAGAATATCGTTCCGACCAATTAAAAGCCATAGCATAACATCAACAACAGTTTCCAACATTAAGGGGTTAATTAATATTGTATTGAGTGACTGATATGTTAAACAATGCAAGTTCTTAACCACATCCTGTGACTACTTCATTAACATTTCAATTATAGTTTGTACACAACTGGCTTCTATCTAAAATTGGCTATAGGATACTATTCAGCTGTCTCAAGTCTATTTTCATTTTAGTATTTAGCAGTTTATTGTGTTGAAGCATAACTTTCACTGAACTTGGCAGTTTTGGGGATAGTCTAGACTGGCTTATACCTCCAGGCATGTGACACCAATTGAGGCATAGATCACTGTTGGGAGGGGTGTGCAGAGAAATCCTTCATACCCTAGTTAGGAGTAGTTTATTTTCGTGTTCTACCTAGTAATGGATGTGTGAATCCCCAATGATTGTTTCTTGTCTAGTTCCAAACTTTCCTTGATGTTCTCCGACTATTCTAATTTTTTGTTGTTTGTTTTGTTTTTTGGGGGAGCTCCAGGGCGACCCTGATGGTCATTGCAAGAGAGGGTGGGGGTCCAGTATTGGAACTAAGTAAGGACCAGAGAAAGCTCCTCTCCCTGGTCTTGGAGGGAGTTTATTATTCTCTGTTTCTGTAGACCGCACAGGGCTCCTGGTTGTTGTTCCGGTGACATTGGGCTCTGCGAGGAGGGATTTGGACTTCTTCTATCCCTTGTGGGAGATTCAAATGGGAGTGGGTGACCTCAGAGTACTCAGCCTCCGAAGGCACCCTAATTCCCCGTGGTCTCCTTGGCATTTGGGATGTAGTCCTTGGTGCCCGTACTGATCGTCCTTGGTGAGGATCCAGGAGTCTCCGGGGTTGAGATACAAGTCTCCTCTTGTCCACCTGCTCCACTCTGGGAACCCCCCTGCTCTGTGCATATGACCTCCTGTTAAGAAGATGTTAGGATTGCTCCTGATTCCCCCATATGCCTTTGTAGTTTTGCTGTTGTCTAATGCTGATTCGTGACTCGGGGTTCCTGATAGCACAGTTTCCTCAAGGGTGACCTGAGGACAGAAGTGGAGGTCGCGGGAGATTGTCCTTACTGAGCCAACAGATGCAGTCAGAGAGGAGGACACCTGGAGAACACTGCGGGCCAGCTCAGCTCCGCCAGCTGCACTGCCAAGGTGGCCTGCGTGGGCACACCCAGGGCCAGCACACGGGTGTGGTGGGCATCAGCGGGACTCCATCAGTCAGGTAGCAAAGGAACTGCAGGGCAGCAATTCAAGGGTGCTGATTTCTGCTTTTGGCATAGGTTTGCTTGGTTCTAGCAGATAGCAAGATGAGCTGCACCCCAATGCTTAAAGAAATCACTCCATAAATATCATTGCATGTCTAATATTGGGATACAGAGAATGAATGGAATACGCCTTTTGTTCTTAAGTATCTATTAAACAATAAAATACCAGGTGTTTAGAGTGTTCCTAATTTAGAGTGCTATTTGACTATAACGAGAAAGCCATTAGGATTCTTCTAATGTGTTTACATCCTTACCTAGATGCTCACACAGGACCTAGGACCCATCATTTTCTGTAACTCCAAGTCAGCTTCAAAGTTAACAGACACCAGGAATAGCACATGAACTAGCAGAAATAGCAATCAGTGGTTGCTTTCTGGTTGAGAGATGCAACATTATAGAAAGCAGTTGGCTTGCAATAATTCTTTCCACTGTTTTTTTGTTTGTTTGTTTTTAAGATATACTTATTTTTATTGCAAAGCCAGAAATACACAGAGGAGGAGAGAAAGAGAGAAATATTTTCTGTCTGTTGATTCACTCCCCAAGTGGTCTCAATGGATAGAGCTGAGCCAATCTGAAGCCAGGAACCTGGAGCCCCCTCAGGTTCTCCCATGTGTGTACAGAGTCCCAAGGCTTCGGGCCAACCTCAGTTACTTTCCCAGGCCACAAGCAGGGAGCTGGATGGAAAGCAGGGCTATCAGGATTATAACCAGCTCCTGTATGGGATTTTGGCACATGCAAGGTGAGGCCTTTAATCACTAGGCTACTGTTCTGGGCCCAATTCTTTCCACTTAAAAAAATATATACATACAAAATATATGCTTGAGTTGTACATGCCTGTTTAAGACTTTACACTGGCTCACTTCCTAAGTTACTGAAATTTTAGAGAAAATTTTTCAATATTTTTGGATTTTATTTTCTCTGTGTTACTCTTTTTCATTCACCCAATATCTGACTGAAATTTCGCATCTCCTGAGTGTATTAACTTTTGAATAGAGACACAGTAAAGCAAGTGAACAGAAACACAAACACCACCAGGAGTTTTTACCTAGCTATGGAAGTGTTAACAGGTTTACTATATGAGTGACATTTTTACTCTAGATATAATCAGATGACGATTAACCATTTGTTTCATTTTAGCATGCCAAAAATCAAGCACTATAAAGTGATGAGCATAGGAAAAAACTACACTATTGAGCTGGAAAAACCGGTAAGTATTTCTTTATTATTGATGAAATTTCTTGTAACTCCTACTAGGCCCACCTTTAGAATTAAGGAGAGGTGGGCCCGGCGCGGTGGCGCAAGTGGTTAAAGGTCCTCGCCTTGCACGCCCGGGATCCCATATGGGCGCCAGTTCTAATCCCGGCAGCCCTGCTTCCCTTCCAGCTCCCTGCCTGTGGCCTGGGAAAGCAGTCCGGGACGGCCCAAGGCTTTGGGACCCTGCACCCACGTGGGAGACCCGGAAGAGGCTCCTGGCTTCGGATCGGCATAGTATCGGCCCGTTTCGCTCACTTGGGGAGTGAATCATTGGACGGAAGATCTTCCTCTCTGTCTCTCCTCTCTGTATATCCGCCTTTCCAATGAAAAAATAATAAAAATAAATCTTTAAAAAAGAATTAAGGAGAGGTAGGACAAACAAGCCAGCTTTGCCCTAGGGACCTGCTGCTTCTGGACAAAAAGAGCCAAGTGAGGGAGCCATACAGGAAACACAGCTCTAGGGTGAGAAAAAGGGTACAAGAAAAAGGGGTGAGCCAGAACAGAAGATGGCAGCCTCCTAAAATTATTTCCCCAGAAGGACTATATCAATATAATTGTCTGAGAGAGGAAAACAATATTTTTAGTAAAACCTCTTTTATATGCTTAAATAATATTGAATTCAAGTTAGCAAACCTTCGGGGATTAGGAAGCAGTTCTGTAGGAAGCAGCTGCTATACTTCCTGGTTCCCCTATTCAAGGTCACATTCCAGGAGGACAGCATCTTCTGGCTCGTCTTTATGATGTAACTGGGAGAAAACAAGGTACCAGATTATTGTTTGCTGGACTGTGTCCCACTGGAAAAGGGGCAAATGCTTCACAAAAAATGACAGATGATCAGTCAGAAAGGAGAAATACGACATATGGATAGGTGAAATTATGGTCTTATATTAGTGAGGGACAATTTGGAGCAAACTGTTCAATTTCAGTTGAGCCCACTTTTTAACTTGACCCAGCTAAGTGCACTGAATCCTGTCTCATGTTTCTTTATACAGGTAACACTTCCAAACCTTTTCAGTGTCATCGATTACTTTGTGAAGGAGACCCGAGGAAACTTGAGACCATTTATATACTCAGCTGCTAAAAACCTTGGTATGTTCTTCCCTTCACTGCTGTACTGGAGCTCCCTCCCCATCCCCCGCCAATCTAAACAGGTTTCATAATACTATCCAGGTAGGAATTGCAGCCTAACTTTAAATCTATCCACTTGGAAATATTTTTGCCACTGTGTCTGTTAACATTAAAGAACAGCAATTTACCTTGTGGATAGACTATGGATCAAAAGCTGAAGCATGCATTGGGTCTTTTAATTTCATTCCATTAGTCTAGGCATGATAAAAAATTCAGAGATAAATGTCATCATTGTCATGTAAATGAAACAGAATTTAAAGGGATGATCTGCCAAAGATGTCAGATGTTTCTGACAGGTAAAGGATAAGGATCTAGGAGAGGTTATGGAAGTTGTTGTCCATTAGGCTGTGCATTCTAGTGTACTATAAGCGGAAAGCAGGTTTTCAGAGCTTTGTTCATACTCTGGATAAAAGTTGTTCACTCGATGATTTACAATATTTCATGCTACAGGTATTTTAAAAAATTAACTAGTTTTTCTCAGAACATTAAAATTCTGATACAAGTAACTTTTTTTGTTTCTGTACGTAGTATTTTTGGGGTTGTATCTGACAACCCCCCTTTTCATCTAATGTGATGACAAGTATTTTTTTCTTTTTTATGAAGTGTTATAATTTTATAATGTACATCTAAGTTTATCATCTATTTCGGATTTCTGTTAAAAGTAGGAGTGATGGGTCAAATTCATCTTACTTGTATTTAGATGTGTAATTTTTCTTACATTATTTGTTAAAATATATCCTTTCCATTGCATCGCTTTTGCAAGCACCTCTGTAAAAAAATTAATTCTCTGTATTTGTGTGGTTATATTTCCATTGATAAATGTTTCTAGTACTTTGTCCAAACTGCATAATCTTGATCACTGTGGCTTTATAGAACTTCTTAAAAATCAGGAGAATTATTTTGTTATTTTTTTCAAGGCAGTTTGTACAAGTCTCTTTTCTTCGCCTTTCATTTTTATATTTTAAAAGTTTCCCCAAGTTTATGCCACAGGGAAATATTCCTGGAATTTTGAAAAGATTGTGTTAAATCTGTAGATCACTTCAGAGAGAAATAAAGTCATAATTTGGAGTCTTCCGACTGAGGAATGCAGCATATTGGCCCATTTACTTGGGTTGTCTTCCTATAAATTCCTTACATATTTTGTTTGTAACTTATTTTTGGTGCTATTGTAAATTACATTTTCTTAAAATTTGAATTCCAATGTACCACTTGTAGTATATAAAATAGAATTACTAGTATTTATAGGTTTAGCTTGTATTCTGACTTTATAAAAGTTGCTCAGTATCTTTTAAAACCTTGTTTTGATGGATTCCTTAGAATTTTTAATACAAAAATTATACTTGAGAACAGCTTCAATTCATGTTTCTCTCTGTCTCTGCCTACTGTGTTGCTTGATTGTTCAGAGAAGTTCTGCTTAGGAGTGCTAAGAGTGGATCCCTTTCCTTGCTTCCAGTTTTACTAAGTCCTTCCATCTTCCATTATCATGCACAATGCAGCTTTAAGAAAAAAGATGCCCTAAGATGCTGAAGGTCCTTGTAGAGATACTAATGTACATTGAGGCATTTTTGCTTTATTAAACCACGGATTGATGTTAAACAGTGTCAAACCTTTTCTGCATCTTTTGAAATAATACAATTTTTTCCTTTAGGTCTGTGAATATGGTAAATCACATTCCCATTACACTTTTGATCAAACATCACATATAGCTACCTCGTTAGAATGTATTATCTGACTTGTACATTATTAGGTTTGATTTGCTGATATTTTAAGAATTTTTCTTTTTTATAAGATACTGATCTATAGTTTATTAGCTAATTGCTTTTGTTTGTGCTTAGATGATGTTGGCATCAAAAAATGAGCTGAGAATATTTCTTCTTCAAGAACGGAGAGAGTATTTTTAGGATTAAGATGATTTCTTCTATCAATACTTCATGGAATTTACTCAGGTACCAACGAGCTTGAAAATTCCTCTGCTAGGAGGTGTTCGACATGAGTTCAACTTTCCCATCATCATCAAATATGCTTGCGATAACTGCGATGTCACTGGACTATATCTCTGGGGACTGATGTTATTCTCACATTTGAAAACCATTGTTGATTTGAAACACTGTTTTCCACTGTGTCTGTACAGTTTTTTCATCCATTAATTTGCTGACAGGCTATTCTCATCTCTGGCTATTGCCAATAATGCTACAGTGAAACAGGAGTGCAGATTTCTCTTTGAGATAGTGATTCAATTTGATTTATACTCAGACGTGCAATTGCTGGATCATATAGTAGTTATATATTTGTTAGGAAATGCCATACTATTTTTTTTCTATTATGGTTGTACCAATTTATCTTCCTACCAACAGTACATTTTCTTTCTACATCAGCCAATACTTGTTATCTTTCATGCTTTTGATAATATCCAGTTTTGCAAGTGTGAGGTCATACTTCATTCTGGCTTTGGTTTGTGTTTTACAGAGTAGTGATGCTGACTGCATGCATTCCCTTGTTGGCTGTTTATGCTTACATTGTAAAAATGTCCATTCAAATTCTTTGTCCAGTTTGACATAAGATAAGTTGTAGTTTTGCTATTGGGGTCTATAAGTTTCTTATGTATTTTGAAGATTAATTTTATGGAGATTCTTAAGATTACTTTGTTAATGGATTCTAGTTAATTATAAATTCAAATCACAATTTGTATAATTTAAATTACTGTAGGCTTGCTAATTTATGAATCAGAACATAGTCTTTGTAAAATGTCCTATGCAAACACTGTGAAAGTATGTACTGTATTGTTGGCTGATGTGTTAAATAAGTTGGTATGTTGTTCATACTTGCTGATTTTATTTTCCTTTTCGAATATTTTTACGAAAGATGTAAATATTGAAAGACAGAACAACTCATAGAGGAAGTCAGGAACAGACAGATTTATCTTTTCTCTCTTGGAGACAGAGACAGGCACGCACACACCCTATGGGGTGGGGAATAAAAGAGATCTTCATCCACTACCGTTCACTACCCAAACAACTGCAGCAGCTAGGGCTGGGCTAGGCTGAAGCCAGGGACCTGGAACTCCACCCATGTTTCCCGTTTGGGTGGAAGGGCCCACACTCTTGGGCATCTTCTGCGGCTTCTTCAGATGCACGAGCAGGAAGCTGGCTAGGAGGTGGAAGAGTGGGAACCTAAAGCAGCACTCCAATTGGCACTGTTAGTGTCACAAGCAGCAGCTGAACCCACTGTGCAATACTCATGTGCTTTTTAAAATTCTACATATTTATGGTGTATTGTGTAATTCTGATAAATGTATAATGTCCAATTAGGGTAAATGTGTTAATCTTTTAGCTGTTTCTTTACAATGAAAACATAACAAAATCTTGATTTTTTTTCAAATAAATTACAGTGAGTTAGTATTCTATTTTTATTGTGCCACCAAACTCCAGAATTTCTTTCTTCTGCCTAATCATAACCTAGCACCCATCAACCAACGATTTCAATCCCTCCTTTTCCAGCCTTGGGTAACAAAATATATTTTTAACTTCCATGAGGTCACCTTATGATCCCCAGTTCTATCCATGCTTTTACAGGTGATTCTTTGTTCCTGTTGTACCAAAATATTATTCCATTGTGTGTACTCACCACCTTTTATTTATACATCAGTTGACGGGCGCTCTGGTTGTTTCCATTTCCTGGCCATAGTGAATCATCCTGAAAACACAGAAGTCCAGCTGGCTGTCTGACAGGTGGATTTCATTTCCCTTATATTTACATGCAGAAATGGGAATGCTGAAAAATATGGTAGCTCTTTTTTTTAAGTAATTTTTTAGAAATCATCACACCACTCTCCACAATAATTATTATTTTTGCTCAATGTTTTCTGGAGCTCTGTTATTAGGGTAGATTTCAGTTACATAGTGGTTTAGAGCATATATTTTCTATATTGGTTTCTGTGATTAGGAGTCGAGACCAGACATAATTGGTTCTTTAAGGTTGCAATCTAAGTATTGTTGTTAGTACTAGGCTCTCATCTAAGAGATGACTGAAGAAGGATTCATTTGCAAAGTTATTCAGATTGTTGGTAGGACTTATTTCCTTGCAGCTGTAGGGATACCAGCTGGCTTCTTCAAGACAAGGCAGCATCTCTCAGATTTAAAAACGTGGGTGTGCTAAGCAAACATGCAGCAGGATTTTATACACACACATTACATCATCATGGTGTTGAAATTATTGCATCATCTTTGTCCATAGTACACTGGGTAAGGACAAGTTATAGATGAGACTTACACAATGCATGATTATCAATAAATGGAAATCATGTGGGTCCCTTTAAGTTATGACCACCACGAAGAAAGCAAACTTTTAGAATTTTATATCTTCTTGGTGATTGATCTATTTTTCCATGTTTTTCACTAATATTAATATTTGAATATCAATGTACCCACTCCAACATCCTTTTGTTAATGATACATATTTACTTTCAATCCATTTCTTTATCTGTTTCTATTTAAACTAGGTTTCTTGCAGAGAATATGCTGTTAATTCTTAATTTTAAATCCAATCTGAAAATCCTTTACCTTTAGTATGACATTGCCTAATGTTGGATTTGTGTCTTAATAGTTTACTACTGATTTCTTGTCACCCACATTCTCCCGTCCGCCTCCCTGGGCCATGAGGATGCTTTTGAGTATTACATTTTATTTATTATGCATTATGTATAATGATTGTTTTAGAAATTACAGCATTAAAATTAGCCCTTTTCAAATCTACTTACAGTTAATATTTTTACTGCTCTAATGACTAGATTTGTAATCCTTTTCTCCTCTTTGCTGGAGCCATCACATGAATTATATTTACATTTAGTAAAAATCATTATGAATGGTGTTATACTTGCTTTTATTTGAAATAAAGTCCATTTTAACATGGGCATTTACTATTCCTGTTGATCTTTTTACAAATTCAGGCTTTCTGTGGAATTGGAATCATTTCTTTATAACCCAAAGAACTGAGCCATTAAACAATTAACATATTTTAGTTCTCATTATGAAATTCAGTTTGTACAGGACTTTTCTTTCAGAACATCTTTTAATTCATTTCAATGCTTTCATGAATGCCCCATGGAGCATAACAGGTTTAAGATTTTGTTATTTCACTTGTTTTCTGTGTTTGTTTTTCTCCATTAGAATCGACTGCATTTCATAGGCTCTTTGTCTAACAAGTAACGTTGGGCTGCATATTGGACATACTGAATATCATGTTGTAAGCTTCTGTGTTACACTGAAATGCTCTTGATTTTTAAGCCCAAGAAATCGCCCTGATTAGGCCAAACCAGTTGTGTTTGACTTTCTGTGGGAAACTTTCCTAGTACTAGTTAACATTTCAAAAAGAAAGAGAAAAAAAGCATGTATCTTGGGGTTTCCTTGGCTAGAAAATACTTTTCTGAGAGTTTTGGGTGCAAATGCTGCCACCCCTGCAGACTTAACTAGTGACTTCCTTAGTGACCACCTAACAGGCATGGCCAGGAAAGAACAAACACAGAAAGAAAGGAGGAAAAGATCCACTACTGATGGAAAGTATCAATGATTTCAGAGAAATCCGGACAACTAACGGCCACGTGGCTGAACTGATTCAATGTGCCTGATAATCAGAAATCATCACTCAACCTCCCCCTTTCCCTGCATTTCAGACATTTTGGTTCCAGGATCAGTGATTGACATAAACAGATGGATTTAGAGAGTCACGGGGACTAGGACTTCAAATAATCAGTAACCTCTGTAGAGTAAAACGAAAAAGATGGAAAGCAAATTTGGAAGAATGAATGGGAAGGGAAACAGGATTTTTAAGCAAACCTGTTGTATTGTGGGATTGTTTCAGGAATTGGGACTCAGAGCTGGTTGTGCACAATAGAACTTCAGCTGCAGAAGAGCAATTGTAAAACATCCTACGGTTCAAACCTATCCATGTGGAAAAAGCGAACATGTTTACAATACAATACTACCAAAAAGAAAATGAAATTCTCTGACTTTGTTAACCCATGTAAACATTGAGTTTTCTCTTTGATCACCAGAGGGCAAGAGCAATGATGGAACCCCAATGGTTAAAAGATATTTCCTGAATTTAACTTTCTCAACTTTAGAAATTACAAGTTTAAACCAAAACCACTTCAAAATGCAGTAAAGTAACTGGTAAAAACTAAGGGGAAGAAAAAATATTACCTAGAGAAAAAATTTATTAAGGAACAAAGAGAAAATTAAAATGGATATTCATTTTATTACTACCCAATATTTATTATATATATCATCAATATTCAAGGCATAAGCAGGACATTCAACTCCTGTTTGAAATAGGCAATCACCTTGTTCCCTGATATTAATAACTTAATTTTCTTCATTCACAATTTCTAGGCCAATAACCCATAGAAGATGAGAAGTTGAAGAAAATACACATTGAATGAAATATACAATCTATTTTCATACCTTCTATTTTTTGTCCTCTGTTCTCCTGATCTTTTCCACATTCACTGTAACATAATCGCATCAGAGCGGGCAGCAGTGAGAGTTCCACTGGGTTCTCATCTTCTGTGTTGAGACCAGGGTTGACTTTCAGCCTCCCGCCTACCGTCCCCGGCCCAGAACAGGGCGCTGTCAGAATTTATGGACTGAATTAGCTGATGTGACTGCTAACAAACAACTATTTTAACAAAGCACTGATTTCTTAGCCTCAGACTATACCTATTTTATCAAAACCTGAGATTTTATTTCCATATTTTATAAAAAACAATTTCTAAAATTCAATATGGGGGAATCACTTATATAATGACTTAAAAATGAAAAGATGTATTTTATATTCTACTCCTGGTTCTCACTACTTGGCTGTTTGGCTTCTTTGGTTTCTTCATCTGAAAAATAAATATGTTAGCATGGATTCTTAAGATTTTCTCAGCTCCAACATCTCATGGAGGACACACACAGATGAAAAACACCAACTGAGATGTTAAGATGGCCATCTCTAGATAAAGGAGAGAGCTCTCAGAAATAAAATTAACCTGACACCTTGATCTTGGACTCCTTGCTTCTAAAACCATGAGGAAATAATTTGCTGTCGTTTACAGTCTGTGGTATCAATGAATTAGACAACAAATGCAATGAGGTATCTGGGATATTTGAAAATACGTAGAGCTCCAACATTTCCTCAGATTTATTAATTTAGAATCTTGGGGGGCATTTAGAAATCTGCTTTTAGGGTACACAATATAGATAATGCCTATACACAATAAAGTTTGAAAATAATTTCTTGAAGATATACTGATATTGAGATTTAATGAAACATATAAATATAACAAACATATAAATTATTGTATGACATTATTTTCCCCCAAAGAATTTTAA